TGTAAGGGGTGGGGTGGGGTGGCTAATGCATTGACCACCCCCAACCACCCCAGCCACCCCTTTGACCACCCCCAACCACCCCCACGACCACCCCCAACCACCCCGCCCACCCCTCCAACCACCCCTGGGGGTGGTACCACCCGGGGTGGTTGGCGAAGTATAATATCGGCTACTGCAACTTCCGGCGTATGCTAATTTTATCCTAACAAAGTGGATGTCGGAATTTTTAAGAAAAACCTAATTTTAATGTCGAAAACAACATATTTTACAAAATTCGATATGTGTGTAGTCATCTCCAGCCCATTACGCATCTAATGACGTATCAAACATCTCTTCAAATCCATCCCCTCTCGAGATCCTCCGGACACCCTGACGGAAGTTGCTTGCAAAGTGACAGACACACACAGACACTACTTTTTTATATATAGTAGGATTTCGACTTCACTCGGTGCGATTCCATAACAGAGCCATGTTTACAGTAGAGTGCGGCTTATTCAAACCGGGTTTGAATAAGATTTCCGTTATTCAAATCAAACCGGTTTGATTTGAATACGGGATCCTTATTCAAACCAAACCCGGTTTGAATAAGGATTCCCAACTCAAACCAAACCAAACCGGTTTGAATAATTTGAACCAGGTTTGAATAAGAACCAGTCTCCGAAACAGTCTGTTTTCGGCACCATTTTTGCGTTTTGGCACCAATCCTTTTGTGACTTCACTTTAGGGTGGTCCAGCAGCATTCCTGTCAGGTTTTTGGGGTTAGCGGATCATTTCGAGACCTTTTTCTTTCAGCGCTGCCAAGGTTATCCCGACCATTTGGATGCTTGTGAAAGGTTGAGAATGCCAAGCCTATCGTTGAAAAAGTGCGTAAACCCCGTAAATGATGCCAATTTCATCATTATATTGATCACACAAGGTTTTCGAAGGGATGCCTCGAAAACTTAGCCGATTAGCATCCATCCAATCGATTAACATGCTGATTTGCCTGTTGTTCAAACCAATTCAAACCAACTCAAACCTGGTCGGTTTGGTTTGAATAACGGATCCTTATTCAAACCAAACCGGTTTGATTTGAAAAGCAGATTCTTATTCAAACCGCCCTTATTCAAATCAAACCGGTTTGAGTCGCGATTTGATTTGAATAAGCCGCACTCTAGTTTACAGGCGGGATTCTGCCGTCTGAGCCATTCCTATTCTACCTGAAAGATAGCGCCGACGATCAACCGGTGAACAAGCCAATCTGCATCCACATTCTCAACGCCACCACCCTGGCATCGGTGCGTATTTGAACAAACTCTTCTGTAATTTGAAATCGTCTTTGCAGACCGGCGCCAAAGAACGGTTGCAATTCGAGATCTCCACAGTGTACCCGAGCTTCAAGGCAAGCAAAGTCCCTTTCAAAGCGCCCGCCACCTTCACTGCCGACGCCTTCGATAACGTCGTCAGTTTTGACCAGAAGAACGAAGAATAGTAAGTGAGGATCTTTCGCATTATCGGGGGACCAACTTTTTCTCTTAGGATTTAATTTTTTAAACATAGAGAGGGAAAGTGGTCCCAAATGGATTTTGACTGTCTCTAAACCTGAAAACTTTACAAATTTGTATTAAAAAAAGACCAAAAATGCGGATTTTTCGACCCAAATACGGCCAATTTATGGCCAAAGTCGGCTCTTTTGTGCTTTGAGATGGTTTTATGGTTGAACCTGAGTTATATATCGTACTATGCAGGGTGTCCCAAAAAAAGCACCCCCAGGGGCGCGCAGACGTGTCCGATTTTCGCCGTTTAGGTATCTATCCAAAGCTACCGAAAAGGCGAGAAAACAAGCAGGGTTCATTTTCTTTATTATGTATTTTGATTTGCGGATTTTTACGCCCCAAAAACCATGAAAACCGCAGATTTACGCAAGATCTGCATGCTAATTGCGAAATTCCTATTGCCAAATTACCGTTTTTTTAGGAACGCGTTGTGCATCGGACGAATAAGAATAAATCTTAGAAAATGAAGCCCGCTTGTTTTCCCTTATGAATTTTTCGGCCTGCGGCCGATTTCGGGGGGGCTCGCCCCCTCGCCCCCCCCCCCTTCCCCCTCTTACGGGCCTGATGGTATGTATGATACGTCATTAGGTGCGTAATGGCTCTGGGATGACTGCACGCACATCAGATTTATCAAAATTGCCTATTTTCGACATTAAATTTAGGTTTTTGTTAAAAAATCTACGACCTTCTTACTGTAAAGTGTTTTTACTCAGGCTGGCGTTTTAGGATGGGACCAAGCCTATCTTGTTCAGAATTTTTTGCTGATTCCGAATCCGTTTTCCAAATTTGCTGCGGACTTCGCGTTGAAAAGTCATTTTTGGTCTAAATTAAGCTTAAAAACGGCATAAATGCGTATGCTGGCCCACTATTCGCTGCCTGGGTCTAGGTATTGTTTTGCCCCTTATCTACCCTCCCGAAGCCCCGTTCCCAGTTGGCACCATGGTGCATTGGTAAGCTGTTCGCTTGCCAGGTGCAGGGCGGCGGATCGATCCCCGCCCTGCACAATTTCTTTTGCTTTTTGCACAAAAACACATGATTTTTTTGCATAAAATCGTGCTTTGACCTCTAGAACCGTTCCCGAGCCAGTTTTAACGTCGGAGGTGACGACAACTTAAAAAATAACGCAAAAAATCCAGATTTAGTCAATTTTTTTAGCTTAAATGTCGAATAACTTTTTAAATAAAGGTCGGCAGCAAATTTGGAAACCAGATTCGGAATCAGCGAGAAATTCTGCACAAGATAGACTTGGTCCCATTCTAAAACGCCAGCCTGAGTAAAAACACTTTACAGTTAGTTAGGAAAAAATTAGCATGTGCCGGAAGTTCCGGTGGCCTAAATAATGGGGTAGAAAGCTAGGTTTTGCATTTTTTGTCATAGGAAATCCAAGCATTATGCAAAGTTAAGTATATCATGAGAAGAGACAGGGCCGGGGTTGAAAAGTCGCGAAGCGGCCTAAAAAAGCGGGTATTTTGCTAAAAACATCATGAAACTTGGTCCTCTTAATTACTAGGCATTTCTAGACTTCTACAAAAATTTTGGCTTCCCCCCCCCAATGCGAAAGAACCGTAAGTGGTTTGAAAGATGGAAATCACGCTTTTCCTTCCAGCGCGGTGACGATGACGATCACGCAGAGCTGTCCGACGGGCACTTATGGATATCTGTGTCAAAAGAAGTGTGAGGTACGAAGTGATACTTCTTGCATAGAGACAGCAATACTTCCGTTTGTAGTGCAGCAACAAGGCGTGTGATGTGAAGGGCGACGGCAAATGCTCGGGCTCATCAGACTCGAATGTCAGTCTCCTCCCCTTCATCCACACGGTCCTAATGCTCGTGTTTAGCTCGTGCTCATCCTCGCCGTCGTCATCCCCATCATTCTGCTGCTCGTCATTGGTGTCGTCGTCTTCATCATGCTCAAGTACTGTAGGCAGCACAAATAAATTGACTCTGCCCTCCAGCACCAGCCATTTAAACCCACACAACAGAATCTATGGCATTAACTGGGAGGATCTTTTTGGCCATTGTTTAATAGATAACTGGAAGAAACGGAGGCTGTTTGTCTAAAGAAAAATTCGGAAAGCACGATTTTCGATCAAAATTGTCTAAATCTATCAAAATCCTAAAGTCTCTTACGTGAAATACAGTGCAATTTTGCTAAAAAAGACAGCAAAAATACTGACTATCGCGTAGTTACCGTCTTTGGGCTTCTGGAACAAAATTTGACTCCATGCCCCCGATAGTACGAAAGATCCGAAAGACTTCTCTGAACTTCTTAAGGAGGAGGAAGATCCTGTTTTTCAGGAAGAAACAAGGGGCTGCCAAGGCTCCTGTGAAGCCGTCCGCCCCGAAGTCGAAGGTGCAGAAGCCGTCAGCTGCGGCTTCGCCGGACGGCAGCCCCGACGGCGGCAACAAGTCACCCGCCCCGCTCACCGACCTCAACTCGAACCCACCGTGCGTCCCCCCCGCGCTAATCGTCCAGCACCTTTTTCAGGGAGGAGCCCAAGCAGCCCGAGGCGTAGATGACGTGGTGTGAGGAGGGGCAAGCACGACAAAAACGACGCGAATCAAGCCAAAGGTATACCAGAATTTCCGATTTTCTGGCTTAGGTTCTTTCGCATTATCGGAGCAATCTTATCGGGTGCAGAAGAATTTTTTCCTGGGAACAAATTTTTCAATATAAATAATGGAAGTTTATCTAAACTATTTTTTACTGTTCAAACGAAAAACCTTTAGAAATTTGGTATTCAAATAGTTTTTGACCAAATTTCGATTTTGGAAAATTTTCTAGAAGTCTAAAAAAGTTTTTCTAGCTAAAATGTAGCTTGAGTTTTCGAAAAACTAAGATATACTCTGCCATACCCCCAGGGGGTATACCCCCCATGGGGGTACAAAAGGGGTACGAGGTGGGGGTACAGTGGGGGTACGGGGTGGGGGTACAGTGGGGGTACGGGGTGGGGGTACAAAGGGGGTTACTAGGCATTTCTAGATTAATATAAAAAAATTATTTTCCCTGGTTAAACTTCCTCCCCCTCCGATAATGCAAAAAACCCCAGCTTACACCCGACTTACCGTATGCCAGCTGCCTGTTTCCAGGTATCCACCCGCACTGCTTCGACTCCTCGGCCATCACCATCTACCTCGCGACATCACACAAAAAGAGCGACGCGTTGTATAGAAAACTCGCCCATTTCTACCGTCAGCTACTTTTTTCACCTCCACCTCCCCCCTTTTCTCTGTATCTCTCTTCTCTCTCTGTATGCCCCCCTTTTTGTCTAATTTTCGGATCAAAATCTTCAACTGTGTTTTGGGTATCTCTCTATATTGTGTGTAAAATAAACAAAGTTGGGCTCGACGACCTTAGTGTTCCTTGGTATACACGGAATTTAAAATGCGCCGATCGTGGATTATGAGTGCGTTTGGTTTGAAAATCGGAAAGTATAAGAAAGTCGGAAAGCAAAATCTCGGCTAGAATCGATCGCCCGAGCTGACCGAGCCGGCGATGGCCGGCCGCGCGTGGTAGATGCCGCTCACGTGGTCCTGGTCGTCCGTCTGAAATGGTAGGGCTTTCAAGGGATTGGTAGGGCTTGTGGGTTCTGGTTCGTTAGCGGGGGGCGTATTTGTCAATAGCTTCTCTTACCTTATTACATGATCTTTGGCTATATAGAAAATAAACCTCTTCGTTTTTTGATGCTCTACCGAATAGCGTTAAAAATGTCGAAAAACCTCACCAACCTCATTTTCCGGCAATCTTTGCTTTCAAAATACCTTTCTTAAATTATCGTGATCTGGATTTAAAATGCATAGTACATTTCTTGATGGCTCTACAAAGGCGTGTTGATGTAGTCCCAAAAAATAATAAAATACTGAAAAATCTACGATATTAAACTCCCCACCCCCGCTAACCAACCAGAACCGACTGGTGTATCGACTTTCGTTTTCGTCAGTTTTCTCTTCGTTGCGTAATTGAGTTATCGATTGGGAAAATTCTCGGGAAATGAAGCGCGACGCGTCCCATTGGGCGGACAACCGTACACGCTATGTAATTCTCGGTACCGGGCGCTTGACAGCCACTGTGATACGCGAATGGCGACCCGTCTGACACCACGGGGTACGCGACACGACAAGCGGCGCTTGAACCCAACCGCTGCCTTCTGGAAATTTAGCCAACGCCTCGACCTACCGTAAAAAAGACTGGCCCGTCGTGGTCGGCGGATTGTCGCGGTGGTCTGGAAAATTTCTTTAGAATTTAGGATTTCTGGAAAGTTTCTAAAGACGCCAGAAAGGCAAGGCATTCTCTTTGTTGCCCCATTCCCGTATGGAGCTTGCCGCGCCCCGCGACACGCGACGCGCGCATCGTTTCTCTGCCGTGAAAAAGTACGACCCCTTAACGCAATGGATAAAAAGGCAGTTTGTGAGCCACCCGAACAAGGCTCGGCACAGTTTTTTCGAGGCTCTTTTTTGACGCCATCTGAAAGAGCATGGTCGAATTAGACAAGTTTAATTTAATTAGTAAACCAGAGTTAAAACGTGGCCGCAACGCGCAACGCGCGTTGCGGCTCTTTAACCTTGCGGGGCTCTTTAACCTTGCGGGGCTCTTTAACCGCTCCCTGAAAAACACTCACGTCCTGCCAACATCAACCACTTCGTTTGGCCGGTACTGCCCAATCTTGCCCTTGCCGTTCTTGCGATTTTTGCGTAGCCTAACAGTTGGATAAATTTTGGAGTTTTAGCTTTTTTCTAGATACCTCAACCAAATGTAGGCTCCGCAAAGGATTAGACAAATGTTGATGATGGCGATGATGACGGCAAACAGGATCCAGAACTAAAAAGGTATAATTTGCTTAGGTTTTGAAGCTTTCTTTACCAAAAGTGATGACTTGCAGCCGTCCCGGATGTCACAGTCGGCGGCTTCGCACTGAAAAAGTACTGATATGAGAATTCGAGAACTCGAGAACGAGAGAGAGGGCTTGCAAGGGAAAGAGAGAGAGAAAGAGAGAGAGAAAGAGAGAGAGAGAGAGAGAGAGAGAGAGAGAGAGAAAGAGAGAACAAAACTCTAGCCACGACCAAACCCACATCACAGACGCTCTGGCACAAATACCCAAACCGCTGCGGCGGACATTTCTGTGTGATAGTCATCTGGACGTCACTGCAAGAAAAACGTAAAAACACTAAGGCGGCAAACTAATGGTTTTCAAAGCCAAGTTTTTGCCCGTTCACTTACTATAACTGATTCGCCGAATGGTACGGGATCACATTTTGAAAAGGAACTTGATTCTTGAACACGATCGAGGGCAACACGTCGAATGTCCGAGGGTCGCTGTTGGTCTTGGTTGCCATTAGGACATCGAATGTATCGTTGGCGGAACTCTGAAATTGCAATTTCGAACCTTTGAGTTTGCGTTGGTTATTTGAGTTCTTAAGCTAAAAATTGGAGCCTGAGCCCGCATCTGAGCACCCGAAAACCCCAACCTCTGCAAAATCGATCGCTGCACTCCGCGTCAGGCAGATTTTCGATAGTTCGCGAAATCCCTTGGTGCCGGTGAATGCATCAAAGTGGTATACGACCTGATCCTTGGCAGGTGAGGTGCCGGCTGAAAAAAATCAGTTAAATTCATAGGCAGAATTTTCATACAGTTTTTAGTAAACTAATACTATACAGGGTGTCCCAATAAAAAAGGTCACGCTGGCATCTTGTCATTTAAGATCCGATCGACTTGAAATTTTGAAGAGAACTGCGGAAGGGAATTTAAAATGTTCACAGAAACTTTCAGCCCGATCGATGTAGTAGTTGTCGAGTTATAGCGAAAATAAATTTTATTTTACGTTTTTAACCTAGATTTCGCCGGAATTGAGCTTTGGAATGTATGGCAAAAATGAAGCGCCGACCTTTATTATCCCGGAAAATTTTTTATTTAGCGAAATTCGGCTTGTAAAGGGGCTATAGAAGTAATTTTAACAAGGTATGATCAACCCCGATGTTAGGAAGAATGATGGATTTAGAGCCGGAAAATTATGTTAATTGATGCAAAGTCCAAAAAGGTATCCGAAATAATGAAGCGAAAGTGTTAGAAAAACAGCATTTTCGCAATAACTCGAAAACTACTGTACCGATCGGGCTGAAAGTCTCTGTGAACATTTTAAATTCCCTTCCGCATCTCTGTTCCAAATTCCAGGTCGATCGGATTCGAAATGGCGAAATGCCAGCGTGACCTTTTTTATTGGGACACCCTGTATTTTAACCAGAAAAACTGACTAATAACTTTGAAAAAATTCGAGAAAATTTTGGCCAAAAAGGCCATTTTTGCTCGAAAAATCGATATTTTTTTGTGCTTTTAATAAAAATTGTTGTCAGATTTTTACGCTTAGGAATATATTAGCGAAGATATGCTATTTAAAAACTTGTTCCTGAGAAAAAAAATTTAAATTAAAGCTGACCTAACGACGCGACCTTCACCATCAGACTCGCTACCCTTTTATCATACTGTTCTTGGGTCTCCTCGGGTCTTCTGTCATTGTCCGGTGGCGGCAAAAATTCGATCTGCCAATCCGTGAACTCGAAGATCACGGCATTCGGAGAACAAGAAGCATTTTGCGGGAACGCCATCCACGTGTCGGCGGTTCCGGCTTGTGCCTAGAGAGGATCAAATTTTAGGGTTTGAACTTCGAGGTTCGAAGCTCGCTTGACTCAAAGCCCCGCTTATGACTCACTTTTACTTGTGTGATGATAGTTGCTGCAAGTAGGGCTTGTAGTAACCGCATTTTTATTACTTTGTGCCTCCTGAAATTTCAGGTTAGGGTGAGAGTTGGAGAGCGCGGAAAAAGAACGAGAATAAGGGAATGAGAAAGTGAGAAGGAGAGCAAGAGTGAGAGAGTGCGAGAGCGTAAGAGCGTGAGAATGAAAGCGAGAGATATAGCTAGAGAGAGAGGGAGAGAGAGAGAGAGTGGGGGAGACAGAGAGCCAGAGCCAAAGAGAGACAACGAGAGAGAGAGTAAGAGAGAGCTAGAGCCAGAGAGAGAGAGAGAGAGAGAGAGAGAGAGAGAGAGAGAGATAGAGAGAGAGAGAGATATTACCAGGGCCCACTCCAGTCAATTTAGCACCAATTTGAACCAAATTTTTAGCCGTCGAGTCCGCGACACGCAACGCTGGTCTCAAAATTTCACTGCGTAATGGATTAAGAGCCTTTCAAAGCCGGGGGAAAATGAAAGACCCCGTTGTCTAGAACGCTAAAAGATGCATTCAATCTACATTAGTGAAGAACCAGAGTTATGGCCCCTTTAAAATGGTAAAGGCAGGAAGGTATTGGACGCCAGCATGACGTAATAAAACGAATAAATTCAAATTTCAGCACCTAGATGCCACTACAAATTGCGAGATGATGACTCGACACACCGGTGGTGCCGGTCGTTCCCAATAATGTGGCCGGGGTGTGTGGATGTTGATTGTGGCTGCCTGTAGAGGAGGAGAGATGTGTATGCCGTGGGACGAGTCAGGGCCTTCCGATTAATCATCAGCCAAAACAATCGTCTCGCCACCAAATTTGGAGCCGCCACGCCGAGCACCCGGCGGCGGCGTGTACAGTTGTGCGGTGTAGTACGGCTCGTAATGAGGTATCGAAATGTAATTTTTTCAGTGGAGGAAAAGCGCATTAAAGCTCATAATTAAGCATTATTTTATTCTTGCAAGTCGCGTTTTGTCTTTTTGACGAAGTTACGCTTCGTAAAATCCATCTTTCCAAAAATTTTTAAAAGTTTCGAAAAGCGCTCGGGCAAGCGAGTAGAGGTTTTTTAGAAATTTTTATACGCAATTGTGCTTATTTTAACTTTTTAGATAATTGGAGGGCTTCCAATTGCCGCGAAAAATGATGTAAAAATGCTTGCAAAAGCGCTCGAGCAAGCTAGCAGAGGTTTTTGACATTTTTATACCATTATAGCTTGATTTTAATTTTTTGGGCAATTGGAGGCCCTCAAATTGCCGTGACACAGCTTCAAAACTGGTTAGAAAGCGCTCAGGCTAGCTAGCAAAGGTCTTTTAGGAATTTTGCTACGAAATTGTGACGATTTTAGGCTTTCATCAATCTAGAGACGTGCAAATTTCTGTAAAAAAAATCGCTAATCATCTTTAAGACTATGGGCAACTATCAAAAAGCATGTTGGAACCAGAAATCTCGCCATACACTTGTCATTTTTAAGAATCGAATTTTGGACCCAAAAAATAGCCTTGCGCTTTCATGGCAAACTAGCAGAGTATTTTAGGAATGGACTACGCAAGCTTCCATGTCCTTTTTTGCGTAATTCCCTCTCTTAATTGTAGTTAAGCCGATTTTCTCTCCAATTATGAAATTTTCTTGTCTCTCCCGCCGGCCCCGAATTATTTCGTCAACGTTCCGCGTCAATCACCAATAACATTTTTGCGGAGCCAAAACAGGAAACGTCCGAGCGAACGTCGCCATGGGACGAGGGAAAAGTTGCAAATTATTAGAATTATTTTAAGGGGTATTATAGCAGGATATTCAACGAATGAAAAAAAACTGAAATTACCGTATGAAACCGACAGTGTGTTTTTTACGCATTCCAAAAAATTCCAACAAGTCGTTAACTTATTTCCGAATTCCCCCCTAATGATGGCTTGACTCGACTTTTAAGGCAACAAGGCTTAGGCTTCTTTAAAGCCAGGTCCAATTCCCAAAAGATCTCTGCTATTTCTCTCTCTCTGCTTCTTGTTTACCTTTTTTTGCATGCAAATCAAGTGAGGATCTGTGTCATCTCGTTGTCCGATCTGCCGATCTTATCGTATAGAGTGGGTGGCTGGTTTCGCGCTAGATTCACAGTTTTTCTGATTCCTCACTTCGAGCAAATCTCTATACCCTAATTATTACTATGGTCTTGTGCGAGTCCTGTTTTACAAAAATCAATTGCACCGACGATAATAACAACACCACAGTAAGTTGATTTTATTTGGCGCAAAATTAGAATTTTCCAAGGTATCTAAACCCTCGAAAATCCCGATAATGACGATGGATCTACTGGATTTTGTATGCCTCCACCTGCTTGGCCAATACCCGCAGAATCGATTTAAGGAAATGAGGACCGGGTTTGAAACTACATTTTTTGCATAAGATTTTTAGATCCAAAATCCCGGTTCTAAAAACCTACCTGCGATGCCCGAGAAAATTCGCCCTCACCAAGGCCAAATCAATGCACGACCTGGTGATAAACGATTTTATGAATCTGCTTGGATAAAATGGGTTCGGGATTTTTTGACGCAACAAAATGACTTTTTTGGGAACTGAAAACACGTTCGAGCGAGAGGATGGCCACGTAGCATCGCTATTGGAAGGCTTTTTTCAGACGTGTTTCTTAGCATAGGTGAATTTTCAAAACGTCAAATCGTTGCTCGCAGCTGTTTATTAAAATTAGAAGTTAACAGAAGGTGGCGCAGTCCCTGAAAGTTTTGGGAGCATTTTGCGTCAGCGCGAACGGTCGCGTCGCAGTAGGGTGTGGCGTCAAGTAGATCAGCTTTACCCGACGAGAATGTTTTACAGTCCCACGCTTGCATGGTGCAGTTTAGCAATTTTAATCGCGCTCTTAGCGGACTAGTTGGTAAGTGTAGACATACGCAACGCAGCTAGACAGTGCGTCGCGTGGCCGCAGCGTAGTCTCAGCCATACTAGGCGATGATTTGAATGTCCGTTAATTTTTTAGCCAAATAAGCTTCGAAATAACGATTTTCAGAGTCCAGACTTGTGGAAGTGACTAATGCTTCGAGATTTAAATTTTTTTTGACCAGATTTTGCAAGAAATCGTGCTTTTGTCCAAATTATTGTTTGGTCTGTGTTCTAAATTATGATTTGCGCATTTTACGATTTATTATAATTCTTCCCTTTTTGATTGCCTTTTTTGTTTTCCTTTTTTAGTTTTTCTACCATACTTCTACACTGATTTTTGACTCCGAAAATTCTTAAAGGCTCCGCTTGAACGTTCTATTGAAAAAAACTTGCAACATGTTCCTGGTCCCAGCACGCCCTAAAGATATCGCAGCCGGAAGCCCGATTTGTGGTGCGCGAGATTTGATTTCTACTGACTCCCCAGATGTCCCTGTACTTTCCCGCAGCCGCAGACGTATAAAAGCGTATAAAGGAGCATCGGGGATCCTCGGGAGGAGCATCGTGTAGATGTTGCTCCCCGCCTGGGGCACCTGATTTGATTTGTCGCCAGGCGCCAACAAGGACAAGGCTTCTTCTATTTTCTCAGCCATCCCCATGCTAGCATCGACACCCTGATAGGGCTACTTTGGGAGGAAAAGGAGGAGAAACATTGGGGAGGGCGGGATTGGAGGAATCTCCTGGAACTACTGGATGGATATACTCGAGCCGGGGCTGGAAATAGAGACGGCTTCATCTTGTCGCTTTTTATGATCCAAAAAAGAAATGGTCATACTGTAGCCTTCCTTAACATCAATATTAAGAAGCTTTGGTTTTTTTTGTTATATAAAAATCTGCCAGCTTTAATCTACCGGCAACCTTAAACCGAAAGCGAAAGCTTCTCCTTTTTCTCCTGTTACGATCCGAAATTCGCCCTACTGTAGCTCCAGGCTACTTTTGAACTTAAAAACTCGAGCTTACTGTAGCCTTAGTTTTAAGCTAAAAACGTCATGGTGGTGTGTTGATTACCCTAATGTAGAAAAGACTCTCTTACTGTAATTGTGGTGTCGACCTCGACGCATTAATGGTGGGAGTTGTGGTATTTGAAGCTCCACGATACCTTTGAGTACAAGAAATATTTGCATTCTGAATTCTGTTAATAATTCTATTTAATTATTTGAGTGGAAACTATCCTTAAGCGCCATTTATTTATCGTTGATCTACATGCTTTTCTGGCGCCAAAGAGCGATTCCTTTTGCAGGCCCGGTGAAAACGTTTCATTCAAATTTTTCGCCCCTCCACGCCTAGCTATCCATCATCAGAATCACCCCCACACTCACAGCGCACCTTTCTAATTTGGCCTTCCAGGTTTTTCATCCCCTAAAAGTGCCATCCCGTGCCCGGGGGCCATATTCGGCAAATATGCTGCTACACCACGGTCGATTGGGGGGCTCGGAATTTCCTTGCGGGACCTTGACCCCGGGCACGCGAAGGAAGCGCCGGTGTTTATTTTTCGAAAGCTCATCGACCAGGGTTCGAAATGCTCGAAGTTTCGGCTAGTTCGCTCGAAATTCGGAAATTGCAGCTGATCCTGCTTGAATTTTTGATTTTGGTAATTGTTTTATTTGCAAAATTGCCTTGCGGCTCTGTTTCTACAAATTTCTCTCTCTCTCTCTCTCTCTCTCTCTCTCTCTCTTGCTGTCTCTCGCTCTCTCATTGATTGATTCAGTCGTTTCAACATATTTTTGCCCACGTAAATTTCATAATTCGAATTTTGTGGTTTATCATGTTGAGCTATTTTTTACAGTTTATTTATATCCTCTTACACCTCCACTTTGAAAATGCTTTGTTTTTCCATCAACCACCCACGGCTATATGGCGCTCAATTTGGTGCGACCCCCGTTGCCGCCTATCTGAAGTGGGAAATCGGGACGGGGCATCGAGGCCAAGTGTGGAATTCCGCATCTAGGTTCATTCAATTCCGGCAGAGGGGATGCCCGGGTCACCTCAGGGGGCTTTTTCGACCCGGCTACACCTCTGGGAACATCTTTTCGCTTCTGTTTTTTTTAACTTAGCTTAGGTTATGGCATAGCTTCAGAGAGAGAGAGAGAGAGAGAGAGAGAGCGAGAGAGAGTGAGAACTGAAATTCTAGCTGAAGCCAAACCTTGACCTCACTAGCTTTCCGGGACCGTAGCTTGAGGTGAAGCAAAAGTTCCGGCTCAATCCCAACTCCAGATAGGGGAAGCTCAGCGAGTTCGGGTCAGCTTTGGCTCGCTCAGGGTTAGACCTAGGCTTAGGCAGGGCCTGGGCTTACGCTTCGGTTTAGCCTTTCTAGGCTTAAGCTTGGTTTAGGCTTTGAGCTTGGCCTGGACTGAGCTAGTCTTCCAGGCTTGGCTTAGGCTTGGCTTGCTTAGGGTTAGGCTTGGCCCTAACTATAGCCGGTATTCTCTAAAAAATAACGCCCACCAGAATCAGGATTATCACGTACCCCGCCCAGCTCAACAAGGTCAAGCTCAAAATTCCTGCGAGCCCCGGCATTCTTTGGCGGTTGAGCCCCGCTGCGGGCTTCAGTTCTATGCCTTCCTCACCCTTCTAAGCCCTTGTCATCAATTCAAAAGAAGCGGCACCCGAAACGGCGAGGTGTCCTTTCAGCCCGAGGGTCTCGGTGACATGCCCTCACTCCCCGGGCTGAAGCCCGGCCGGCTAGTTCCCGAATTTTTGAGTGGCACCGGCCGGGTGGGGTTGGGCTTGGGGGGTTGAGGACTGAACTCTTTGGGGTTGCTGGTTGTTATCTTGACCTTGTTGCTCCTGGAAAACAATTTATTGTAGTCTTCGTGATTTTTTCATATTCAGAATCTTGCAAAATAGGTTTTGACCATTGGTATTCTTGCATTATCGGGGGATAAACTTTTTCCTATAATTTCGGAACGTCTAGTAACGTAAAAAGTAGGTGTTTTTAATAGCATCATTCTTAGTAAAATTTAGACAAAAACAATAGAAATACTTCGGAAAAAATTTCTGCGGTGAAATTCTGGTAGAAAATCGGGTATCGGGCATCGAAAAATCTTTTTTTTTGCATATTTTTAATACAAATTTGTAAAGTTTTTGGGGTTAGGAGTATAAAAAATGAATTTTAGTTAAACAAATATGATACTTTATTTCAAAAAACCGGGGAAGTGTCGGTGGTGGACCAGATTTGGCAGAAATGCCTCTACGTTTTTGCGACTAATCCTTTACTGCGCTAAAGCTCTGCTGTCTGTACACCTTTCAGAGATCGCTTTGAATGGTTTTTATCGTTTTTCGCATTGTCATTATATAATTATAACCAGCGCCCAAAACCCGCTTCGCGGGCCTTGGGCGCTGGAATGCGGCCTTTGCATGAGAAATTTGGCTTTCCGATAGCCAGGGTCCTTCGGACCCCACCCCCCCCACCGCCCACACACGCGAGCGCAACTCGCCAGAATGAGGAAATTTCTATTTTTTCACATGATGCAAATTAGCCTTCGGGGACCCCAAAAATGAATAAAACCGGCTTTAACTTTGTAAACTTGTATTTTATCGTAATTCTGAAAACGCCATCGGAAACAGAAGGGTCGATTCCCCCGGGTGACGTAGAATTGAGGCGTTTTAGACACGGGAAGGCCCTCAAATCGGGCGGCGAAAGTGACATCCACACACACACACACAGTTACACGCCAAAATTATATAAGGTAGGATTCTTATTCCCTTTAGAAACATTTCCAACTTTTCTTTTCAGCTAGTCTTGCGCTTGCTTCGAGAGGCTAAATCTTACCTTTACCGGCCCTCTAAACTTTTCTTCACTCGGCCTTGCCTTTTGAGTCGAGTTATTCCTTTTTTTCAAATATTTTTCAGCGAGTTTTCAGCTTTTTTTATTTAGAGTGTCACATACTTAGAGTCCTTGCCTTCAATTCTCCTTCAAAAATATCTCCTCCTTCCTCTCCCGCTGCTGCTTTGATATGTGCCACTTTTTTGCCACGTACACCGCCACTCCCCCGTTCTTATGTCCTTATTAGTGGGCCAGGCGTGGGGCGGTTAGGGGGCTCAGATTTCCGTCCTTTTTGTGCTTGAATCTCCGGCATTCCAGCACTTTTGCTCAGCCCTTCCGATGCCTGCCGTGAGCACCCATTTTTTATGAACCTCCTCAGGCTTACCTGGAACCACTGGGAGATCGCAACGATCCTAATGACGATTGGGCAGTCATATGGGCAGGCTGCTCGGATTTTAGTGCATGAATTATGATCTCTAGACGGGGTGGAGTTTCGCGCGAAAAGCCAGTGAAGGGTATCAAAAATAAAAAAGTGCTAAAAGGGGGGCCTTTTACCTTCAACAGCGCATAAACGTATCGAAAAGTTGCAAGAACTCAAAAAGGTGTTTGTTTTAATTACCTTAAATATGCATCAAGGAAACCTTTTTTTGCGCATCTATGTAAATACCTAAAAGCCTTCTTGGATTGAAGGTATAGATATTTCGACATAAGTGCCCAAACGTTTCTGAAATGGGAGTGACAACTCGAAACTCAATTTGCAAACCCGCGACACATTACGCGCGATCTCAGCTTTCCATGGCGTAAGCGGTTACGACATTTAATACGGGCCAAATTGTCGGCGCGCTACTTGTCATCGTGCGGAACATTTTTTTATCAGATGCAGTTTCGTAGTCATAGCATTCTTGGTTTGCCGATGCCCAGAAAGATTGTTAAAAGTAATTCTCCCTCCCGCTCTCTCGCCCTGTCTATCTCTCTCGCTCTCTCTCTCTCTCTCGCTCTCTCCAAAGCCGCGTGTCTGCTAACTGCTGAAAAAAGTCGAATCCATTTGTCCCGGTCCCTTTAGAGCATCTTATTTGCTGGATTAAGCTAGTCGATTCCCTCAAAACTTCTTCTTCTTATCCGCTTTTTGGGTATAGCGCTAGAAGAGTGCTTCCTGATGATGATGATGACGACCGATAGTCATATGGCCTGGGGGTGGTGGCTGGATTTCCGAATGAAATATTCAGCCATCCTCCAGCCCCAACCAACCGCCCCTTCGCCACGCCTGGCCCGCCCGAAATCCACGGGGAGAACGTGGGAAATCGGAAGAGCCCCTTTTAATCCTCTTCCTCGTTTTCGCATGCGGCAAGTAGCCAGCTGGGGCTTAACCTTAGCTAGATTAGGGAGAGCCAAAGTTGACTTTTTGGTCTAGCGTAGTTTATAGAATTTTGGAATCTCACACTCTCTCACTCTCCCGCGCTCTCTCGCACTTATTCACGACGCTCTATAACTTTTCTCTAACTAACTCTACTTTTTCTCTTTCTGTGGCTCTTTCTCTAGCTCTCTCTCTCTCTCTCTCTCGCTCTTTTTTCTCTCTCTCTCTCTCTCTCTCTCCCTCTTTCATTAAATTAGCCCACACCCATACAAGTCCCATCGGGTTTTCAAGAAAGTACACGATTTCTGGAACTGTCTACTACTGTCGGAGGGCACAGACTTGTTTTCCGTAGCTCAATTAGGCCCTGATGTCTTGAAACCGTCAATATCTAATTTTGCTTTGCCTTGATCGATTTCGAAACTTGACGCAGCGTGAAGTCATCTGGGGAAAGTCATCAGATCCCGGTTGATCCGCTGCTACAGCCTACAATTTTCCGAGAATTTTCGAGTTTAGTACTTTTCACGAAAACCATGCATTTTTACAAGTTCAGGTTTTGATTTTCAAAATTATGCGAAAAGATTTGAATTTGATTTGAACGAATAAAGGTGATGATTTTTGGTTTTCGTAAATAGACGTCAACGTTTTCAGGCTTAAAAATTCGGGGCGGGCGCCTTTTTGAATGTTTTTCTATTTTAAATTTATTTTTAGACAAGTTTCGTATGACACTAAAAAACTAGCATTTTAATCCCAAGATAAACCTGCAAACACTAGCGCCTCGTTGTCCAAATTAGAATCTCAGAGATTGGACTCCGCGGTCCGGGTGGGTCCCGGGGGCCCAAGGGCTGGAAGCACTAGCAAAAAGGGTCCAAGAAGTCAAAGTGAGAGAGAGAGAGAGAGAGAGAGAGAGAGAGAGAGGGAGCAACAAACACTGGTCACCACCCTTTTAATTGCAGTCGCTGCCCTCCAATTAAAGGGACCGTCTATTCAGATGTATTCAAAGTTGAGCTTCTGGATTCTTAAATTGTGTCTTTTTTGGTTCCGCTAGAAGTTTTCTAAATTGAGCACGAACTTTGGCGGCGGACCGGCCAAAAAAAACGACGGTTTTGACATCATGGATACAAATTTGTGGTTGTTTTTCCGAGGAACTTGATCTCTCATTGACCACCCCAGGCTCATTTATGAGCTCTAGCTCCCATTCTGGTTCTTTACCTCAAAAATTTTATTGAAATTTGTGATATTTTAAATATGCTAAAAGCCCAGATAGCCTATCGTGATCGATTTAATTTCTGCTCATTGATTTTCTGTTTTATATTTCAAAAAAATGGTTATTTTTGTCATCGTTACAAAAGTGGATTCATCCTCCAGCGTACTATCGGGATATTTTTTCTGCAATCCTATATGCAGAAACGATACCCCGCGTAACCCATTTCGTTTTTTGCTATGCCATTTGTCCCCATGGCAGTTACACGGAATGTGTATTTTTTATTTAGGAGTCGTTTCCATTTTTCAAAGCGGCGCCAGGTCCATTAAATGGTGTATTTCAAACCATTTTTAATTTACTTTCATGCACCTTGTAGCTACTAGTTAATTTAGTATGCTTCATTTAGAATAAACACGATCAAAGTTATTATCAGATACATCGAGAGAAAGAGAATGAGAGAGAGAGAAAGAGAGGGAGAGGACGAGAGAGAGATAGATAGAGAGAGAGAGAGAGAGAGAGAGAGAGAGAGAGTCGGAGAGCGAGAGTCCTTAAACCTGTCTCAAATGGCTTCCGCATCCCTTTCACGAAAGAACCGGGTCTAAGTCATCTCTACTTTTTCCATAACTTCCAGAAGCACCGATTCCGAAGGTTGGATAGCCGGTTTGTGCCCTGGGGCCAGAAAGGCTAGGTCGAAGCCACGGCGACCCCATCACGGCTTTTCAGAAGTTCCCACCGAGCACAAATTCCCGCCCGCCAACCGGGGGAAGGCACACGCTCATTAGCTGCGCCTTATTTTATGCCCTCTCATGGGTCCAGTTTTGCACGATGGTCACGTTGGGTGGGGGATTTATTTTTATCGTTTACTAGGTCTGGAAGTTTCGATGACCTGGGAGCTAACTTTCTTTTTTGAGCTCAAAAATATAAAAAATGCAGAAAAATAGGCCGTTCCCTCGCCCGGTTTTGCCTCGCGTCCGCACTCGCGTTCTGTTTTCTGCTTCTCACGCTCCCCTGGTCGTCTTCTCTCAATCTGTATTTTTCAATTGTTTGCAAAAAATTTCCTCTCCTCTCACTCTCGTCCTCTCTCGTGCTCTCTTGCTCCTTCGCTCTCTTTACCTATATTTTTTTCGGAAAATACCGCTCTGTCCCTCTTTCTCGCGCGTATTTGTTAAATTTACTTTATCGCTCTTTCTCTATTACTCTCTCGCCCTCTCCCTTTCTCTCTCTCGCTCCCCTCTCTCTCTCTCTCTCTCTCCTGACACCACCCCTTTAACCCCATCACCCGCCCATCTCCGGCTTCAAGCCCCCCGCTTTTTTGCAAACGAGTCTAATTTCAGCTTCCCCTTTTCGAAAAACTCCGATTTTCGATCGCGACTCCTTCTCAGAATTGGCCCGTTATGGATTCAAATAGAAGAGGATGGCAGGGAGGAGATGGGGAAGTGGCCGGGTTCTAGTGCTTTCCGGGATGCTCCTTTTCCCGCACCGGGAGGGCCCTATTCAACAGCTATCGGGCAGCCCTAGGGGCGACTGCTATATCCCACAAATTGGGATCGTTGCCGAGGTGGGGACGGGTTTTATGGATGCAAAAATAAAGGAAGGGAGTTGTGCATAGGTGTAATGCGGAATGCTAGGCGTTGGGTGAGTAAAACTATAGAGAAACCAGAGGGAGCGAGAGAGAGTGAGAGATAGCGGGTGAGATAGAAAGAGATATATAGAAGGGAGAGAGCGAGTGAGAGAGACAGAGAGAGAGAGAGAGAGAGAGATAACGAGAGCACAATTTGTGACTCGTCTGATTCTAAATCCGTCGGCAATAGCCCTGACTTCCTATACCTTGTCAATCCCTTTAAAACCGCTATATTTTTAGCTTGGCCAGCCTCATCCCTTTATTAACAAGGACAGGGGGCAACACTGCAAGAAGCGGGGCAGTGCCCCCTTCTCGGATTAATTGAGCTTTTTAGGGGTCCTGCAGGGCCAGGAGGGGAACCATGCGACCTCTTCTTGGAAGGGAAATCTTCAATCAGCAGCCACTTTACCTGGCAGATGGCTGGATTGACGTCAATTTTGCAACTTATCTCGTAGCTGGGAGGTTCCGGGTTTCGAAAGAAAGAAAGCGCAAGGCAGTGTCCGGCGCAAAAAACTTATTTTTTTATTACTTGCTCTTTCCCACTTTCCCTCTCCCCTCTCTCTCTCTCTCTCTCTCTCTCTCTCTCTCTCTCTCTCTCTCTCTCTCTGTCTGTCTCTCTCACTCTCTCTTGACTCTGTCTATCTCTCGCTCATTCTCTCTCTCTCTCTCTCTCTCTCTCTCTCTCTCTCTCTATGTCGGTTTCTTGATCCGGATTCTGCAGATCCTTAACTTCAAAAAATCCACTTTATCTCCGCCCCGATTTAGCCACTACAAAATGATTCCATTTGACTCGGGTGGACGTTATCGCCCTCAAAAACGCCAAAAACCTGGTCAAACCGTGCCGTCTGGATGCCGGCGCGTCGCTTTTCCCACCCGCGACTACAATTTTTTGTGGGTGCCCCCACCCGAATTACGCCCGAACCGCCGTGGGACCGTAGTCCGAGCGGTATTGTGGAGCTCAGAAATCTGTTCACAATCAATTTGTTGCCGTTAGAATTTGCGCAGACTTTGGTTTGGCGAATTAATGATTAGAGTTTCACTCTCGGGTAGTCTTTCCGGGATACGAAAAATTCTTGCACTGATCCGGAAGCGAGATAACATCACTTTTCTGATGCTGCAATTTTTTATGCGTAGATGACCTGCATAGTAACTTATTACGAATACTTTTTAACGACTTTAGATGCGATTTATATATTCTTCGATATTTTGGTTATGGATTTTTGCGTTTTGTTTATATCTCTTGCCGTCTGGCGTTCACTCGCGCGCCCACTTTCTCTCTCTCTCTCTCTCTCTCTCTCTCTCTCTCTAGCTTTCTCACTTGCTTTCCCATCGTCTTCTTGCTTGTTTTCTTGGTCAATCTCCATTTTTATCTCATTTTTAAGGTATCGAGTTGTAGCTTCTGCCTATGAAATTTAATTCTGAATGATTTTTTAATCTGATTTGAGACATGTGATTTTCTCACATTTCTCTCTCTCTCTCTTTTCCCTCTCGTTCTCCCGCGAGAAAAAGTTGTTCTGCTTTTCAGATGCGCTGGGGCAACCTGAGCCTAGCCGAACAAGATGAGCGTCTCGTGGCAGAGTGGTGGTACCTGGGGCTATCGGTTATTCCGCTTGTGTGCATTATGGGTAAGCGAGGAAAAGATTTAAGGTCTTGCCAAAAAAGCGCTCGGTTTGCTGCGATAAAAGTCGTAAAACGTAAACTTATGCGCCTAACCGTACCCGGCGTGGCGTACATACGTAACTTTACGTAACCGTCCTCTACGGGTATGTAAGGTAGTGTAGTCCGTTATCCTAAAAAAACCTCGCCTCGAAGGAGTCGCAGCATTTTGAGCTCGACCCTACTATTTTTGTCCAGACGGGGACGTCACCCCCATAAGCCCCTTGAAAACGTCTAAAAATGGTCCTGAATGGAACGGGGCGCGAGATGGTGGGAAAAATGGACCCCTGCGGCTCCGGTTTCTCAAGGGGTCAATTGAAACGGGGAAGTGCAGGGGGTATTTGTGGGCCGGAATTTGTTGCAAATCGGAAATGGGAGAGGAGAGAGAGCGAGGAGAGACATAGAGAGAGAGAGAGAGAGAGAGAGAGAGAGAGCGAGGAGAGAGAGAGAGTGGGGGAGAGCGGGAGGGAGAGAAGCTTAAACCGAAATGAAAGAGTTACCTTTTGTGCCTAAGTAAAGCAGTTTGAAACTTTCAAAATCGACCACTCCAAGCGACTAGGTCTAGACAAATACCTGGCACACCAGATTACACTGCAGTCTTTTTAATGAAAGATTATTTTGGCGTGTTTTGTGGTTGTCGACGCCCAGTTCCTAGAAGGGGTTAATTTTTCTCCTCAGCTTCCTTTAAGCTTGAAAAAATCAATTTTTCAGGCAACTGCATGGTGGTGGCAGCCGTCTGGACTACGCGGTCGCTACAAACTCCTACCAATCATTTACTAGTATCACTTGCCGTCGCCGATCTGATCGTTGGCGCCTTTGTGATGCCATTTAGCATTTATTTATCGGTGAGTTACCTAAAAAATTAAATACAAAAAGAATAGAAGAAAGACATAACAGAAAAAAATCCAAAAACTTGTTGTACTTGAGACGCGGAAAATGAAAAAACCCCAAAATTCTCAAATTTCTTCTTTATGCTTTAATAATTGAATACTTAATACTTAATAACTACTTCAACTTTAAAAACCAATTTTCCAGATTAACGGCCTTCACTGGCACCTCCCCCAATTCATCTGCCATTTCTATTGTGTCGTCGATGTCGCGGCGAGTACTGCTTCTATCGTCCATCTTGTCTTAATTAGTATCGATCGGTAAGCCTCCCGTTAATTTTTACTAACTGATTTCCGGGAATATTAAGCAAAAATTCATTAATTGGGCATTTTAGGTTGGTAGCTGCTACAAAACCGGCCGAGTATAAGACGCCAAAACATCGGCGGCGAGTTCACGTCTCCATCGCGTGCACTTGGATTTTTAGTATATGTATGGCGCTGCCGTTAGGTGAGGCATTTTCTCCATCTCTTGCTCTCTCTCGCTCTCTCTCTCTCTTCCTCTCTCTCTCTTTCTCTCTCTTTCTCTCTCTATGTCTCTGTCTTTCTTTCGCTCTATCTATCGCTCTCTCGCTAGGATTTTTCCAGACTGTAAACATGTAAAAATAATTTCCAGGCACCGGTTTCAACACCCGTACGCGACACTTCCTACTTACGGAACATCATTGTGGAATCTACAATCCAATCTATATGCTGAGCAGCAGCATCTTTGCGTTTTATTTGCCCTGCCTGGTGATGTTGATCACCTACGGCTACATTTTCTATACGTTGCGGAAGCGGTTGAGGGCTATTCAGCTACAGGTTGGCGACAACTTTCCTTCTTTGTCTCGCTCTCCCTCTCTCTCTCACTCTCTCTCACTCTTTCTCTCGCTATCAAAATATTTTAGGAAATGGCTGGCGGGCAATTTTTGGGTTTTGGCGCCGACGTGGGAAATATTACCACAGCAGCGATGCAAAGCGTGATAGGTAAGTTTTAAAGGGAGTGTGACATCATGACAAGCCTCTGTTTTGACCTGTTAAACCACCTGAAATAGAGAATTCTATCTTTGAAAACTTAACTTTTAGGTATCGCCCCCAAGAATCGTAACATGATCACCTGGGAGAAGCCACTTCTTCGAAAAATCGAGGAAACCGCAGCTGAACACGCGAGCTCGCTGAATGACTCGGAGAGGGAGCAGGTAAAAAAAAATCGATCATCTATTTTAAAATCTGTTTTTAGCTTCAAACCATCCTCGAAGCTGTTCAACCATCCTCTACAAATAGCCAAGAAAACTCGATGATGGACGATGATTCGGATAGGCCGCCTTCTGTGTTGCTAGAGGCCGTGACACTTCATCAAGAGATGGAACGCGATCGCGAGAGTCCACTTGGACCTGTGCTGCAAGTGCCGAGGCCAGCTTATGCGAAGAAGTGAGTAGAGAAAAAGAGACAGAGAGAGCGAGAGAGAGGGAAAGAAAGGGGAAAGGGAGAGGGAGCGAGTCAGGGAGAGCGAGCGAGAGCGAGATAAGGGAAGATAGAGAGTGAGCGGTAACTTCAATTCATACTCAAAATCTGACCTTCCAGCGTCTCTCGCCGCTTCTCCGAAGCGTTGGGCAAGAACTCCTTCTCTAAGAAGGGCGTTCAGTTGGGGCTCCAGTCCCAGAAACGCCGGCATTCCGAGCAGATACGCCGGAAATCGAAGGATCGGACAGACGCACCAAGGAGTAGCCGAGATAATACGCTGAAGCCGCCGTTGGTGAGTTAAAATTTTCGGCTAAAAAAATAAATCAGGCTTTTCACGCTAACAAACACCATATTTCACTTGCTAACTAATAAAATAGGCAAAAAATCAATTAATTTCATCTATAAGATAAAATTCTTGTTTCTTGAAAAACCTGGTTGACTAATTTCTTCACCCTTAAAAGACACTTCAAACTGCTGATTTTTCCCTAAGGTGCTTATAACAAGTTTATACATGCTTATTCCGCCTTTCTAGCTAGACCCGGCTTGGGTAAATTCGATAACTTTACATAGTCGTTCTGTTTTTAAAGGAACGGTCAAGGCAAAACCATGCATTTACCGCAAGGAAACTATGAAAACCACTCCATCATACTGCGGAAAAATGCGTAGAAATCATTGGCCGACAAAATCCGTAGTCATGCCTTGCCCGTCCCTTTAAATGCAATATCTCACCTGTTCAGTGCCATTCCGTGCCGCACCTACATATATACCGTATCGCTATCTGGTCTTTTCGTTGCAGAGCAAAACGTTCAGCCTGCCGGCTGACCCGGAGGCCACGTCGATCGCCCGCCAAATTGACCTCAACTCAGAGGTTTTATCTAGCAAAAAAAAAACCCCGCATGAAAAAGTTAACCCGAATCTTAAACCCAACCCATTCAGGTATCGTAACCATATATCCGTATTAAGTTTATATACCTAAAATATAATTTATGAGACCAAAAACCGCATGTAAAACCTTACCCCGAACCCTCTAACCCATCGCGTTAAGTATCGTACCCATGTATCCATCTTAAGTTTATATACCTATGGAGTAATCTAGCCACTGACAAATTGAGTAAAATCAACGTTTTTAGGCGGAAAAGCGGAAGATGCGGAGGTTGTCGGAGATGATCTCGGATTGGGAACGACCGAGCAGAAGCTCCCTGTCCCATATGTACAGCTTTGCCAGAAGAGAGTCTGTGTACATTGCCAGGAAGAAGCTCGCTGGACTGAAGGTAAGGAAAGAGAGAGAGAGAGAGAGAGAGAGAGAGAGAGAGAGAGAGAAACAGAGAGCGAGGGAGAGAGAGGGAGGAAGAGAGCGAGAGAGATAGAGAGAGAGAAGTAAGTGAAAAATCGCGAAGCTTTCAGGACTGGGCCCTCGACCTCCTAGCGAAGCTAAAAAGCAAGCAGGGGATGGCGATTCGTCGTGAGACCCGAGCCACGAAGCTGGTGGCAACTGTCATGGGTTAGTTTTTAAAGCTCAAGCTCTTTTGAAGGCTCTTACTCATAATTAGGACCAAGGTTAGGCATAAGTTTGGGCTTACGCTTTGGCTTAGACTCATCCTTAGGCTACGATTAGGATTAGACTTAGGCTAGACTAAGGTTCAGGATCCGGTTGACGCTCGCTTAGGCTCAGGCTCAGACTTAAACTTTGGTATAAGCTTGGTTCAGGCCTAGGCTTCGGCTTAGCTCAGGCTAGCTTAGACTTTGCTTTGGTTAGGTTTAGGCTTAAGTACCTAAGTACCTTCTTCCAGTCGTCTTCCTCGTCTGCTGGCTCCCCTTCTTCACCCTCAACATGGTCAAAATCTACAAACTTATCCGAGAAGACTGGTCGACCGAGCTAGAAGTCTGGTTCCACTGGTTCACGGCCCTCGGATATCTGAACTCCTCCCTCAACTTTTTCATCTATTCTGCGATTAACCAAGTGGGTTTTTAGCTTCCGGCTTTACAGGAAAATTCAGAAATTCCGACACTCGTTCCGGCGGCTCGTCGGTTTTGGGAGATCATCAACTCGAAGGGGCAGAGAAAAGACGTGGATGCTGCCGGCGCGAAAACAAGAAGAGCAGCAAAATCGTAAAAAGTACTGTGGTTGCGGGGCGTTCCACCGGATCCGGAAAAGCCCGTTGCGGAGGGCTTCCTCGTGCGGGTAAGCTGGAGGCTTTTTTGGGATGGGATGCGCGACAGGGGTTCGGACGTTATGTGGTCGCGTTGCGTGCCCGAGAGCGAGAGAGAGAGAGAGAGAGAGAGAGAGAGAGAGAGAGAGTCATCGAGAGATACGCCTTGACGAATCTCTCGCTCCAATATCTTTTTAAAGGAGCAGGCAACCCTAATTTTTTATGAATTCCCGGCCTCTTTAAAAGCGCTAAAAACCCCCTTGACGTTCAGTTTAAGTTTGTAAATGCCCTTTTTGTTGAAAATTTCATTTTGACTTGGGTAGTGCTCGATCTTTTTTAGGGATTGGCCCATACGCCGAAAAAAACAAGGCTTGTCAGTCCCTTTAAAGCGTGAGACGCCCTAAAAATTTACACCCCTTTCCTTGTTTCAGCTCCGAGTCCATAACCATTGACGTACAAGGGCTAGTGCTGAGGAGGTAACATAAAAAATATACCCCTCACCGGGTGGCCGAGTAGCTCTGGTTGTTGGCGCTCCGCAAATGTACGCTCCGTGTACGTAAAATACTGTGCATGGATCGCCTGTGGCTTCGGCCGGAGCTATAGTGTTCTTATTGCAACTTTTAATGCTACGCCTGATAGCTAAAAATCGTAAAAATTAATGGTCGTTTTGCCTGTTGAAAAGGTATGCTCAAGTCTAAGATTTGAACTTTGGAAAATACATAAAAAAAGCTTCAGCATACCTTAAACGATATACGCATCGTACGCCTAGGCTTGGTTTAGGCCTAGCATGGGCTTAGGCTTCTGTTTATGCTTAGGCGTGGGCTTAGCCCTATGCCTAGGCTTACTGTAAAGCGTTTTTACTCAACTTGGAGTTTCGATTCGGGACCAAGCGCATCTTGTGCAGAATTTTTCGCTGATTCCGAATATGTTTTCCAAATTTGCTACGGACTATTATTTAAAAAATCATTTTTGGTAACAATTAGGGCGAAAAATGCCAAAAATTCAGACGCTGGCCCACTATTCCTTGTTTGGGGCTATGGTTCCCAGGGGGCCCTGAAGTACCCTCTGACAGCACCCTTCCCAGTTGGCACCATGGTGCATTGGCAAAGTACTCGCTTGCCAAGCGCAGGGCGGCGGTTCGAACCCCCGCTCTGCATCGTTTCTTTTGCTTTTTGCATAAAAAGCTCATTTTTTTATCTAAAATGCTTGTTTTGAGCTGTAGGATGATTGTCGAGCCAACGCCTAGTAAATTTTGACGTTGAATTTAATGAAGGAAATCGAAAACTATAACGATACCTTCACTTTGGTGAAAACTAGGGTCATAATTGCCGGATAACTTTCAGAATAACGGTCCGTAGCAAATTTGGAAAACATATTCGGAATCAGCGAAAAATTCTGTACAAGATGCACTTGGTCCCGAATCGAAACTCCAAGTTGAGTAAAAACGCTTTACAGTTAGGCTCCGGCCTAGCTTGGGCTCGCTCGTGGCTTTTATGAGTGCCTCGTCGCTTCCAGGCTGCTCCACAACAACCGCCAACCGGCCATCCAAAAGCCCGAGATCATCGTCGATGAAATTTCGCGGGAGAAGCGCTGCTCGATCACAACCGGCGGGCAGACGACATTCCGGTGAGCGTTTGGTGGAACCTAGCGTAGTCTATACCCCGTAACCCTGATACGACTAGCTAAAACTTCGGGAATTTTCGATCAATAAACCCACAACTTCAAAGTTTCCAACCCAAGCATGCGACTCGCAAAGATTGCATATTTCATTAGGGCGATGACGACTAGGTAAAATTTGAGACCTTAGGAAAACAGAAAGCGTTTTCCTGATCAGGAAAAATAGTAAAAGACACTTTTTGGCGCTTAATACAAAAAAATAGCTTTCGATGAACAGTAAAAAAATAAGGTAGATAAATTAAAAACCTTAAAAGACAACACATCAGAACTTGATGGTCTTTAGACCCGTTTTTCGGAGAACATTCGGAAGCTTTCGGAAATTCGTGCTAAGATGGTTTCAGGTCTAGGCATGAAAATTGGCTCATCGAGGGGAAGGAGAGGTCGAGGGGAAATTCAAGGTTTTTACGAAAACTAGAGAGAGAGGGAGAGAACGACAGAAAGCTATTTTAAAATTGCCATTTTTCGGTAAGACTCGATGCTCCTAACCAACGCTAACCTCATTTCCATCTAGACGCTCCTCCGACGACTCGGAACGACTCCGACGTTCCTCCTCCGAAATGATCAATCCGCTGGGCCGAATGCCAGTTCCCCAACAAAACAGCGGTCCTTCCGGCATCTCGAGCAACCGGCGCGGATCCGGAATGTCCGTCTCCTCAGCGTCTCTCCAGATCCACGAGCTCCGCCAGGAGTTCCAAGCCCTCCACGGCGATCAGCAAGAAGTCGAAATTTTTGTCTGATCAATGCCTCCTACTATATCGGACAGCCCCTATGTATCTTTTTTGCTCTGATTGTAATTTATTGTGGCCGGCGTGTGCGTGGGACTGCGATTTAAGCTTGGGTTTACGCTTAGGCTCAGGCATAAGCCCAGGACCTAGAAGCACGAGCTTTATCTTGAAACTTTGGAGCTTAAAACTGACTTGTCACCCTACGCCGCGCTGGCTTTTGCATGGTGATTTCGACTGTTAGCATGGTTGGTAAGGTTTTTTGGGCTTTGCGAGGTATCGTTTTATGACCTTGCAAAGCTCGAATAATTGTAGAACTTTGGTTGCAAGGTTGGAAAACACTAGGGGAACGACGAGAGAGCGAGAGAGAGAGAGAGAGAGAGAGAGAGAGAGAGAAAGAGAGCGCATGCGAGCGACGCGAATAATAATTACGCGATAAAAAGTCAGGCATAGCGCTGTGTGTCGTCGTCGAAGCCAAATTGATACAAAATTCAAGAAGCAAGATATCTTACCCGGTCCTTTAATAAAGTTTTAATAGAGATTGCGTTTTCAAAAATTTCGAGTCTTTCCAAGCTTTCGACCGTGATCCCATCCACCTGTTCCGCCGCATTCCAGAGTCCGTTTTTGCGCTGTTTTTGTGCTGCTGCCGTACTAACCCCTCCATATTGTATTTTTCAAATATTTTGTTTTGTTTTAGAGCCCCGCCAACTTTCATCACTTTTTCAGACTAAACGAATCGCACCCGAGCCGTGATAACACGGAGGCGGCCCGGCGAATGGCCGAGCAAATGGCCAATTTGTGAAAAAAATCTTTTTGCTGATTTAATCTAATTAAAATCCATCTGATTTTTTCTTAAATCTCTCAAAACAGCTTCTCAACAAAAATTGATCTCCAATTTGCCATTCCAAATTTTCCAATTCTTTTCATTGGATCCCCGGGTATACCGATTACATGAACTCACCAGAATATCGTTTGTGATCTCGCCGTATTGTATGTGTGTACAGTTTTAGCAATAAATAACAAAAATATGGTTACAATAAAATTAATGAACGAAGCAAGCAATTTCGGGTTATCTCTTGTTTGCTTTTGGCTCTATCTCTCGCTCTTTCTCTGTTTTAATTTCAGGTACGATTACATAGAAAATCTTCGATTTATTAACATTTTATAAATTATGCCAAATTTAGCAACTTTGCCGTTTTTGGGAAGTCTCAACTTTTAATCCAACTTCTTTAGTTCGTATTTGCACGATGGATCCTGGTCGTGATCCCTCTTGTGAACCAGGTCACGTAATCCGCATGTAATCTGAAATTTGCTATATTTCTAAAGTGATAAGGAAGCCCCAGTAGATCCGGGTCGATTTATGATTGGCAACGAGCCAACCGGAAATGCTAATTTTAGAACTAAGCTCCGTTTTTTGTACCCTTTAAGTATCATGCGTCCCAAGGTACACCGGGACAATTGGAGTTATTCTGGGTAATTTAAGTGATCCGTTTTGTATCTTACGCCTGTTTTTCAGGATGGATTCCGCCAAGCGTCTGCGGTATCGGCCGCTACTACACCTACTACGCCTACTACACCACTAGGCCACCAGACCATGGTGATGGGGAGGCGGGAAAGGCCTACGAAACTATGGCCGAAAAAATGCAAAATGTATGCAAAAACTTAAAATGCTTATAACTCGGCGTGCTTATTGTATCAGCAGCTGAAAGTTACACCAATCGATTTGTCTCGTCGAGCTCTATAAGTGTGCAAATTTTGAAATCCGAATTCGATTCCGAGCTGAGACCATCTCCTTGTAAGATAGACCAGGAGCGAAGCCTATCATCTTTGTATAAACTTTGTGCTGTGATAAAATCCGATGCTTATGACTTTGCTTGTCAGCTGTAAATGATAAAGATTTATACAAATCGTAGTTTCCCAAGCAAATCGGGTCCCAAGGCTGGTGTTTGTGTTTACCACGACGTGTTGATATTAGTGAATCCAATAAAAAAACAATGATGAATACAACAATGGGCAGACGCGATGCATGATACTCACGGACAAAACAAGGCTCTAATGCGTTGGCACAAGGCAAGAACCTGGATTATGTATATGCAGAAGGCGGTGCCGATGGAGGCGAGAATCACGCCGCGGTAGGACCTTAGGCTGGCTTCAGCTTCTGCCTTTTCGTGGCTCGTTTCCTGAAAGAATTCTTCATTTCTGGTTGAGTTCCTAAGCCGAAGCCAAATCCAAGCACAGGATATGCCAAAGCTTGCGCCCAAGTCGAAGTCTAAGCCTAAGCTTAAAAGGACTAAGTAGGAAAAATTCGCCTCCTGGGATAGACCGATCGATATATGGAAAACCCAAAGTAATATTGCCCCAAAATGGTTTCGTGAGAAAGGCTAAAATGGCACAAAAAAAAAACGAAAAGCTTGGTGCAGCCTCGGCTTTTTTGGTCCCGAGTAAGCTCACCCCTGTGTTCTGTGCCTCACATTTGTTGCCGGCGCGGACCTCTGGTTCTCCATTCACCGCCTGTAGCTACAAGTAAAATCTTTTAATTGTTAAATTTCATCATTTGAAATTGATAAATTTGCGTAAAATAAAAATAAAAACGCTAATAAGCTATCAGACAGCCTCCAACTAGTCGTTTACTCACCTCGAGCTTGTAGGAGAAGCGATTCCCGTCCTTGTCGATGAAATGCTCGATGAAGTTCGGGGTCGCGGTTCTGGAATCAGGATTCAAATTTTGCCAATTTTCTGAGTGTTTTCTTTTTTTTATTGGGGATTGATCCCACTGCACGAACCTGAGCATCATATATTTTTCGTGATCAATCTTGGTGAAGCTGGGCGCGGCAAACAAAAAATATCTGCTCGGCTCCCCCAAGAGGACGACGACCTCCAGGGGCCCCTTCGTCGAGGCGCCGATAGTCCGGTTTTCGGCAAGTTTCTAAACGTAATGACATCATGTTATATTGACGTCTTCTACAGGGGTTACAACAACAAAAGTTTACATTCAAAAATTTAGGAACGACATCTCTGCAAGAAATCAAAACTACCGTACTCTATAGGGGCAAACGCAGTTTGGCCGGTAGTACCTTTTTCCCTATCAGACATGCCCAAATCAGGAGTCAACAACACCCACCTGGATCTCGGGCTCGCCAGGGGTCCAATTATCAAACACGTGAACGTGAAATGTCTTCCGGTTGCGCCACACTTGGCTGAAATCATTTGCGGTGACTATGTCGACATTCATTCCGTTGAAATTTTATTTGTCCAAAGCCTATTTGTCGAAGTCGTTTTGTCGACATTTATTTTATCAAAATACCGTGTTATACTTTATACACCTTATATACTATATATTTTTTACTTTATTAGCGGCCTACTATTTTTTTCGAAATTTGCGCAAATTTGAGGTCGAAGGGATTTTCGAAAAACGATATCTGCATGTAAATTTCAGGCAACATTAAAACTCTTTCTGGAATCAGTGTATATTTAAACCGGAATCCTAATATTTGTCAAAAATAGTGTATGTGTGAGTGTGTGTGTGTCCGTGCCACTTTGCATGCAACGTCCGTCAGCGTGTTCCAGTCGTATCTCAATAAGGGGCGTGGTATTAGTAGAATAAACTTTCGAGCAATGGTAAAACGGGGTTGCGCACGGCGGGAGTCGAACCCGCGACCTCCTGTTTTCCGTACAGGTGCTCTTCCGTTGAGCTACACGCGTCCCGAATCACCATCGCTCGAGGCCGAGGATGAGGGAAAGGATGGGCTGATTCACGCCATGGCACTCTGCCGTTTCCGGGGCTTTTCCCCTCTCTTGCCAATCCTTTACAGTAGTATGCATTATATCTCATTAAGTCCCCTTGGGATGACTGCACACTAACAAAATCTTCAAAAAAATAGCTATTTTTGACGTTTAATTCAAGCTTTGGTCGAAAAATCGAGCGCCCTCTTTGTGGGGAAACAATTAGCATACACCGGAAGTTGCGGTAGCCTTTACAGGGTGGCTGAAAAGTTTTTTGATACTGTTAAATGGACTGGAAATTCCTAAAATTCTAATGAGGTAGAGAACTTATGGTAACTAACCAGCGCCCAAAACCCGCTTCGCGGGCCTTGGGCGCTGGAATGCGGCCTTTGCATGATAAATTTGACTTTCCGATAGCTCGGTGGTCCTGCGGCCCCCCCCCCCCACCACACGCGCGCGTGCAACTCGCATGAACGAGGAAATTTAGATTTTTCAGTTTATGCAAATTAGCCCTCCCGGACCCCCAAAAATGAATAAAACCGGCTTTAATTTGGTAAACTTGTATTTTACCGAAATTCTGAGTACGCCATCGGAAACAGAAGGGTCGATTACCCCAAGTGACTGAGAATTGGGACGTTTTGGCCACGGGAAGGCCCTTCAATCAGGCCACGAAAGTGACATCCACACACACCCACACACAGAGATACACCCGAAAATTATATAAGGTAGGATAGTTTAATTAAGACGTAAAGCACGCGCATACACCTTGAAAAGTTGTCTCCCATGGTCGCGCCCTCTGCCACAATAACCGAGGCCTAGCACCTTCCAGGGCTGTTTTAAGGAAATTCACTGTAGTAGACCGTTTTTCTGAGCTCTTTTGCTACAAAATGGTCGAAATCGAAAGATCAAAAAAATTGAATCCACTGAGTTAGGGGCCCAAACATCAAAGCCGCAAAAATCCGATTACAACTTTCCCCAGAGGGTGATAGTTGAACGGGCCGGAAAACCTGGTGTCCAGTCTTGCTTAAGCGTGAAAACGTTTTAACTAAAAGATTGCTTAATTCATGGCTCTGAAACGATCCTAAGGGCTCGATATTAATGCTCGGTGACTTCGATTTTTACATTTTTTTTGAAGGAAAACGGTGTAAGGGTTGCTGGGGCTCTAGATTCCTACTCAAATCATCAAAGTTCTCGGAAAACGGGAATGTTAGACCAAGACTCCTCTATTAGCCGTTTTTGAAGAGTTTACGATGATTTTGCCCGTTCCGACTCGATTCTATAGTGAAAACATTGACGCCTCCTTGCTCACCGGGAGGGCGCGACCATGGCCGGCAATTTCCCCGGCTGCCTGCGCGCTTCTATTCAGCTGCTGGTGGAATTCGTGAACATTTCTTGCGGATTTTTGTGTTGTAATCTGTTGATTACCCAGTAATAAAGTTTCTGTTGCCTTACCCCCGCCAAATTTTAAGAATTTTCCGTCTATTGACCTGCTAGACGAAATTGCGGGAACTTTTCAGCCACCCTGTATAAAGGGAAGCGAGGCGGCGTTTCTCATTTTTTGCCATCGAAAATCGCGAGAATTAAGCAAAGTGTAGAATATCATTGTATCAGATGGGGCCGGGGTTGAAAAGTCGCGAAGCGGCTTTTCAACCCTGGTTCTCATTAAAATTCAAAAATTAAATGAAATTATCGCATAGCTAGCGAAAAAGGCAAACTCACAAGAAAAGGAGCGCCCTATCGACGTCAACGGTCGATTAGCGGTTCCCGGCAACGATATACCATTTCCCAGGCTTTCCATTCACGTGCACGAGGTCGTAAGTGGCTACGGTAGCGACAACGAGCGCTAGTATAAATGCTAGGCGCATTTTTGAGGGGGGCGGGGGGTAGTTGGTGACTTGAAGATTTGAAGACTAGATGGGCACCCCGGGGTTTATATAGCAACCCCGATAGCCCGAGGCTTCATTTTGAACCACGAATCTGTAGCGGGTCGATAAGGGTCAAGCTTCGGTATGATTTTTGCATTAAAGACGTACGCAAGTGAAGATTCGAATGGAAACCAAAAATGAGACCAAGCCCACCTTGTGTAGAATCGGTTCTGATCTCGGACCGATTATTATAAATTTCGGGAAGATGTTACTAAATAATAAAAATTTGGCCCAACATTTCATTTAAAATTTACTTTACCAGAGCAGAAGTTGATTAATTTGAAAACCGTCTCTCTCTCTCTCTCTCTCTCTCTCTCTCTCTCTCTCTCTCTCTCTCTCTCCCTCACTCTCTCTCTCTCTCTCCCTATTTCTCTTTCTCACTCTCTCTCTTTCTCTCTCTCTCTCTCTCTCTCTCTCTCTCTCTCTCTCTCTCTCTCTTTAATGCATAAATCTATCTCACTGTATTGCTCTCTATTATTGTAAAGTTACTAAATCATTGTTAATTAAAAAAGTTTTATTCGGCATATATACAATAAACAATACAAATTAAGACACATAAAAAGATTTACACAGGAATTACAACTTTTTACAGCGTGGATTCGAAGTCCATGACTAATTTTGGGACTTCTGGTGAAGCCGCGACCATAGTGACACTTGAAGGTATGGGGGGAAAGAATGCCTCACGGATGCCTCTAATGAGGCCATTTACAAACAGCGGAGTGTGCTCAAAATCTGTGAAGTTGTAAAAGTAATCAAGGGTCCTAAAGAGTCTGACTTCAAAATGAGCGGTCCTGCATAGAGTGTTACTCTCAAAAATCATTACATCCGAAAAGCGGATTGAATATCGTGTCAAATAACCAGTGCCTGTCACATCTAACGACACCATTAAAGAAAAGTCCTTGAGCATTATGGCTACTTGCTCAAGCACTTCGGGGCGCATCTGCTCAAAGTCAAACCTTCCACTGAGGAAAGCTGGCGTATCCGGGGCATACTTGAAGATGATGGCATCGATGACACGCTCCAGAGCTACGGGTGTATAGCTGCCAAGGTCCAAATGCGTCCTGGCGTAGCACATTTCATCGTCTTGCATCGGTCGCTGCCGTTCCAGCTTCAGTACCGCCTTTTGATCGGCGTTTGCATCCTAAAAAACTTTCTCCTTGTAGCAAATTCGTAAGATACCTCGTCGTAGCAGCTGTGCTTCTTCGCAATTTTTGTAAAAGATTCAAGTTCGTCTTTTGACGTAGATGTCTTCTTTTTCAGAACCATTAGCACTTCTGGGTCCTCATTAAATCGCTGAAAATACACATTCGTTGCTTCGAATCAGCAATTATAAAAGCGGAGATGGGTAAAAAAGGCACCTTTTTGCACTTTAGGAGGCCGTCTAGTTCAATTCTCAGCCTCTTTGAGCCCGTCATCATTGATGTGTTCTGAAATAATTTTTCGAAGAGTATCGAAATAGTCAAGACAGTAAATAAAAAAAACTTACCTGGGTGTGGTGCCCGAGCTTGAAGATGGACAAACTTATGCATGCCCATTCATAGAAGGCCTCGTCAATAGTATTGCCTAAAGTATGCATGTATTCACGCATACCTCTCTGAAAAACGGGGATCTATTTTATAGTTGATAGCTGATCTCTTCAGGTGTGTGGTATGTGAGAAAAGAAACTTACGGCTTCCACTTCACTGTTGGGCCCCTGATGATCATGCGCCTCATCCATTTCCCTCTCGTAGCGATCCATGCAGTCATCATGGTAAATATCCTGAAAAATAATACCGTTATTTTCATATTCTTTGCATTGCATACCCGGATGGGATGTGTCAGGTTATTGCATAGTCCTTGTGAGGCTGTGACATCTGATTTCAACAGTATCCATTGCTATAAAACATTAACAGTCCCTGATAATGAGAAAACTTACCTTGCGCGGGATGTTTTCCTCGAACTCATCGATCCGGCTCTTGAGTTTTTCGATAGATAAGCCGAGCTCGATGTATCCCATCATGATTTTTTGCGCGTTGGTGGAGGCCTATAATTAATGTCATGTACCGATATCGACAATAGTTATTACCATCTTTTTTTTAAAAATAGCGTCGAAAAATATGCTAGGAGTTTTGTTATGTAAAACCAGGGTTGAAAAACCGCTTCGCGGCTTTTCAACCCTGGCCCCGCCCAGTAGACCTCCCGAACCCCCTAAACCCCACTAAACCCCCTCCGAACCCCCTAAACCCCCCCAACCCCCCTTCACCCCCTAAAAACCCCCTAAACCCCCCTCCCAACCCCCCTAAGCCCCAATTTGGCGCACCCATTAGTTTTTTGGCTCAATTAGTCAAATAACGCGGTTTTTGGGCTCAGATGTGGTTTATAAATGATTCACCTGACTCGAAAATATAAACAACCATTCAGATGCGGTCAACAACCCCAAAAACTCAATTTTTAGGGCAATTTTTGTGCAAAAAAACCGTAAAAACTTATCGAAACCTTATAAATTTGTGCTGTAAAGAATTTAGGACAACCATTGGTGCTTGCTAACCATAATACCGACAGAAAACCGGTGAAAATCGGTTAAAATTGCTAAAAAAACACTCGGAAACACGAATTGAGCGTCGAAATCGCTGAAATATATTCCCCTGGCGTTGTAAACTATTGTCTGATAGTTTTTACTTATTTTAATTGATTAATAGACAAAAAATTTGAAAAGATCGTCATATATGTATATCATTTCACCGACCGAACCCCCCTCCGAACCCCCCTAAACCCCCTCCCAACCCCCCTAAACCCCCCTCCCAACCCCCCTAAAAACCCCCCTCCGAACCCCCTCCGACCCCCCTCCGAACCCCCCTCCGAACCCCCCCTACAACCCCCCCTCCGAACCCCCTACCAACCCCCCTAGTTAGGGGGGTTTAGGGGGGTTCGGGAGGTCTACCGTCCAGGACCTGTGAAAGTCCTTAATTTGCATGTTTCTTCCTGAATTCTAGCAAAAAAAAAGTGAAAAACGGAAAAAAACCAAAAAACCCTTCCCCGAGGCTGTAGGTGCGGAACATCCAAACGGAAGTGCATGCAAATATACACACACACACACACAGACACTATTTTTTTATATATCCTACCTTATATAATTTTGGCGTGTAACTGTGTGTGTGTGTGTGTGGATGTCACTTTCGAGGCCCGATTTGAGGGCCTTCCCGTGCATAAAATGCTCTAATTCTCCGTCACTTGGGGAAATCGACCCTTCTGTTTCCAATGGCGCTTTCAGAATTTTGATAAAATACAAGTTTACAAAGTTAAATCCGGTTTTACTAATTTTTGGGGTAATTTGCATAATGTGAAAAAAAGAAATTGCTTCATTCTTGCAAGTTGCACGCGCGCGTGTGGTGGGCCGGGGGGAGGGGGGTCCGAAGGACCCGAGCTATCGGAAAGTCAAATTTCTTATGCAAAGGCCCATTCCAGCGCCCAAGGCCCGCGAAGCGGGTTTTGGGTGCTGGTAGTAGGATAACAAAGTTATAGCCAAAACCTTCCGGTGCGGGGGGGGGGGGGCAAAGTAAACCTTGAGCGTTAAAAGATGTAAACTTTCTTGGACTACTTTCCTCCCGCCCACAAGCTGAGCGGGAGCACGGACTATCACACTTATCGTTAGTAAACACGGGGACCCTACGGAACGGTTGAGAGCTGTGGGAATTGTCGCCCTTGGGGACATCGGCATCGCCTGCGGGAACTTAGCACCTTCCATTGGAATCGGCAATGGCCTGGTGCGTCTCCTTTTTTTTTTAAGGGAAATCGAGGTTTGAAAAGGCATGTGAAGAAACAGATTTTGTGAAAGCTATTTTTAAAATGAATTTTGAAAATTTTATTTTACATTTTACATGGACATGGAACTGCAAAATTATTCCGAAGCTGTTTTGAAGCGTCAAAGCGATCAGCTTCAATGGAAAAAAATTCCTGTTTAGGACACTTGGGCGGTTTTGCACCCAAAAACATTCATAACTTGTTGAATCTGGTCGTTTCGAATACGGGTTCAGAGCAGCGTAAAATTCTGCAAACGCTAGGCTTGATCCACACGACCCCATGCTAAAATATAAATGCTTCTTATCGAATTTTCCAAATGTTTCATATACAAGCACATTATTAAAAATTTAAAAATTTCTAATTTATTTGACGTTTCGGCCAAAAACTCATAAAATTGTCCAAAAAGACGGTATAGAATTTGAGTTTTTTAATTACATGGCGCTTCCTAAAAAAAATAATTTTATTTAAGTTTTGCTAATAGCAGCCCCAAGGTCCGAATTTTTTGATGTTTCTCGATATTTTCGGGATTTTTTGACGCCAATCGATAGAACACCGAAAATTATACTACTGGAATTAAGTTCAGCGTCAAAAACGTAAGGAAAACTTAGTTAGAGCATATTCGCTACTTACGTTTTACATTTCTTATCAGTTTGAGAAGGTAGTCGATCTGGTAGTCGAAAAGCTCAACACCGGGTGCAGAACGCCTCTTTGATGAAGGCGATCATTATATTGGAAGAATTATCCAAGTCGAGGCCGGGCCACCTGCAAAATGGGAAAATTAAAATAATTCTTGAAGAGAGAGAGCGGGAGAGGGAAAGAGAAAGAGGGGAAGAGAGAGAGAGATAGAGAGAGAGAGGGAGAGAGAGAGAGCGAGAGAGAGAAAGCGTGAAAGATAATCTGCCGTTGCAAATTTCTTAGTTTTTCTTAGTAAAAGAATTCTTGCCGAATAATTTTCGCTTGCTGTTTAGGGGCTTTGGTTCCACGGCAACCCTATGAAAAATGGAAAAGAAAGTTTTTGCCTTAACTAAAAATGGGCTCGAGATATCGGAGCTTTAGGTCAGGATTCTTGTTATTTATGGTCTGATACATCTCTCGTCCAATTTTGGGACCGATTGGATGGAAGGCGGCAAAATGCCGGATGGTTCGTTTTTTTTGGACCTCCTGTAGAGAGATTGAGGATGAAAATAAAATCTAATAAAAAAGAGCCTTACGTAGACTTAAAAGAGGCAAGACAATTAGAAGTGATTCAGTAAACAGAATTTTTAGTTGACAGCACAATAATTAGATATAGAAAAAAGAGGAATAGGGCAAAACAGCAAAGCCTTCGCGGCTCTCTCGTATGGTAATGAATGAATTTTATTCATGATGTTGGGGCCTCAGACGGACGCTTATATAGTGAGGTGACAGACGTTCTCACATCGGCAGAAGTACTTTTAGATCAATTTAGAAGACGATAAGCCTCGTGTCAGGGCACTATTGGTTTTATCAAAGCTTCCGCCGAAGCAGCGAGTACTTCTGCCGATGTGGGTACATCTGCTCTGCTACCTCACTAGATAAGCGTTAGCTTGCAACTCAACATCATTCAGTCTACATCTGGCATTACTTATTCTTGACTCGGTTTCATACCCTTTCTTTGTCACTTGGGCCTGAAAATTCTCTTGATTCATGAAAATAAAAATGACTCATGACAATTCGTCAATTTAAAAGACTTAAAGGAAAATATAAATCTAAAAACGGGTAGGTTTAATGGGCGAGAGAGTCGGCAAGAGAAAAAACTGAGAGAGAGAGAGAGAGAGAGAGAGAGCAATTGAGCAGTTCCTATTCCTATTCCGGCAAATTCCGATTCTCAAAGCTGATCTAGGCCGTGGCAGTCTGAGCACGAGCCCAGAAGCCGGGGTCCGATATGGTGTATACTGTGTATCGATTTGGATCCATGACCCCGATTAGAATAATCCGGGCTGGGAAATGTGTGAGGGGAAACGGGACTAAACACCATAATGGATACACTACAAACGGCAAATCGTAGAACGGGTCAAAAAAATGTTTTTTTAATAACAACTAGGCTGCTTGCAAGCTTCTTCCCCTCATCGGCCCTACCTTCCATGTACCTTTCCAGGTTTATTTGAGGGCGAGGGGGCATTTTCAACACAGAATTCAATTTTCATATAAAAGAGCACGCCAAATACTGCCGAATAATGGAACCGACTTTACATGGAACGACGCAGGGCACATCAACTCTCGAAGTATTCATGCCAAAGACGTCCCCGACCTGGTTACTCAAGGGTTGGTTTCATTTTACACTGCAAATCCCGGCACCACGACACCCGCTATTTTCCTGGTGGAAACCTGAAGAAATGATTTCGCTCACATGGCCGCTTCTCGCGGCTGCCAACACGAAAAGCCACGTCAAGCCTGAATTTAGGAGGCCTCCGTTCTTGAAGACAACGGAGCCCCTCCTGGACACCTTCATGTCACTGTTCTGTATGACGCTGATTGAAATCGTTTTCTGGTACGTCACAAGCTGTCTGCCACCATAGCATCTCGAAAACTGAAGACCAACGCAACTCCAACAATGCGCTGAATGCGCTGTTTCTTTCTCTTTAATGTGTAAATGAATCTCTCTGTATCGCTCTCTTTCATTAACACACACACTCTCTCCCTCTCTCCCTCTCTCACTCTCTCTGTCTTTTACTTTAATGCATAAATCCATCTCTCTGAATTGCTCTGTATTTGTGTAAATCAAATCAATCTTTATAAATGCAAAAAATAATTATTGAACAATGATTACACGTAGAAACAGTTGCAAGTTACAGTCAACACATGAATAGGCTTCAGTTGCCTCTCATCGCGGCGATCAGCTGAAACAAGTCATTCGTATGGAAATTTCTCTTTATCGAAACGTATTTTCTAGACTAGAATTACCTCGGATATATCCTTTGCCGCTTCCAGCCATTTCCCATTTCCGCTGGAATGCTGTGCCACCGCCTTTTGATCGGCGTTTGCATCCTAAAAAAACTTTCTCCTTGTAGCAAATTCGTAAGATACCTCGTCGTAGCAGCTGTGCTTCTTCACAATTCTTGTAAAAGCTTCAAGTTCGTCTTTTGACGTACATATCTTCTTTTTCAGAACCATTAGCACTTCTGGACCCTCATTCAAGCGCTGAAAATACACATTCGTTGCTTCGAATCAGCAATGCAATTCGCATCAATTAACGCAGCTGGCTGCGTTAATTGTTATTAATTAGGGACAATAGTAACTTTCGAAGCTAAATCATGCCATCGGATTCCCAAAAAGGCACTTCCTTATTCCAATATGTTTAGAAAGTCAAACATTTCCAAAAAACCATCAAATTTGGTCGAGGCCGGGCACCCCCCACCCCCACAAACATAACCGTGTAAGCTGTCGGAAGCAGCCAAAATTTACTAGCAATATCAATCAAATCGGCAAAACGCTCGTTAGCAGATAGTTTCTTCAACCGAACTTTAAAACCCCCGCCATCCAGAATCTAACCTTACCTGGTGATCTTTAGTATATAAAGTCCCTTGCTCCGTCCGCAAATTCGCCACCACCGACCCAAGCACATCTTTGACTTGAACCGCACTCAGAATGGGCCGAGCCCTGGACCATTTCTTTCCAAAAGATCGTTTCACCTCATCGAGAACCTTCTAAAACAATTAAAATATTTTTTTTTCTCATTGAATATATATTTTCCTCCTTTCTTACAAAAATGTCCTATCATCCATTACATTGTTACGAAATACCTGTTTTCCACCCTTCTTCTCAACCTCCAAATAAGCTTTTCGCAGCGCTCCCAGCTTCACCGCAAACTCTTTGGCTCCCAGTTTCTTTCGGCTCCTCTCGAATCCCAGCCATTTCAGGTAAAGCCGCACCAAGCGACCACGCGTCGGCAAGTCGGCCGTCGTACGACCGCGCACGCACCTCTGGTGCCATGTAGGCATCAGTACCGCAACATCCATCCATCTGTCCACGAACCAACCATGTCGCCAATCCGGTATCACATATTTTTGCAACACCTAATCGATCATTAGTGCTTCTCAAATCGATTCACGTACCTGTATGGTTGTTCAGAAGGATGATGTCCGGCTTGATATCGAGGTGAACTACTCCGGCATGGTGCATTTTGTTTAGGCCATTAGCCACTTGACGATATATGTGTGACAGTTCCGATAGTTCTAGTCCGCCATCGCCGTCTAAAATAAAAAAAAGGGCGTCATACAGTCAGGAATGAGCAACTTACATAGGAAATGTGTCATATCACGCCCGGGAACGTGCTCCATTGCGACTAAGCATACTTGAGGGGCATTTAGAACGATCATATCTTGAAAATAGTAAATCTCATCAGATACGGAAATACAAGTTACCGGTGAGGAGGGGCAGACTGCCACGTGACCTCAGGGTACTGCCCATCCCTCCGAACAGCTGTTCAGGGTACATGGGACCTGTTGACCTGAAGTGACCGGTGATGCGGTAAACTTTGAAATGTTAGGGATACACATTCTAAACAGTGTAAAAAAAAATGAAAATATGCGAGTCTCCGTGAGGCCCGGAGTCCGTTCCGGGGGCCCGGGCCTCATCCGCCTCTCTCTCTCTCTCTCTCTCTCTCTCTCTCTCTCTCTCTCTCTCTCTCTCTCTCTCTCTCTCTCTCTCTCTCTCTCCTCTCGTTGACCTTCTCTTTGTCTCTCCTCTCTCTCTCTCTCTCTCTCTCTCTCTCTCTCTCTCTCGATCTCTTACTCTTGCCCCAGGCTGTAGGGTGTTTCTGATACCGCCTTGGGCGGATGTGGGGGGTCTTTCTGATGACCGGCTGTCAATAAGGGGGTGGGGGGTGTGTCGGACTATATACTACTCGCATTGCATCGTATTTCGCTCCACGCGGTGCCCCATGATAATTACTGCCGTTCTTGCCACAGATATTGCAATGGCATCGACCGGCGCATTGTGCACAAAAGCATCGCCAATAAAGTGGGTCGACTTTTCCCTTCGATGTGGACTTCCAAAATTCTATGCCGTAATCAACGAACATCCCCTTCTGAAATCGGCCGAATCGCCTAGAAAATTTCACATAATTCCTCATATAATACACGACCACCCACCTTTTAACGCTATTACATTTGCTTGTCCTTCCTCACCAAGCTCAATCTTGACAAATTCACAATTCGGGTGCATATAAGAATGATTAACCAAAGGCCCAAAATGTCGCGTCCCTAAAAACCGGTATATTGTCTTGTTTCCATGAAGCACCCTTCATTCCTGTACTAGCCAAATGGGAAACATACCTATGTGGCTCATATTTTGACGATGGTCCAAAAGCCATCTCGATACTGATCCTGCAGTAACTGTTCCATCACTCATGTCCTTCAAGGAATACTCGGACCGTTGGCTAATGTCAACGCGTTGTGCCAACCTGGAAAATAAACTAAAATGCGGATCACACACACAGAGAGACAGACACAAAGACACACAAACAGAGACAAAAAGATAAAGAGAGACAGAAAAAGAGAGAAGAAGAGAGAGAGAGAGAGAGAGAGAGAGAGAGAGAGAGAGAGAGAGATAAACAGACACAGACACACATATAGGGGCTTCGCTTATACTTCCGAAAATCTGATTCCCGAAAATCCGTTTCCCGAAAATCCGATTCCCGAAAATAGAATTCACGAAAAATCTGAATCCCGAAAAATCTGAATCCCGAAAATCTGAATCCCGAAAAATCTGAATCCCGAAAATCTGAATCCTGAAAAATCTGAATCCCGAAAATCCGATTCCCGAAAATAGAATTCACGAAAATTCTGAATCCCGAAAAATCTGAATCCCGAAAATCTGAATCCCGAAAATCCGGTCCCCGAAAAATTCGTTTCCCGAAAATCTGTTTCCCGAAAAATCTGCTTAAGAATCTGCGGTTTGTGAACTGAAAAAAACCCTGGTACAATTCAACGATTCTCTCTAGGCACCCCCCTCTGCCTATAGGCCATTCAATAAAGTTAATTTTTAACTTTGTTTTCTTCCAATTTGGCTTTTCAGAGCGCGGTCTTTCGGGGTTTGGATTCTCGGTTCTCGGATTTTTCGGGATTCAGATTTTCGGGAATCGGATTTTCGGAAAACGGATTTTTCGGGATTCAGCTTTTTCGGGAATCGGATTTTCGGGAATCAGATTTTCGCTAATCAGATTTTCGGGAAACAGATTTTCGGGATTCTCATCGGAAGAAAGAAAGAGAAAGAGAGAAAGAGAGCAGAAGAGAGAGAGAGAGAGAGAGAGAGAGAGAGAGAGAGAGAGAGATAAACAGACATAGACACACATACAGGCTTAGACTTAGGCTTAGGATAGGCTTAGGTTTAGGCTTAGGCTTAGGGTTAGGCTAATAACCTTGTTTTTCTAGTTAAAAACGTTACCGGGCCTGCCTCGCCTCCGCTTCGTCCTCGCCAAAAACCGGGCCAAAAAGTCGACAACCCAGCAGCCTTCTTCGATCTCCGCGATAGCTTTAACTCCATAACCAAGAGACTGCTGGTTCAGCAAACGTTCCTCTGGGAATATTTCCCGAAGATAAGGAAAGGACCCCGCGTACATAAGTCGAAGGAATGACGCCAAATTGCCCGTGGCTCTATTCCCCTCTTGTCTCCTCATCCGAAAGCCTGAGCCATCAAAATTGGATAGGGCCATGTCCTCGTCCAACATCTCGATCTTTTGACGGAGAGCGAAATATTGCTGCCGGGCTACATCAGGCCTGCCCGTGTTCCGCGCATCGATCGTTTTTTTGGTCAATACAACCATCGGCTGCGATTCGTCGAAGACGCCGAAATCTTCCTCCTCACCGGCCACCGAACCAAATTGGCTGGCCCGTTCTCGTCGGTCTAAAAGTGCTGAACATCTACTATAGATAAAAATTTACGATAATAATTTACTAAACAAATTATTCGTCGTCATCTACCATAGCCTAGCCGAGAATTCACGTTGCCAACAATCTTCGAGTAAAACTTTCTTACTTTTTTCTTTTCCCTAATGCTCGTGAAAACAGTTGATCCGGTAGTCGAAAAGCTCAACGCCGGGTACACACCGCCTCTTTCATGAAGGCGATCACCCTCTTGGAAGAATCATCCAAGTCGAGGCCGGGAAACCTGAAATTGGAAAATTAGAATTAATCCGAAAAAAACAGAGTCAGTCAACAGAAAAGACAGGTATGTAAGGGCAACATTCTGGAAAAAATTAGGCATAGAGAGCGAGAAAGAGAGAGAGAGAGAGAGCGGGCCAGGGAAAGAGAAAGAGGAAGGACGGAAAGAGAAAGGGGGGAGAGAGAGAGGGAGAGAGAGAGAGAGAGAGAGAGAGAGAGAGATAGAGAGATTAGCGAAGTATAGACGTCAAGTAGCGAATGACATTCAAATAACCAGTCTTCATCAGAAAGCCGGATTTCAAGAGGTACGGCTTGTAGTGCCTGGTGAGGAGAAAGAACTTTCAAATAGACGAGTATTCGTATTATGAGGAATATTTAGATATAGAAAAAAAGGAATATGCGACCGATCAAAGAAAAGTAATGCCAGATGGAGACTGAGCGACTTTGAATGGAGACTGACGCTTATATAGTGAGGTAGCAGATGTCCCCACACCGGCAGAAGTACTCGCGGTCTTGTCGGAAGCTTTGATAAATTTATTGGTGCCCGCACAGGCGGCTTACCAGGTTTAATTGACCAAAAATTACGTCGATATCGATGTGGGTACATCTGCTACCTCACTAGATAAGAGTCTGCCTGAAGCTCAACCTCATTCGTTCTTCATTCAGTATTACTTTTCTTGACTAGGTTCTATACCCGTCTTTTTGTATAGCTAAATAGCCCTGATATTACTAATACTTTTCTATTTGACAAGTTCCTTTACCTCACCACGTGCATATACCTCTAGAAATCCGGCCAAGGCTTTTATTAAATAAGTTCGTTCCTAATTCTGAATGTCTTTCGCTATTTGGCGGCATACTTAACTCATTTCTCTCTCTATCGCTCTCTCTCTCTTTCTTTCTCTCTCTCTCTCTCTCTCTCTCTCTCTCTCCCTCGCACGCTCTCTACCTAATTTTTCATGAATGTTGCCTTTTCAAACCAAGCCTGTCTTTTCTGTTTCCTTTTTGGATCAATTACAATTTTGCGATTTCAGGATTCTCGGCCTCGACTTGGATAATTTCTTCAAGATTATGATCGCCTTCATCAAATAGGCGATCAAAACCTGGTGTTGAGCTTTTTTTACCCCTGCGGGGGCCTCCCTAGTCTTGACCGTAACGCTAGCTCTAACTTAAGCGACCACTTAGACCCAGAGGAGGGACCGGATGCCGAATTGGCCGATGGTCCAGGATATTTTGGATTGGCTTTTTAGATCTTTATGATACTACCACTACTCACCAGAGCAACCATAACACGAGGTTCCGATAGGTTAAGTATAATTAGTATGCTGAATTATAGAAGTTGAATCATAGTTATACAAATGGGAATAAGATATCTAGTCCCTCATAGAGAAATCACCTAGATTAAGACAATGGAGGTCCCGGATTTTGTGCTCTTTCGTTTGCGGATTCAGCCTGCATCGCCTCCAGGTGTTAACGCTACAAATCGGCGTTTCTAGGAGCCTGAGACACGGAACTGACCACTCCAACCCAAGGGAAGCGCCATGAGGGCCGGGGAGTCGTCGTATTTCATTTCATTAATGCATTAGCTGTGGAATTCACAGGCGCGCGTGTTTTGAAGTAGTCGATTAGATGTCAGGAGAAGACCCCACCACGAAGAGGTTGCCCAACGCTCTGAGTTGAATTGGTGGTGAATTAGGGATCTTGCGCATACCTAGGGTCGCCGTCACATTGAGGGCAATTTGAATAGTCCTATATGAAGCGCGATCGGTGATTTGAGCCGCCATTTTTGCCTAAATCCGGCTTAATTCGTCTTGAGCTCCTTCGACTGCCCCAGGGTAAGGCCCCCCGGATCTGAAAGGAACTTTTAAACCCCCCCCCCCCTACGTTTTGCACGAGAATTACTATTAGTGTTTTGTAGCAGATACCGTAACCCGAAAGAACGTCGTTTTGGCAGCAATATCTAGAGAGCAAATTACCTAATAGCCCGAGTAGGCCCCGCCCACTAGAGACCCACCGTCGGCCAACGGTTGGGACTTCAGTCTACCTCCGCAAGCAGCACGCGACGACGACACTCGGCTACAGTATCCAGGATCATCGAGCAGGCCGGTTTATTGGGAAAAGTTTCGGATTTTGGACGCTTAAGGGAAGGGGCTAAGACCACATTTTGGTGGCTTAGCGCAAATTTCTTTAGCTTTAATTATTCTATTTTTTTCCCATTTGCCTTAGCTCCAGTTTTTTTATTATTTCTAAATCTTTACGTATTTCCAAGCAAGGCTCGGAAAAATTTTTCATCTAAAAACCCAAAAAAATATATAAAAAAATCTAATTTTTTTTGCTATTATTATTTCGTATTATATTATTTTCTTGTTCTTTCGTTGCTAGCCAGACTTATCCAAATGGGAATATTATATCTAGTAGTGATCCCTCATAGAGAAATCACCTCGATTATGACACACGAGAGACCCACCGTCGGCCAAAGGTTGAGACTTCAGTCTACCTCCGCACGCAGCAAGCAACTGTGACGACACTTGGCTACAGCAATCAGCATCCATCAAGCTCATCGAGCAGGCCGGTTTATTGCGGAAAAGTTTTTCGGATTTTGGACACTTAAGGGAAGGGGCTCAGGCCACATTTTGTGTCTTAGCGCACGTTTCTCTGGCGTTAATTATACTAACTTTTTCATTGCCGCGCATTACATGACGGTTTCCAGTTTTTATTTCTTAATTTTTAAGTATTTCCAAGCCAACCTTCGGAAATAAATTCAATATAAAAACGAAAAAAATATAAAAAGATCCAACTCTTTTTGCTATTCTAATTTCTATTATATGATTTTGTGCTTAACTCATTTATTGCTAGCCAAGAAACCAGGCCTAGCAATTCATTCTTTTTGTGGCCTTTTACTATAGTTTTTAGTTTCTAAGCAAACGCTAGAAGATAATATTCAAAACCCATAAAAAACAAAAAAACACCTTTTAAATTTAATTGTATTTCGTAATCGTTTTTAATTACCTTCTTTTGCCACTTCTATTCCTTGCGCAAATCAGGGACAGTCAGGAATCTATTTTCGCAAATTACATTTGTCTTTTCCTAGCTAAAAAACCAGGAAAGTAGCCGCTGCGTTTAATTTTGTATTTTCCTCACACAAAACCAAAAAAACAGCCTTTTCGTATTTTTCTAAATTTTGCCCTTTTCCTAGCTCAAAAGCCAGGAAAGTATTTTGTGCGCGTTTTAATTGTCGTTTCCTAGCTAAAAAGATCCAGGAAAGTAGTTTTTCTTCGTATCATTACTTTATTGCATCGGCTAAGTTCATTAAGCCATCACTCTTGAGTTTTGAAAATCTCGGATTTCGGAATCTCGAATTTCCATGGTATGAACGAACAATAAAGGGGCTCGGAATTCAAATGCGCAATTACTGGTCAAAAAACAAAAGAGTCGCTGCCGGGAAGTACCAGAAAAGTTATTTCGTTGCGAAAAAAAGCGTAAAATATTTTGGTAAAACCGAAAAATTCGTGCAGCGCGGTTCTGAAATTCGAGATACCGATTTTGAGATTTTCATGGATTCCAGAAAAATCTGAGGAATTTTGTAGGCAATTCGTCCCATAGCAAAGGGCGACGAGCTGTTTGTCGACTACGGAGCACAATTTTGGCGGTGCAAATCAACCGGGAAAGTCGATCCGCTGTACTGGAGATGCTTTTGTGCCAAGTGCGCCAGTCGTTGTCATTGCGAGATCTGTGGAAGGAAGGGGAAACAATTATCGTGGAGAACCGCATGGCGCGAAATATAATACGACGCGACAAAAAACAATGTTACTGCTGTGCCGCTTATGTCGATGGCAATAGCTGTGTGACGTGTCGAACTGACATCGAAGAGGTGATTGCGGTGGCAGATTCGAAATGGCTGGGACTCGAGATCAGACGATTTTATCAATTAGGTTCGTTTTTAATTCTGAATTTGCTTCGTCATTTGGCGTTGGATTTCGCTCACCGTAAAGTGGTTTGCTCAACTTGGACTTTCGATTCGGGACCAAGTGCATCTTGTGCAGAATTTTTCGCTGATTCCGAATCCGTCTTCTATATTTGCTACGGACTTTTATTTTAAAAGTCATTTTGGTGCAAATTAGGCGTTCGAATGGCGAAAAAAATAGCAATGATACCGAAAAAGCCGCACAACCCGATTTTTAAGTTTATTTTTGTTTTTACCATAACTTTTGGAATTATAATACGAGCTAAAGCCAAAAAAAAATATATTTTTCGATGTGCTATCGAAGAGCGTTGCAAACCCCCCAAAAAAACGAAAGTATCGAAAAAGGCATGTCGGTCCGCCCCCCCGCCCCGCGTAACTTTGTCCCCCCGCAAAGCCTAAAAATACAAATCTTTTTTTAATGTGGCTTCTTATCTCTTTTTTATAGCTCATCATGACGCTGGAAAGGCAGCGCTACGTCATCGACGATGAAATGGCCAGGACCAGGAAGCTTTTGGGAGCGTATCGAGATATGCAGCTACATGCACCAGTCAAAGCGCTATCTTCAAATATGTGCCTGAGTCGCCAAAACTTCTTATCTTAGTGTATCATAGATTGTATATATGCCGAATAAGACTTTTTTAATTTACAAAGATTTATTTATTAGGTTGGACCGAAAGTAATTGTAATATTTCGATTGTAAAAATTTTATGGAAGCCACAATTCGTTCATTCTAATTTTTTGCTATGATGGAGGGTTAAGTCTTGTCCAGTTTCAGTTTTATTTTTAACTCGGGACTGCCACAAATTTTTTTAGTTAGCTGGAGAAGATCGAGCGCAATCCAGATTCCGGGTTATTGGTTTCCGTGAAGGATCTCGCCGGCCGTTCCGATCCTAGTGGTCTGAATAAGTGATAGTAGATAGAGAAAAATTTGGGCTATGCAGTGCAGTAAAGAAAATTTTAATAGTTAGCTGCATTATTTTTTCCCAGGTCAATTTTAAAAGATGTCAATCTGGGTTTCGGGCTACGAATCGACATATTCCTTTGTCGGCCGTTTTCTCCGAGTTTAGTGGATAACTTTTTGAGTGGACTCTATCAAAATGAAGCTTAATGAAAGCTGTTTTATGTCCGTAGATCACCTAAGAACAAATGTTATGTCTCCGTCTGGAATTGAGAAATGAAACGTAATTTTGAGCACATTTTGGTTTTATTTTTTTTCTCCGCGAAAGAATGGGTTTAGGGTATTGGTAATTTTACTACAGTATCTACTGTGGATGAAAAATAGTACTGCACTATAGAAAAACCTTGATTGGCAAAGTTGAAAGAGTAGCAATGCAAATTGTGTGTCGCCAGCCATTCTCCGGGTCGGTCACTTGGTGCCTCACTAATTTGCAAAATTTGTTCAGATAAAGAAGGGTGGGGAAAATAGCTGGGATTAGTATTATGTTTGTCAATAAAAACTGCCTATGATAAACAGATCAGATTTAATTTCATTATCCTCAATAAATTTAAGGGAGCCTTTTAGTTAAGCTCTCCGAAAAGTCGGATTTTTATCCAAACAAATGAGAATATCGGCCGACTGTAAATCCGTTAGCTGAATTGGGCACCATAGTCAGAAAGATATTAAACTGGCATTATACAATAAAAATTACGCTTGGGGGATTCCGACACTAACAGTTGTTATAAGGCTGGAAAGAAAGAGGCATCCCGGATGCCGCCGCTACGGGTCGACCGGTGCCACCGACTAAATAAATTATAAAAAAAGTTGTAGAGCTAGGATTCGCGCGATATTTTTAGGCGATATAGTACTGTGCTAGACCAAACAGAAAATTAAAAAAAACAGTCAGCTACTTGGTGGACTTACTAGAAATATTGACCCGAAAATCTATTACAATTACTTTCGGTCCAACCTAATACTTTACACCGATAGCGAGCAGTACAGAGAATTAGGCTTACCGGCCTAAGTGTATTATACCCCCCCCCCCCATTTCGCATTAGCGGCGAGTTGGCCGCTACCTGCGACCAGGCTAGAAACATGCGCAAAATTTTTCTGCATCGATTGGTGTATTATTTAGGCGGCGGCCAGGTCGCCGTTTTTTCAAAAATAGCATTTTGTAGCAAGAAAAGAAGAAAAAATAATGCATCCCTATGCTTAAAACAAAATCTAGATTTATTTTAATAGTTAGACGTTTTCCAAGGAAAGTTGTCAATCCAAAAAGTTTCCGCGGCGCTCCTCGATCCGGCGAATCGCATCGTCGGTATCGGACCGGGTTGGTTCCCTTGAGTCCTCGACCTTTGCGGCAAAACATGGGAAGCAAAAGTCGCGGTACGGCTTCATGAACGCCACGCAGCAGCAGAAGCTGATCAACTGAAAAAGGTGAGTGTAATGTATTGAAATAGAAGTACGCATGCTGCGTACAGTAAGCAGTTTCGAAGTGTACATGCGTACTGTAGTGTACTGTAGTGCGCTGTTTACCAACGGATACGTATCTTTCCAGTAGACAGTATGAACGTGACGTACAACGGACGGGCTGTCAACGTGTAATTGCGTACTGTAATGTACTGTAATGTGCCTTTCGTGAACGGATAAGTATAATGGGCTTTCTCAGTGTGACGAGTACTGTAACGGATTGTAAACGTGTAACGACCTGATGTAGTGCACGGGAGAGCACTGTTCGTCTACGGATAGGAAGCATTATCATGGCTTTCCTGAGCGTGGCGTGTACTGTAGCGTACTGTTATGTGCGCTCCATGCGTATTATGTACTATTACGTACGGTCTATCACCCACCGGGTAGATGAGCAGCAAGACCAAGAAGGTGTGCTTATAAAATGCGTTCGATACGAGCGTCAACTGGTCGATTGCGTAGCTGACAACGAATGTCAGGACCGGGATCATGATCCCGAAGAGCGGGTAGATATTCTAAATTCAGCGATTTGAAAAATTGACGGTTTTTTATACCTGCGCCACGATCATCATTAGCATTTGCTGATGGGCTTTAAACGTCTTTTCGGAGAGGCTTGACTTGACGCCCTGGAGTTTGTACCAAAGCTGCAAAGGCTTTTTTCGATAGCTAGCTTTCTCGCTCTCTCGCTCTCTCTAGCGCTCTCTCACCTGCGCAGCCGATAGAAAATTAGCAAAATACATAGCGAAAATCCCGACAGCCACCATCTACAGCAAAAAATTCTATATTTTTATAACGGTCCCACCGCGGCAAAAAGATACGCTTCCAGTACATGCTCCCCTTTTACAATTGATAGAAGCGGTATATCGTTGCCGACTGCGTACCGGATATACTCGTACTCCTTGGTGTTGTTGAATTGCGAGATAAGGATCTAAACGAAAAATCGCATTTATCTCTCCCCCCTCTCTCTCTCTCTACCTTCCGATCAGCTAGTGACAACCAAAATGTCACTGATAATGGTAACGCCATCCCAGTGTTTCCTATTAACACAAATGGAATACTTATCCAGGGGTTGTAGACGTAGCCGAGCAACCTAAATGGCATCTACAGTAGCTGTGTTAAAACCCAAATGTTCTGAGACCTTTTGTTATCATGTATTATCAAGCTACGCACATACAAGGCCCCATTGATCGCGGTGAAGATGTTGACGCCGGAGAAGAAGACGAAGCTCACCTAAACACCACATCGAATTTTAAGGAGATTTTTAAGGCATCGCTTGGTAAGTCACTCCTAATGGCCGCGCCACGCCACGCAGTGTCGTCGTTGACTACGTATTGAGCAATGCATAACGCGGGCCGCATGTCTCATTTGGTAGGCAAAACCCGTTGTAAGGCCACGAAATATAAAAGGTGTCCCATAAAAAAGCACCCCTCCGGCATTTCGCCATATTACATCCTATCGGGCCCAAAATTGGACCAGAGGTGCACCAGGCCCTAAATAACCACAATCCTGAGTTATAGCCCGCCAGCTACAGTTTTTCAAGATACAACAAAAAAAAACTTTATTATTCCTTTTTCATAAGGTTTTCGTCGGAATCGACCATTCGAGTATTAAGTGAAAATCAAAGGCAAGCGTTCTTCATTCTTAGAAATTTTTTCCTAATAAAAATTCATCAAATAACCGTTGATTTCAACGATTTTTGTAATGCAAAGTCACCCCCGATATTAAGCGAAATTTAGCCGGAAGTCGATGCAAACCGATGCAAAGTCCAAAAAGATAGCCGAAAAAACTGTTAAAAGCCGCATGGAAAACGGTATTTTGGCGATAACTCGAAAATTACTGTAGCGATCGGGCTAAAAATTAGGATTGTGGTAATTTATGGTCCTATACACCCTTGTGCAAAGTATGGAACTGATTGGATGTAAGGCGGCGAAATGCCGGAGGGGTGCTTTTTTGGGACACCCTGTAGAGTAGCGCCTTGCACAGCTCTTTAGCATACGTAGCGTTTTTCATATAGATTTTTAACTTTGTAAAGTTACGGAACTTACCGCCAGTTTCGCCCCAAGGTCTCCAAAATAACCAGCAATCCCGTGAACCGCGCCAGCTGGGACCGGGAAGCAGAGCTCCGGAAGTAGCAGGACGGCCATACCGAGGGAAAAGCACTCATCGCACAGCTAAACTCTGCTTGCAAATACACCGTACGATACCTATTCTATACCTTGAAGTTACCCAAACATTAAAGGCACAATAATAAGGAGGACCGGGGCAAATTTTGGTTTGTTTTGTCTTAGTTGCACGTATGCCACTTAATCGATTCATTAAAGTTGCTAATAAAATAATAAATAAATAACAATAAAAAAAATAAAGGCAAGAGTGAAAATGACAAATCCACCCAAAAAATGCGCGCAATTGGTAGGATAATTATTACATAGACAGCTTTCTATATTTTATAATTTCTACATTTTTTTACGCAAAGACTAGAAAACAGAGTAAATAAAAAATAAAGAAATAAAGAATATAAGGTCATCTCCAACCACCCACCGCCAATCTGAAAAGCACCCATTTGAACAGCTTCATCTCGACAGGCGACTTCTTGACGATCAGATACATCCAGAATAACGACACGACAGTCCCCAAACATCCCAGCGTGTGGTAGAAGATGTTGATGAGCGTGTTTTCAAACATTTATGGACATTAGACCAGTAGAGGCAACAGTTTTTGGAGCCTTATCTTTTGGCGCAGGTGAAACATCAGCTGCAGCTGGCCTTGAGCAATAGAAGGCCAATTTTGGCCGTTATTTTGGTGAATTAGTAATGTAAATTGTAATGGGCTTTAAAGCTCATTTTTGGAAAGGTGAAAAATTTATCGGAAAAGCCATTCCTTAAGCCAAAAATCGAGTTTTCCAATTTTTATTAGCGAAAATTCGTTAGAATTTAACGGCAAAAATTTTGGATTTATCGACCGGCATACGGTATATTCCACATGTTAATTTATAGTACCACCAATAATATTTAAACAAACAGTGCAACAAATAACATCACAGCGCTGAGGTACGAAATTCTGATGGAAGTCTTGGTGGTGGTCGGGACGCCGCCAGGACCTCCAGTTGTAGCAGTACCGGCCGAGGGTCCAGCGCCCGTTACTGTAGCTCCAGTAATTGGAGGAGCAGCAGAACTGAAAATAGCACTCATTTAATCACTGACATAAATCTAGGTGTCTGATCCCTTAATACTCGTCCCAAAATACAACTGTCTTTTGGGTTAGCACATAGCTGTCGATACCTAATCACCGAGGGGGCGATTTTGGACTTTACTGTTCCTTTTAGTGCAATTTTTCACATACCTCTGTACAGTATGTTCGGTCACCGGAGAAATCGGAAGGTTCGTAGCTTGGGTCGGGTTTGGTGCCTTAGTAGTCACATCATTTGCTGTAGTCACTCCTCCATTCGCTGTCGTAACAACCGGCATGGTTACGGTAGGTGCCGTTACTGTTGGGCCAGTCACGGTAACCTAATAATTTGCATATTTGTATTTTACGATGGCAGGAGAGAGAAAGGGAGAGAACGAGAGAAAGAGAGATAGAGATAGAGAAAGAGAGTGAGCGAGCGAGAAAGTGAGAGCGAGGGAGAGATGGGTAGAGAGAGAGTGAGTGAGAGAGAGCTCGAGACAGACCGAGGGAGAGCAAGAGAACGAGAGAGCAAGAGAAATATAGTCGAGTTTAAGAGAACAGCTAAATTTTTCTTACCGGATTTCCCGTAATAGTCACTGTAGGAACATTTTGCGTGGTTGTCGGCATGTAAACAGATGTTACAGGGAAGATCGTAGGAATTGAAGGTTGAGTATGGTCTCGTGGGGCGATGAACGACTGAATTTGCATTAATTCATAACATTTTTCAGTAACTCACGGCCAAATTCTGCTCAATGAAAAGCCGGGCGGCCACCAGCGCTCCAGGTTCGCCATCGTAGACGGGGTACATATCCGAGCAGTGGGCGGTGCCTGAATTTGTTGAATTGATGAACTTCAATTTTCAAAAACAACGTATTAGTATTAGTAATAATTGAGAATCGAAATACAAATGATTTTAAATTTTTTAAATTTTGTTCTAACTATAATTAGCTTATGAATCGGGTCCCACCATTAATCAAAATTGGTGCCACTCCATTTGCCGCGTCGACCGTATACGTTCCAAGTGCGTGCCAGGGGTCTAGGGAGCCGTTTGGAAGCACGATGTTGGTTGCCTAAATCGGACTTTCTGACATAAAGATTTACAAAAATTGCTGTTTTTTACATAGATATTTTGATTTTTCGAAGATTATGCTGACCTCACTAGCCACTTGATAGTAATTCTGAGCCATTTTGTTGTTGTCGCGCACAAAATTGACATTAACCGCCGGCCCGAACAGGTCGGTGCACATGTCGATGAAGTAGCTGTATCATAAAAATAGGTGTTAGTCATAGAATCAATCTAATTAACAAACTTACGCTTTTTTTTACGCTTTAATTTTTCAAGGCTAAAAAATTAAAGCTAAGTAACAATCCTTTAATTGTTATTTTCAAGCAAAAACGCAAAAATTTCATAATGCGCCGGTTATATATGTGCAACAACTTTAAGAACAAAGCATTAACTTAAAAACATATCTTTACGTTTAAAAGTTTTTTTAAAGAAGCCAACTTGATCGGCACCGTCGACCCAAAGATGTTCTTGCCCTGGTCGGTGGTCTGCAAGAAGCCAATCTCGTTGCAGCACAGCCACATCCACCCACGATCGGCGCCTGCAGGATGAAAAATTATCGTCAATCAATCGTTAATAGCAACGAAAGATACAGAAAAAATTTAGCGTATTTACGACATGCCATCAAAAAAGCAAGATCATATATACAAAAATAATGGCTCAAATGGAGTCGGTTTTTGGTCAGGTCTCCCATTTTCCATATATTTCATCATTGCCACTATGGACCAGCGCCCAGGTGCCGAACCCGGGTCAGTCGGGTGGGGCGCGGCGCCCTAATCCCCTGCGCCAAGAGCACCCCCCTGGTGGGAGGGGCGAACGGCTTCTTAGCCCCGCCCCCAATCCTAGCCTACGGCCCCGCCCACCCACCCCCCCCCCCCGCACCCCAATTCAATACGGCAAATTTCACGTAAATGCCTCCGCGTTTTTTTTTGCTTTTTGATTGTAAGGGGCTAAAAGACTAGCTGTTTTGCTCATTTTTGCTCATTTAACACAATTTCGGTCTTAAGAATCTTAGAGGCATAGCCGTTTGACCTACCATTCTCATCCATCAGCGTCACGTTCTTCTGGCTCATCGCCGTGATCATGTCCCAGTAGCTGTTCGGGAACTTGGAATTGTCCTGCGTGGGGTCGCCGTAGAAATATTGATACCTAGAATTAGTCACTTTCAAAGTTTATTGAAGACTATTTACGGAAAAATAAGCTAAACGCTCGAATTTGCTTCACAGGTTAGTTTTGCGATTAAAAATTAAAAAGCCAATTTTTGTTTTTGCCTAATTATTAGTAGTATTTAATTGCTAAAAAACTACAAAAAAGTATGTAAAAAATTTTTTAAATTCGCAAATCAAGGCCTTTTTGTTCATTTTCATAAATTTTTGCAATAAAATCAAAAATTTTCGAAAATTTTATAAATTTTTGATACGCTTTTTATATCTAAAATTTTGTTTAAAATTTTACCTAAATATTTTGTTAAGGTGCCGTACAAGATTACTCGGAAAAATTTGTTGCCCCGTGCTTAAATCCCCCGCTAACAGCCCAGTACCGTAGTCTGTGATAAGCCACGGGTATCAACAGGATACCAACCAAAAACCAACCATCCCCACACATTATAAGCCCGCTTCACCGGGTCGGCCTCATCCTTGTTCGTCATCAGGTTGCACAGCGCGCGGGCGGTGATGTTCTGATGCGTCAAGTCGGACTAAAATTAATAAAAAGTAAGTCTAATGCCTAAAAACCTGTCCATCGTATGTGTATTGGATCATCCCTTGGAATAGCGAGTACACGTTCGCCAAAAAGTTGGTAATATCGAGTTTGGTGGTGGAGTTGTCGAACGGTGGGTCGAGGCTGAAAAAATATCGAAGATTTTACTGTTTTTTGTTAGATTCTTTAAAAGTGATTGCTATTTTAACTTTTTATAACCAACTTTTTAAACTTCTATAAATTGCCGCTCAAATTCCAGGACTTCATCGCTTTTTTATAACATTTCTGAGGCCAAAACCCACTTCCAAATCTTGTTCAAGTCGTTCCGGCCCTGGACGGTGAGCGTCATTTGTTGCATCTGGGAAAAGGCCTTCTGAATTTCGCCCGGGCACGTTGGGTCGGTGATCGTGACGTCATCCTCGACAACCATGGCGTATTCTGAATTTTTGGTTTTTTATTTTTCGCTTTCTTAAAGAAAAGTTCATATTCATATCTTGCTCTCGCCCTATCTCGTTCTCTCTTTCTCCCTACCTCCCTTTCTCTCTCTCTCTCTCTCTCTCTCTCTCTCTCTCTCGCTTTCTCTCACTCTCTCTCTCTCATTCTCTCTCTTTCTCCCTCTGGCAATATAGAAAAGACTTACCATAAAAATCAAGCTTCAAGTTCACCGGCGCCGAGCTGGCGATGGCGCCAACGGTATGATCGGGGTATTTGGCCCGGAAGAATGCCGATAGCGAGCCTGAACAAAAATTATGAATAACAACAAACGGTAATTCCATGCTTTTTCGTATCGTCATTAGTATACTTTATTCATTATAAACTTATTTTAAACCTTATTAACCCCCAGTCTACCATAAAATCCATACCTGGATAACTGCCCCCAAACGTAACCCATCGCGGGTTGCTGAATCCGAATTTCCGGTTCATCGCCGTGATAAAATTGGCAATGTCGGCGAGGGCCTGCTGGGTGGTGCACAGCGTCAACGCGTCGTATTCCATGCTCCTTTAAAGGTATAATTAGTGAATGGTATCGACTAGCGTAAAGCTTTACGTTTAGGAACAGTAAAAATTTTAATTTTTTAAACATTATAATTTCAAAAATTTAGGAATTTTCCCGCAATTTATAATATATTTAAAAAATTCGATACCAAGAAAAAATATTGTCCCCCCCGGTAATGCGAAAGAACCGAAAACATCAAGTTATCATTAAACATAAATACCCACTTGATCGGCCAGCTGTCGCCAAAGAATCGATGCTCCAGGTCGAACACCATCGCCCCGTATTTCGCGGCCCATTTTAGGTAGGAGACATCAGGATTTCCGGCCCATTTTACCGGCTCCGGTCCTTCTCCCCCTAAAAGATTACAATTTGAAGTTATAGTCCAGAAATAGCTTTTTAATCGTCAAAAAAGCTTCGAAAACCTACCTATCATCAAAAAGATCAGGCTCTGATTCTGGTAGTACTTCGAATTTTGGTAGTATTTCTAAAAGCCGTTAAAAATGTAATAATATCGTGAACCTGTTGCCAAGTTGCCATATTCCTCGGGTCAAAATGATCGAGCTTTTGGGTGAACCAATTCGTCTCTACCCACGGCCACGGGTTGTCGCCGTCCAGGGTGGAGGTGCCGGGTGTCGAATGGTAGTAGGAAGATCTAAACGTTAGAAATTATAACTTACCAACTTCTTCAAGCATTACAATTTCCTAAATTCGGTACTTTAGCATTATCGGGGGGGGGGACGGACAAGTTTTCTAAGGATCCCATTTTTCTAATAGTTATAAAGGGCGTATTTCTAAGCTATTTTTACTTTTCCTAAACGCCGAAACTGTACAAATTCTGATTACAAATCCAAAAAATATCAATTCCGACAAAAAAAGGCCGATTTTGAACAAAGTTTTGCTAAAAAGAATTTTTAATTGATTTTCTGAATAAAATATAGTTAAATTGTACTAAAAACATTACTAAGACACTTTACCGGGCATTTCTGGACTTATAGAAAAAAGTTGGACCCGAGATAACGTAAAAGACCCTAAATAAATTGCCGTGATTGATTTCCTACCTCAAATGCCCTCCTGGCGGTCTGCCCAATAAAAATGGAGGCCGATGTCGGCTCCGCGAAAATATAGAAGCACCGGAAAGGACCGATCCGGCCAGGGCGGCCAGGAATAGTAAAATCGGCCTCATTTTGCCCAAGTTTGGCCTGAAAGTAAGTTAGAAATGGCATGAATAGACGCCCTTCATCCATTCATACGTCAATATTGAAAAATACACTTTTTGCATCAATTCAATCGCTTTCATATCAGCTGTTATTAGAAACCCGAATTGCGTTTAAAGCATAAAAACAAGAATAATGCACAATCTACAAGACTAATTCCACGAAAAAACGCGTGAAAATGACGTCTCGGAATGGGATTCCAGTGCCCGCCGAATTTCGCTCCCGTCTTATCACCGGTCTTCCATTTAGGGCCCCGCATTGATTCAGCGCCCCAATCCGATTCGGCAGCTTAACTTTTGCCAAGTTTCCAAGCTGCTTTTGCGCGCTGCGGTAGTGATGAGACTTCAATCTGCTAACTAGGCTCGATGCAGGCTTTTTAAAGTACAAAAAAACTACCATCACATGTCGTAATCCTAAATATTAAAAATAGTACGTTGGCTTCGAAAGCCGGCTTCACATCGCTAAGCTCGCCGGACCCTTCACATCATTTGCACTTTGGCGTATCCCGCTTTTCCCCTTCTGTCAAAGAGTAAATTTATTGAGCAATGGTTCAATAAAAATAAGGGCAAACGGGTAATCGTAGTATATCGACCAAAATTTATACAACAGAGCAACGGAATACGCGAACGAAATGATGCGTTCAACTAACTAGGCCTAAAAACACAGAAGTCAACGAAAAAAGACACTAACTAAAAACAATACCAATAGATCACGATTTGACAATCTTCTTGAACCAGGAGGGCCGCTCTCGTTCCAGCTCGACGACGCGGCGCCCGTCAACTACCCCTTGGTCGGTGCCGTCGTCGCTGAACTTCACGTGAAGCTGAAAAAAAGAAAAATTTGTGAAATAAAGCATACACACACCTCCCGATCCTGCACCTCGCCTTTGTACGGGTTGTACGCCATCATCTTGGCCTTGATCTCGTTCGTCAGCCCGTGCACCTAAATGATAAATAAAGAGGGTGCTTTTGCATTATAGGGGGACTAATTTTTTCCTGCAAGTCAGAAATGCCTAGGAGCGTAATAAGCGTAATAAATAGTTGCGTAATCGTTTTTAATAACCCAACGCTATCTCAATTCGACAGCTATTAAAAACAATCGAAAAAGTTGAAAATTATGCGATTCATTCAAAACGCGATTGAATTTCAAAATACTCGAAAATCGGCGGTTTTTGGTTGAGAAATAAAAGGGGAACAATAAAGGCAAAACAAGCGTTTTCGTTGAGCTTTTGTTAAGGCGAAAGCACCACAATAACAAATACAATTTTTCACAAACCTTTTCGTAACATGTCCCGCAAATCGTTTCGGCTAGGTGCTTGCTGCCGCACGAAGTGCAGGTGACGATGTCAGTCTTCGGCATGAAGAGCCTTGTGTACGAGTGCTTCCGCGTCATTTTCGTGGCTAAAAACCGAGATGATAATGCAACGAATGGTTTACGTTTGGTCGTGCGCGTCTTCGGCACGCCCCAAACGATTCCCATGTCCCGCACAAGGTCGCTCATCGTTGCTGGTGCTGAAGTGGACGCTGTCGGAACATTTGTAGCCAAGGCGAACGCCTGAAAACATTCATTAATAAACATCTTACTAAGCTTACCATGTCTGGTCTGACAGGCGGGAATCTCAGCAAATCATCTATTGCACGCGCCGCTCTAACCAAGAAGCTACGCATTTTCTGAAAAGAGGAATTACAGAATCTTTGCTATCAGACAGATCTTAGAAAATTGGACATAGGGGAAAAGTGTTCCTAAGCAGATTTTGAAATGCAACCGTAAAAATTGCACTGCTCACACGTTGCTCAAAACTACCGAAAAGAACCCGTTTTCGACTAAAATTTAAAACAGTTTCTATTGGCAGCTAAATAATATTTCCACTTCACATCTACCCAAGTTTCACCAAAGGCCATTAAAATGCTTCCTCTTATAATCTTTAGAAATCCTTCACTTAGATGAGAGTTTCGGTATCCAACAGCATTCACCACCGCGAGAACGTCGAGGAAAACTTCCGGGATAAATTAATTTTTATTTCACACACACAGTTCGCGAATAGCATGCGAAAAGGAAAGCAGTGTTTGGCTTTATGCCGCATCATTCGACGATCACAACGACCCATAATTTAAACATCGGTATAAAAAAGAAATAGAAAAAGTGAAACGCTTCAAAAGTCGTCGTCATCCTCCTCGGCCATCTCCTTGGCGAACTCCAATTCCTGCAAAGAGATTAAAGAGTTAGCTAAGCAAAAATTACCTGTTGCTCACGCTCACGCTGCTGCTCGATCGTCTCGAGATCCGGGTTGTCTTTCGGCGGGAAGCGCAGGGCTTTCACTGCGTGGTTGTGCAGTTCAAGGCAATATCTAAAAATGGTAATACATAGATTTCAAAGCTATATAGTACCTGATGCGATTGTCAAATTGGTGCTGCGGCTCAACCGTGCCGTAAATGTCTGCCACTTCGTTGCTGCGCAAGTATCTAAAAATAAATAGGTTACCACAAAGCGCAAAATTACCTCTTGGACTGGCCATCATTAGAAAGAAGTTGGGCGTCAATGCCACCATCAGAGATCGCCTTAGCAACCTAAAGAAAAATTAAATAAAATAACAAAATCAAAATACCATGTATTCGGTTTCCGTGGCCGTCGACAGCTGCAGTTTGTGTTGGATATCCTAAAGAAAAATTATAGCTTTCAAAACATCAATCTTACCTCGATGGAAATACGCGAATAAACGGCGGCAATCTGCTTGATCGCGGCGCGGATCACATTTTGCTTCAGACGGACGACGAGGGTCAGCGTCTCGTCCTGCTCGAACGATTTCCCGTGCTTGGCGATGATCGCATTGAACGCTGCGAGGTCGCCGATACGAACACTTTGCGACAGCTCGAGATACGGGGCCAGGCAGCGGCGGAAAATTGGTTGCCGGAAGACGGAGCGCTCCGGGATGTCTCCCTAAAAACCACACCCTCCAAAAAAATTCAAAAATACTAACCTGAAGCAACCCGACAACAATGATCCACTTCTGCACGTTTTGTTTGAAGCCGATGGCCGAGTCTTGGGGCGCCTTGCGGAAAGCCTGCAGGAAATAGCCGGACGCGGCCATGTAGTCGAGTTGCATGGCCTTGATGCGGCCTTGGTAGTAGAGGAAACGCGCCAGATCATTGTTGGAGGCGCCTTCCGGGAAGTTGACCTGAAGTCAGGGATAAAAAAACTCTCGGAAACCAGATACCTTTGTAACGAGCTTTGCCGCGCTGGGGTAATGGCGGCCGACGAGGTAGGCGCGCAGCAGCGTGTAGATGAGCACGGCCTGCGATTCGGCGTAGCCACGCAGGGTCGAGGTGCGCAGACGAGAGTTGAGGAAACTAAATACGATATTTTAGAAACCATGAAAATTAAATACTCTCTCAGGTTGTCGAGCGTTCCCGTTTTCTCGGCGATCAACGCGTAGTAGAAGTAGGCCTTCGCGACGATGGCGTCAAGGCTGCGACGATCGAGCTGGTCGAAACGCCTAAAGTTTGTTAGCAATAAGTTAGAGATTGCGAACTGGATGAGGTTGATGAGGGCCTGAGAAGACTTGTCGAGTTGGCCGGCGTCAAACAAGTAGAGGGCAGTCAATAGATGCAAGTAGAGATCGGTCTCCGGCGAGTTGACGACCGGGCGACGATTTGGACGAGGCGACCTGAAAACAGAAAATTAGTATTGTGCACTGTCTCATTACCGAGCCGGCTTTGCTGCTTCAGTGGTGTCCATCAGGGTATCTGGCTTCACATCAGGGGCCGGCACCCAGGCGAGAAGCTGCTCCTTGTGCAACTGCGAGGAGGAAGAGCTGGCGTTGAGCAATTGATGAATGACCTAAAAATTCATCAAATCAATTTTTAATACACTTACCACGTTATTCAGCCCCTTCCTCGTCTTGTGGAGCACCTGCAGCACGCGTCCGATCACGTGCGCCTCGCCCTTGTCGAGCAGGGCACATTGCTCCTTTATACCTACGAAAATGTTGCAGATGCTAAAATCAAAAGCTTACGCTCAACGGCGATGGCGTTCAAATCCTTGGGCGGCTCGACGGCTTTCTCCTCGGCCGCCGGCTTCGGCTCATCCACCTCCATCTTTTCGACCTTGTTGGCGGGTGGCATCTAAACAAGTGAAAATTATTGGAAAGTTGCTTATAGAGATTATGGGAAGAAGAGAAAAGCCACAAGGATAAAAGGGAAACCCTTTGGAAAAATTGTTGGAAGCGCAAATTGCTCAGCCGTGCGGTATCGGGGATTACTAGAAGGTCATGTGACTTTTTTTTTGAGAAGCTTTCGTGAAATTCAGCCGATTTTTCTACATTTAATCAGAGCAAATGATTCTTGAGACTTCCGAATTTTTAAAGGATTTCTATTCGCGCGGTATCGCGTATCAAAAAGGATGACAATTACAAGGGGATTCGAAATGAAGAAACGAGTTTTGGCCCAGGTAAACTTCCTAAGGTTCTAAATTCCATAAAAAAACATTCTTTCGAGCCTTTTTTACAGAAAATAAAGATCGTAGAGTTAGTAAAAATTTTTAGAAGACCAAATTATTTAGCCGCGACACCATGATTTTGGGTAGTCGTGAGGGCGCCCCTTTCAGTTGGTGTTAGTAGCCGCGCGTACAAGACTCCTACGACGGCGCCGAAACCAAAATTTCCTGTGTAAAAGCAAAAAAAAAAAACCAAGAAAATCTCGGAAGTTTTGCGTTAGTCCGCTAGGTTCTGTTGAAGAAATAGAAGAAACTAAAGAAGCCCGTGACCACAACCTAATTAGAACGAAACATTTAGAAGTGGATACCGAGTCAAAACCCCCAAAAATTCGAAAGTTTTCTTATTTTGAGCGAGCTGAAACTACAAATGAAGGAATGCCACTTGACACACGGCAATGAAGCAATGGTTTCAGTCGCAACGGTAAATAGCAACGGCTACGCGACGCTCCAATACACACCGCTTTGAAGCAAACTCTAGTCTAAAATCGGAAACTCCAAAGCCTGGCCCAACTAGTTTTAATTTAAAATTTAGTTTTTAGATAAATTTTTTAGTTTTTAGAAAAAAAAATTGCAAGCCTAGGCTTGAGTTTAGGCTTAGCTTAAGCTTGGCCTTGGTTTTGGCTTAGTTCAGGCTTACAAGGAGATGGTTTCAGCTCGGCATCGCATTTGACTTGAAAATTACGTTTGGCTTCGTTTGGCTTCGGCTTCGAGACCGGCTTTGGCTGGTAAGGGCCTAGAAATTGGACCCCCCCCCCTCCTAACTTCAATAGCTCCGGATTTTCTTACCTCAGACGAACCTTATCGGAGACGAGTCGGACTGGTTGGCGAGCACATATCGTTTTGTGGTAAAAGGCTCAATTGGGCTGTAGCATTATCAGTTTTCAGGAGGGGAGCTCTTAGCTGACTTCTTAGCTGGGCCACGTCGTTCTTTATGAACAAAACTCCCTAGTTACCAAAGTTCTAATTTCGATTTCTCTATTTTACCATTCTGGATACATTTCATTCGCAAATTACGCGGCTTAAAATACCTAAAAATTAAGCATGGCGTTACGCCGTAAAGACGGGGATGGTATCGTCAACTTCGGAAAGGAGCAGTCAACAGGCGTACCATTGGAGCAACTGGTCAGTGGAGCCCAATCTATCTATTCCATGGATTTCCAGGTTCTAGTTCGTTAGCGGGGGGGGGTTGTCAATTGCCTCTCTTCTCTTACATTGCATTATGTTGAGCCGTGTATAAGGCTATTAGCTTATTTTTTTGTTTAGCTCCCTATAGCGTTAAAAGAATGTCGAAAAAAATCGAAAATCCCGAAAAATAGCTTATCAACCCCATTTTTAGGGTTATTTCTGCTTTCGTTATACCTTTTTTAAACTATTGGGTTTTTATCTAGAATTAAAAGTCTTAGGATATTTCTTGATGCTCTAACGGTCGCGAGGATGTAGTCCCCAAAAAATGATGAAATAATGAAAAATCTACGACATTAAACTCCGCCCTCGCTATTTCCCCCCCCCCCTCGCTAACGAACCAGAACTGATTTCCAGATCAACCATGCAGCCGCCAAAAAGATCTCGATCTCCGTGGCCGAGCAGAGGAGCTGGTGGCCGGATGGTCAACCAAAAGACGTGACCCGCACCATCCATGTGTCCAGCTCGGCAAACTGGTCGCCTGAAGGGCTAGGCACAAAAATTTCGGGGCTGCTGGGCGCGTGTGGCGATGCCCTAAAACACAAGGAGGTACTCGTCACGGTAGTTTGTTCGGTTTTCGCATGTATTTCTTGGTTGTTGTCTGCGTGGATCATGCCGCTACTTGGCAAGCTGTATTCTTTCATTGCTCTGCTACCAGGATATGCCTCATTTTTAATCCTAACAATCTATGAGGCAATTTTTGCCTTTTTCGGGGCGGTTTTCTCTTGCACTTCATTTTTGGTTTTGGCGTTGTATAGTGGAATCTACACCTTTTTTGCTCTGCTTTTCCAATACACGGCTTTTATAATTACGGCAATTTATGGCGTGATCTACTCCATTTTGGCATTTCTAGTTCAATACTCTTCCTTGCTCGTGGTGACTATCTATAGTGGGATTTATTCCATCGTCGCGCTGGTTTTCGAATACTCTTGGCTTCTGATTACGATGTTGTATCGTGGAATTTACTATGTAATTTCCCTATTTATTGGGTGTATTGCAATGCTGTTGCCTTGGGTATATACCGTGATGCCGTTTGTGATTTGCTCATACGTTATTGCTAAATTTTTTTGGGCGGATGACCAAGCCGGGACGGAGAAACGGCGACCCCGGAAAGCATCCCCCGGAATCCCTAATTTCGTCAAAATCTTTGGCGTCATGCTTGTAGGGGCTTTAGTTTTGTACGTGAAACCCGAGGAAATAATAATTTCTATGTCCAGTGTTTCCTTCCAATGGTTAAAGGGAATTTTTGGTGGGCAGTAAAATGTCGTCTTGCCTTTACTATTTCGATTTCGGTACTGGACTGTCAGTATTGGGTCAAAATTGATTTTTGTCTTGCGTCTTGCCCTACTTGTTGATAATAAATAGTATCTTTTTATATAGTTTTTCGTAGTTTTTGATTGCTAAAGAATTACAAAAATATTTGAAAGATTTTGAAAATCGAAAATCGCCTTTTTGGTGATTTTTCACACGTTTTTCAGGAAAAAGGCAAAATTTTTTATAATGTTTTATGAGCTTTTTATATATACAAAAACTCTTTACAATGTTATAAAATGCTTCACATTTTATAATAGGGCTTGTATGAGGACCAGATTACTGGGAAAAGTTAGTTCCCCCCCCCCCCCCACTAAAATCCCAGTCCCTCTGCTAACAGTCCAGTGCCTCCATATCTTCGTCTATTCGAAATAAATTACGTTTTTGAGGAATCAACAACACGTTTAAAATGCTGACGACGTTCGGAGCCGCTCTGCTCACGCATCGCCAGCCACACCGGCGCACCGCCCCCCCTCTTTGATAAGCGCAATTTTTGGCGCAACAAAAATGGGTGGCGCGTCGGAAAATTGCACGTTGTGCACTGCATTGGCACAAACAAGATAAGGCTGTCGAAGCGGAGGAATTTTCTAAAGCGTGCCTATTTTAAGGCTATCGCGCTCTAATACTGCCCACGGATACAAACCCCAGTTTAAAAACCCGATGATGAAACAGAAAGCTACGAAGGAACCTGCCACGAAGGTAACCCGGTTCTGGTTTGTTAGCGGGGGGGTTATCGGGGGAGAGAAGTTTAATGCTGTAGATTTCTCAATATTTCTTGATTTTTTGGGATCATATTATCGTGGTCCGGTAGAGCAACCAAAAACCTATCGTCAGGATTTTACCTCTAGATCAGAACACAAAAATGAAGAAAGTTTTAACAAAACCAAATAATAACGCTGAATATGGGATTGGTAAGCTATTTTACGGGATTTTCTATATTTTTCGACATTCTGTTAACGCTATCCGACACAGAAAGTCAAAAAGATATACTAAGCGTCTCAAAATAAGTTAATTTAAGATAAGAGAAGCTTAAAAATGTCTCCCGCCGCCTCGATAACCCCCCCCACCCCCACTAACAAACTAGAACCGGTAACCTCATCAAAGTGAAATGAAGCCGTACCAGAACTTTTAGATTCCTGCACGCTCCGCTTTGGAACAAACAACTCCTTGCGACGCTTGGAAATGGAATGGATACAAATTGCCGGCGCCAGAATTGTGCATCCAAGCGGCATTTTGGGCGTTCCTTTTCTGCATCATCTCATTGCTGAGCCTTTCTTCAACCCATGATAAAACCGTACCTGAAGCAGTGACTAATATCTTCTTCACAATGCTCGAATGCGGTTTTGCTACTTTGTATTTCTCTGGTATCGCCTGGACCCTGAATGAGCTGTTTCCCCAGTATTGGGCTAAAGAATAATACCACCATTTGTGCTATGATATTTGTGCTATTTTTGGTTTGATTAAACAAATTCTACTAATCTTTGTGGTTGCTTTTCATAAACAACATCTTGGCGATTGAATAAAATGCTTACAAAAAAGGACCTTGCGTCCGTTATCTCTACTGGGAGCGTCGCGTCGTTCTTGACAAGGCGAATTTTTTGGTGCAAGAAAATTATTCTGAGCTCTGGGCCCATGCTCCTTCGCATATTGCAGCTTGGAAAATGAGCGACAGGTAGGGATCCTTCGAAAAAATATGAATGTTCTTGAGGATGACAAGGTCGAAGACGAGGCAGTTATCAAATAGACAAGCTGCTGAATCGAACGGGAAAAGTCATGGAGACAAGAAGCAGACTGTAGAGGTAGAGTTCGTTAAAAAATTCTTATAATACCAGCCGCTTACAGCGGCTTTGCCGCTGCAAGCGGCTGGACTTCGGGTTACCCCTTCCGCTCCCTCCCCCTCCGTTTACCCCTTAGATACTTTAAAGGATTTAAATAATGAATTAAAATAATTAAAAAGTATTAAAACAACTGAAAAAAAGCGATCTGGGCGCGGGAAAGGGCCTAGGGACAGGGGCGGAAAAAGGGGGCGTGGCCTCCCGGGGAGAGGGCCCCCACTCGTTTTATTAAGGCGCCACTTTCAAAGTTAATTATTTTTATTTAAACAAAAACTTTTTCATAATTTTTTGATCATTTAAGGGGTTTCTGACTACGCTCTATCCAAATCCGAAGAGACCTAAGCTCTACCCCCTTTCCCCTTCGAGTTATAGTTGGCTTCTGACGGACAGACGGACGGACAGACACCACTACTGAATTCTTATAGTTGATTGATAGACTCATAATTATTATATTTTATCCTACTAGATATAAAAAATAGTGTCTGTGTGTGCGTGTGTGCATTTGCATGCAACTTCCGTCACCGTGTTCCAGTAGTATCTCAAGAAGGGAAGTACTTAGGGGTATGTTCGATACGTCATTAGGTGCGTAATGGGCTGAAGATGACTGCACACCTATTAGATTCCACAAAAAATGATGTTTTCGACATTGAAATTAGGTTTTTCATGGAAAATCGGACACCCCAATTTGTTAGGATCAAGTTAGCATGCACCGGAAGTCGCGGTAGCCTATATAAAGAGACGGAGAGAGAATTTTTAATTTTTCGTCATCCGAATTCGGGAAAATTATGCAAAGCCCAGAATATCATTGGAGAAGACGGGGCCAGGGTTGAAAAGCCGCGAAGCGGTTTTTCAACCCTGGTAACTTATAAAAATTGACCAAAATTTTCAGGAAGCTGAAGAAAACACCGCATCTACAGCGGAAAAGGAGTCTCCGTCTCCCTCTCCTTCAGATGCATTTTTATTTTTGTGCGACGGCTACAGATCCATCAACCCAGAAATGCATACATATGTTTGCCTCTGGACTTTTGTCTTGTTTAGCATTTCCATGTTGAGCATCAGCCCGATCCATGAGGAGACGTTTCATGAGGTATCTCTCATGATCCTTACTGAGATGCTCCAAGCCGCCTTTGGCACCTTTTATTTCTCTGGTATTGCCTGGATTCTGAAAGAAGTTTTTCCGAATTATTGGCTGAAAAACTAAGATCTTTCAAGGACGTAACTTTGAATAAATTTCTTGTAACTGAATGGCTAAGTAATACAGGCCTACAAAACACAACAATGACCATACATAAAATGCATCTACATTCAGGCCGAATCAGCGCTGTGCCCATTTTTTTGGTCCGGCGGGAACTTTTGATCATTTACTGTTTAATCCAGAGACCAGAAAAATGCGGCAGGAATTTGGATCGCGGCAAAGGCTTATCTGATCTGCCGTGTATAAATTGATCGGTTCATCCCTTGCAACGCAGAATTTGTGCGGGGCTTACAAGGGGACGTTTTGAGTGTCGTCGGGATTTTGGGATGGGACCAAGCCTATCTTGTGCAGAATTTTGCTCTGATGCCGAACATGGTTACCGTTTTTGCGGAATAGCCAATTCTCCGAAAGTTATGGACGATTGAAACCTAAAAAATCCCGCAAATCGGCTTGTTCGATCGACATAAACGGCTTCGCAATTTTTTAGCAGTTTTTGCAGCAGTTTTAAGAAAAATCAGCTAGTGCATCTTGTTAAAAAATTCTTTATAAAATGTATCATTTTAATCAAAATTTTTGAAAATGGAAAATTTTAGGGTTCTTTAGGATTTCCGGGGGGAACCAAATTTTTTCCTGGTTTTCCCGGTTGACCTAGTAATCAAATATAAAGTGCTTTCACATTGTTTTCAGTAAATTTTAACTATATTTAAAGTAGAAAAACCTTTCAAAAAGTTAGAAAAAATGTTTGAAAAAGTCGAAAATTTAGCCATTTTGGGTCTCCCCCCCCCCGCTAATCCTAAAGGTTCTATAGGATTTTTCGACCTAAAATTAAATTTTTTAATTAAAATGTAGGTAGTTTTTATGCTCAGGACTAGTTAAAAGCCATTTAGAAACGCATGCGTTATTTAGAAAAAAATTTAGGCTTGGGCCGAAAAAATTTGGTTCCCCCCCCCAGCCGGAAATCCTAAAGAACCAAATTTTGATACATTTGGATGCCCCTTTTTATATTTTCAAATTTTCAAATTTTTTGAGTGAGGTAGCTTGTTTATGTGAGTTTTTTCTGAAAAAAAAAGGCACTATCTGGTGTTTCGTAAAACTCTTCTGCCGCCGTTTATGTCGATCGAACAAGCCGATCTCCGGGATTTTTTAGGTTTCAATCGTCCATAACTTGCGAGAATTGACTAATCCGCAAAAACGATAACCATATTCGGGATCAGCGCAAAATTCTGCACAAGATAGGCTTGGTTAGATCCCAAAGTACCGACGACACCCAAAAACGTCTCCTTGTTAGTAGCCAACCGGCGCCGAAGTTCGCCACATACTGAATGGTTCATTACAGATTTCAAAACCGGGTATCTGACCGGACGCCGAATCTCACTTGCAAGAAAATTATACTAGACAGGTCATCCCTGGCATATCTTTAGAACGCAGAGCGAAAAAAAAATGCGGCAGACATTCCGGTGGCGGCATAGGCTTATCTGGTCAGCCCTGTATAAAATGGCGGGTTCATCCCTTGCTACACAGAATAACGTAGGTGTTCTGATTGGTTTGGTATTCCCTTGTTAGTCCACATATTGTGGTCGAGCCCAGTGGTAGCACTTCGAACTCTCGCGCTTACTGTAACCCTTTTATGGCCGGAGCGGACTTTCGGTACGTGAGATGGCACATCTCGTGCGGGGATCTTTCGCCGATTGCGAATCAATTTTCAAAAGCTGCGGAACACCTCTCGTAAAATATTACAACTGTTTTCCACCCGAAAAGCCGAAATTTTCTGAATTTAAATCCTTTTAAAAATTCCATGTAACACTTTTGGAGGGTAAAAGTTGTTTTCACCAGGTGGCCGATTTTTGAAAGTGTCCCTATTGTCCTCCAAAAACCATTTCATGGGATTTTTAGCAGGATTTAAAGTCAGAAATTTTGGCTTTTTGGGTACCAAATCGGTTGTAACTTTTCAGGCAGAGAGTTCAGCAAGTTTTGAAAGCGGATTCGAATTCAGGGAAAAATCTGCACAGGATCGGTAAGACTCTACTTCCCCCCCTCCCCCAGCCGCCCCTTTTCTCTGCGCCCTCTTCCCCAGGCCTACTATCTCGCCTGGGGGGGGGGACGGGGGGTAAAGTAGAGTTTAGTCGGATGTATCCCCTTACCGGCCGGAAGTCCACTTCGGCCATAGGAGAGTTGCAGTTAAACATTCGCGTTACACCAGTACTTGGAGCAAGATTTAACACAAGTCATTTTAGCGATGGCGAGTGGAGCCGGGGTCTTGCTCCATCGTGGGACGGTCGTACAAGAACGGGATGATCAATTCATGGTTACCCAGAAGACGCCAGTGGCCAATGACCGGATCGAAAAAATGGTCGGTGTCGTTTAAAGAGTTCGGCACTGCTTGAGTATTCGTTTTGTGGCCTTTGGATTTACGATTGGTTTCGCACGCCCGCGACCAGCAACGTGTTCGTTTTAAAGACAGCAGCGCACGTCATTTTGCTACCCTACGCGTACCTTCGAAATTAGAATAAGGCGGGTAGGCACGGGTAGTATCGGGGTACTACTACCCGTATCGCCACCTTTGCATGTTCTGCGGGTACGGCTCGTACCGTATGGGTACGAGTATGTATCCTGCCGGAATTGGTATCATAATGTCGAAATTCATAATGTCGAAACTCATAATGTCGAAATTCATAATGTCGAAATTTCATAATGTCGAAATTTCATAATGTCGAAATTTCATAATCTCGAAATTTCATAATGTCGAAATTTCATAATGTCGAAATTTCATAATGTCGAAATTTACATAGGCTAATTACCGGTGAAACCGCCAAACCCTAACCAAAAATTTTTTTCCATATTCTATATTTTTTTTATCTTATTGCACGACAACATTTTTTGTCTAGAATTCGGGGACTTTACCGGGAATTTTAGCTTATGTAAATTTCGACATTCTGACATTTCGACATTATGAAATTTCGACATTATGACATTTCGACATTATGAAATTTCGACATTATGAAATTTCGACATTATGAAATTTCGACATTATGAATTTCGACATTATGAGTTTCGACATTATGAATTTCGACATTATGAAAATAAGCCATCCTGCCGGTACCCTCCGATTTTTCCGATTTTCAATGCAAAACTGAATTTTGGATGTAAAATAGTGAACTCTCTATCTAGTACTAGTCCCATCGTTGATTTGCATTCAGAACCTATAATCGAACCTTGGCTGGCATCCATAATTCAGTTTTGCATCGAAAACCGGAAACATCCTAGGGTACCAGAGTGCATACCCGTACCCGTGCTTAGGTAAATACCCCTACCTGCATAAATTATGCAAATGTGTGGTACGGGTACGGGTAGTACCCGCACCTACCCGCGGTATGCTGATTCTGAGGGGCATGGGTACGGGTACAACCCGGGGTACCGAAAACGGGGGACTGGTATGGGGTACGGGGATTCAAACTTATTGGTTATTGCGTGTGCCCTTTGGCTATGTTTTAGGGCCGGAAAGGGTCTTTTTGGAGTCGCTAGTTCGGTAAAGGTTGCTTAACGGGGGGGATGGGACAAATAACCGGGTCGAAACAATTCTTGTATTTATCCAAAATATTTTAAAAACGCCATCGGATAGAGCGTCAAAAATTATACCAATAGATTTAATTTCAGTTCAAAAAAACCTCATTTTTAGCGATTTTTAATTGATTAAATTTTTGGCTTAATATTACAGTAATAATTTTAGATTGTGGTATTTCGGGCTGAACTTTAGTTTTTTAGTATCATTTTCGACGCTCTATGGGATGGCACTAATGAAATCCCGGCGAAAAACCTGAAAATGACCAAATTGATGATCACCTTATGGTCATACTTTATGACCAACTGATGTTTTTGTTTTTTACTAACTGATTTTAGTAACTGAGTAACTGATTGAAATTAAACCCGTTACTATAATTTTTCTTTGTTTCTGAAAAACTAATTTAAATTACACTATTTCGGGCCGAAATTAATTCTCTTAGAATATTTTTCGACGCTCTATCCGATGCATGCTTGAATTGGCACAACAGGTTTTCCACCCCTGTTATTTGTCCCCCCCCCCCCGTTAAGCAACCTCTACCGCTAGTTGAGTCCACGGCCGCGAGAATTTTTGAAGTTGATACCAAAATAGGCAGCTTGGGCAATTCCTTTAAAAGCCCCCTGTGAGTGTGGCAATGTCCAGGGTCGAGCTAGAATTTTTCATTTCTAGGCCGAAGTGGCGGCGGCTCACAAGGTCACAATATCAGCCGTGGAAGAGAAAAGCTGGTATGAGAATGGCCAAGTGAAGAATGCTGTCCAGCGGATGAATATAGAGCCCAGTTCGTCAGCCCGGCCGACTGGTGACATTCTTGAGCGGGTGGGGCAGATGCTGGGACCAGCAGCCTTGAACCATAAAAAGGAGATACTGACTGCGTTCGGTTCAGTGTTGATGCTGATTGCTGGGCATGTGCTGGGCACCAGGATCGCAAAGCTGGTAATGGACTATTAGCAGGGGGCAACTGTATTCCCCCAAAAATCCTGTGCGTTCCTTTACAGATATGTCGAAATAAACTAATTTTCATAGCATTTTGGTCAATTTTTCATTAAGTGATAAAAATTTCATAAAAGGTTATTGAAATTATCCAGGTTTTTAGCTTCTTGGGCCAGAAATATAAAAATTTGACCAAAAGGTAGAGGAGTTTCAAAAACGTTTGAGATATTTTTGACTTTCTAGTGGTGGAAAACTAATGGAAATGATTATGAGAATCCATTATTTATTACATCATTCAGTTTATTTGCCCTTGCCTACCCCCACCCCCGCTAACAGTCCAGCGCAGCAAAGTCTTTTCATTGCTACTTGCAACCGTATCTGTCGGAAACTATTCCATTTTTGCAGGACTTTTCGGATTAATTAAAATCTCTATCAGCGTTGTATGCTACTGGAGCCGGGCATCATGTCACGGACGGGCTGATTTTGGTAGAAAGGAAGCGAGTTCCAGTGGCATACAACTTGGACTGCATCAACCCGCACCTTTAAAAATACAATTTAAAAAATACAAACAATTTAAAAATAAATAGTTATTTTATTGGCTGCCCTTCCTTATGACATCGTACAGATTGGCGCAATGCGCATTTTTCAAGATAATAGATAGGGGAGACATTATTTTCGAGATCGCCAAAGTTCGAGGCCTAAGCTCACCGTTCGGTGCTTCCGGGTCATCGGGGGTCGGTTATTTTAACGGGGGTCGGTTGGCATCTTCTTTTTGTTTAGCCTATACCTGGCTAGTGATAAATTGTAGCTTATTTTAATACTGTTTTTAGTAGCTTCCGGTAATCAAAAATTATAAAAATTTCTAGCCTATAGTCACGAAATCTAGGGTTATAGCGCGGTTTTAGCCATTTTCATATACGTTAGACCGAAAAAGAAAAAATTTTTCTACAGGTTTTATGACGTTTTTCTTAATGTCTCCTCCCCCGCTAACAGCCCAGAACCATTTCAAACGGCGCACAAGTCTATAAAAACGGCCAGTTTTTAATTAGCCGAGCCGCACGATATTATAGAAAAAGTTCGCAACCGACCCCCGCTAAAATAACCGACCCCCGATAACCCGGAAGCACCCACCGTTCCCTACAAAGTACTGTGTTTTGACATCTGGATCTAGGTAATGAAACATCGACTTCTCGATGTTTCATTACCTAGATCCAGAAATCGAATCAATGAGTTCCCTAGAGCTGAGTTTGATCCTCAATCTGTCATTAATCGACTTAACGAAGCTGGTTTGTTTATTCGGGGAATCGATCCAGCATAGCGCGCCGATGGCCAATATCTTCTGCCAGAAAACGGCCCCGGGTCCCTGATAGCGCGTGGCAAGTTTTTTAAAGTTTTTTCGCCACTAGCTTTACGGATGTTTTATTCGTAATGTTTCAAATTTCTCAGGGCAAAATGAAAATTCTGCTTTATAGTTACGATGCCTGGTTTTCTTCGATCTGCAATTTCGATTAGCTTTTGACAATGACAATTCAGACTTATTCTCTGCGGTGTTCGCAAAATAATTTAGAATGACGACATCCTTCATCTACGATGGCGAAAGGAAGGCGCTACAGGCGTCTGTCGATGCAAAAACTATTTACCAGGAATTTCAGGTAAGTAAAACCCTTGAATAACCGTCACGCTCGTACCAGCATCTCGATTCGAGGCCAAACAAATGCACAAAAACTCAGACTTATTTTCAGCTATCGATAGGTGATCTGCGGCTTCGTGATGCGCAAGGGCGACGGCATATAACAACGCCACGAGGCGGATTTTCGCCTCCGTTGCGAGCAGGCTGCGAGTATGAGATCATTGGCGTACAGAAGAGGTATAGCTGAATTGATTCGGAACCTTGCTCACTCTCTCACACTATATCACTCTCTGTTTCTCTCTATATCTCTCTCGCGCTCGCCTCTCTCTCTCTCTCTCTCTCTCCTGTCTCTTTCTCATGAAAAAATTGGTTTTTGCGGTATCGCGACGACTCTAATGTTTATTGAAGTGGTACCAATCGGTGTTTAGGCGTGGTACCCGCTTCACTTATAACGGGAAAACCGAGACACTTTCGGGAGACGTCAAGCCAGCAAATGTTTGTGCCGAATTCCAGGCGAGGCATTTGCACTTCACAAAACTTCACAAAACTGATTTTCAGCTAGAAAAACGCGGACTACGAGTTGTTGACGGTGATGGGAAGCTGCATATCGCAGCCTCCCTAACCGTATTCGTACCCCCGCTGAAGGAAGGGGCCAACTATGAAGTGCAGGTAGCGGGGTCGACCTCGGCTGGGCAAAGCAATGACACGCAAATGTCTATCAGGAGACGGTGAGTGCTAGCATTGCTCGTGTTTACAACGTTGCTTGGGACTTGTTGTGTTCGCGTGTGCATAGAAATTTAACGGACAGATTACGGTGAAAATTAATTCTTATAGTACTGCAACGGAAGGGCACCCGGCTGATCGACCAAAAAGCCATGAGCCGGACAAGCCAGATTCCGACGTCCGGGCGGAAAATGGCTTTCAGCTCATCATGGCGATGGTTGTCATTTTCATTGTTGTTTTCCTCGCGTATAAGAAAATTTTCGGTTGAAATTTTTTACCTATGATTATTAGTTTTACAAATTTTACCAGCAAGCGACTTGCAATCAATTGTTTCTATAAACTATTTTTTGTATGATTGTTCGGTAACGGCATACAAACGACTAATGGTATTTCTAATAGCGTGATCCTACATGCTTTTGCTGTGTTGGCACCGGATGGCCAAAGCCCAATCTTTGCCTACTGCAATCGATTCGGTTTAGGTGGACCATTTTCTTGCACCAAAAAATGGCTGCAGCGCGCTGCGATAAAGCTCATTTTTAGCGTACCTCTTACCTTCGACAAATAAGGCATAGTCAATTGCTCCACTTTCCAAAGTTTTTTAAGGTTTGAAAATTCATTATACTCAGTTTCGTTGCGAAGCAGAGCTTTTTCAAAAAATTTTCAAAGGCATAGTCAATTGCTCCACTTTCCAAAGTTTTTTAAGGTTTGAAAATTCATTATACTCAGTTTCGTTGCGAAGCAGAGCTTTTTCAAAAAATCTGTACAGTCATATCTTCGCATTTCCATAGTTTTGCACTTAGTTATGCAGTTGTAGCCCTTAAAAAGACGCATCTTTTCGTATAATGTAAATTTTTCTACGAGGAGTCTCAAGCTTTTTATGAGGAAATCAAAAAATAACAGCCGCAAGCTCAAGTAGAAAAACGATGTATGCGCAATTTGCATCCAATTTACGTGCGCCTAATTCATTATATAAATACATTTTATACACACTGAAGCTATGCTACGCCCTTCTAAGTTTTTCTACATAGTGAGGCCATTTTAACATTTAGAATGCCAATTTACTTCACCTACGACGGCGAAACCAAGACGATTTACGGGAACGTCGAGCCAAACGATATCTACGATGCATTTAAGGTGAGGTAACGGACGTCTTTTCGTGATTAGTTACCTCACGCAACCCGATTGTTTTTTCCAGCTTGAAAAAGGCACTCTGAGGCTTTACTTGGGCAACAAGTTACACCTGGCCTGCAAGCGAGGTGGCTTCTTGCCTGCATTGCAAGACGGGGAAACGTACGAGATCAGGGACGCCGGGAAGAGGCCGACGAACGCCGTGAAGCCGTGCAGGTGCTTTTGGCTGGCTAAAAGTCTATAACTTAAAAAATCGCCTGTGAAATGACAAAATGATTTTGAATATTGTTGCAAACTCGCCGTTTCAAGGGCTTTCGAATGGTATACCTATCGTTACGACCAGATACTTCTGCTTCGACTTAAAAGGGGGGGTTCTAAGGTTCCGGAGTGTTAGGGTAGGACCAAATTTGCTCCCGTAATTCAGTACGGCCCTACTGGGAAATATCAATCGCTTTATAGCATTTCACATAGTTTTTAGGGAGATAAAAATTTCATGAACCCTTCTAAAAATTTTCGAAACTTCTGTTTTATAAATTGCTTGGTCAAAATTAGAGTTGGAAAACCCCCCCGAAAACCCCCCCGGCGGGTTTCAAACCCCCCCGGGGAAAGCGAAAACCCTCCCAAAAAACCCCCCCGCGGGAGGGTTCTCCGGGGGGGTTTTCAGAACCCCCCCGAGAAACCCCCCCGGGGGTGTTCCAAAAGCCCCCCCCGGGGGGGTTTTAAAACACCCCCGCGAGGGGTTTTCAAAACCCCCCCCGAACCCCAAAATTACCCGATCATGCACTTTTTGGTTATTTTAGCTAGATTTCATGTGAACTTAATTGCTTGTAAACATTTTGCTCCTCAATTGTTTCTCGTGATGGTCCGCCCGGACTCAATTTGTTCAATTAGTAGCTAAGGACAATTTGATGATTCAATACATCTTTTACGACGTAAAAGTAAGTATAAATTATTTTTAGAAAGAATTTTGAGAAAAAATGCCTCGGGGGGTTTTGCCGGGGGGGTTCTGAAAACCCCCCCGCGGGGGTGTTTCAAAAACCCCCCGGGGGGATTTTCCTCTCCCCGGGGTTTCAACCCCCCCGGGGGTTTCTCGGGGGTTTCGAAACCCCCCGCGGGGGGTTTTAGAACCCCCCTACGGGGGTTTTTGGGGGTTTCGCTCTCCCTGGGGGGGTTTTGAAACCCCCCCGGGGGGGTTTTTCGGGGGGTTTTCCAACTCTAGTCAAAATGGATGAAAAGTGGCCAAAAATATCAAGATTATTGCTTTTTCAAAAATTTGAAGATAGATCAAAAACTAGTAAAAACACTTTAAAAGACATTTTTTTTAATTATCAACAGGTAGGTATAAACGGAAAAACGAAGATTGGTTCCCGCGCTAACAGCCTGGAACCGTTTTATCTAGCGTTGAAACGCAGTTAAAACCCTTTAGGTTTTTTTGATTAGAAAAAACTTTAATTTCAAACTTTAATTTGAAACATAATAGTTAGAAAAACCAAGGTGTATAGGCGAAGATGGCGAGACAAAGACGAAGAGGATAATGGCATGCAAATGGCACTGATCCGCTCCAGCCACAACGAGAAGCCGGACCAGATGATTCAATGGGATGTCAGTGGCGCTCTCCAAATCCACCTTCCCATCAGGCGGCACCTTGTCTCGAAGGCCGGTCCCTGGTTTTACGGCGTTATCTGTATCCTCCTGTTGGTTACCTACCTCTTCGGCCCCACCATCCTTTCCGTTCTCATGTATCTCACCCGGCATACCGTAATTTTCATGCTCGCCACGTGTTCTTGGCTCCTACGAACGGCAGTCACTTTTGTGATCCCCGTCCTAAGCGGTTTAATCGACCTCATTTCTAGTAGTGTCTGGGCCTTGCTTGTAAACTTTATCGACCTCCTTGACTATATTTTTTATGCCCTCCTTGACGTCGGCCGCAAGAAAGCCATCAAAGCCGCCGCCTGGATTTCGATGGCGTGCACGAATGTGGAGTTTGGGGTTTATGTGCTGCGCGTTTTTGCCACTTGCCTGGCTATTTACGTGTCCCCTATCTTCTACAGGATCGACGAGCTACCCCGTTTTTTACAGCCGCCGTATCGATTTTTGGGGGGATACTACCATGGTTTTCGCGATAAAATGGCCGTGGCCACAAAGCGAGCCCGGCAAATTTTCGCGTTCTTGGCACCGGTTTTTTATGGTTTGGGCGCCGTTTTGCGCTTGATCACCGGGTTGGCCCAATTTTTTGTTGATAGGTTTGTGCGGTAAATTGTACAGAATGTCCTTGCCAATAAATATATTTCCGCTTTTTCCAGAAAACTGCTCAACCGCGGTTTAAAGGGAATCGCCCCGCACTCAAAAAGTAGTTTTCGCCCTTCAGCGACTAGCGACAGCGACTAGCAGAAATAATTTTTTTTGCGATTTCCGAGTGGAGTAGTAAAATAGCATTTCCGAAAGTTACCTTTTCGAAATGCATTTATGCTAAGTATTATACTTCCCAAAAACCAAAAGTCGAAAGACACATTTCCGAAACACAGTTTACCTAAAATCAGAATTTGGAAAAATTTGCGAAGTCCAGAGATCAATAGGAAATGGCCGGAAAGGGTTTGAAAAAGCGATGCGAATTTTCGAAATTCCGATCTCGAAAAAGTGATTTTTCAAAAAATTATTTTTCGAATCGGTGATTTCCGAAAAGGTGATTTTCGAAAAAACGATCACCCGCTTTGAGGAGACCCTTTGCCCCATAAGATGAACCAGCAAAAATCAGTGGCAGTCGCGGATTTCGAGGGCTTGATTTTTTTTAGGAAGGTCTGGAAGATTCCAAGCCATGACAGCAGAAATCAGTCATCTATTAGAAGCCAAGAGTATGAAAATGCTTTATTCCGAATATATCACACCGGCACATTGCAAAAAAGTGTCCGAAATCGTTCGAAGAAGTGTTTGGCAGAGGGCTTTGGGGGACAACGACATCGCGCCTACTTCTGCTTCCGACAGTGGCAATATTTCCGCATATCAATCTGACGGGGTGCGACCTTTTCCACGCAGTCTGCCGTATTCCCGTATGCCGTCAGCCGCTCGCTCAGCGCCAACAGACGCAGCCCACCGTCGGCGTTCGGATCGCGGCGCAGCGTCTGAACGAAAGCGTCACGTGGGTGGTGAACAGTTAGCAACTGCGGGCAATTTAACGAGTTTTAACAGATTTTTAGGTTCTTGCCCAATATCGGGGGAGGGGACGGAATTTTTTCTCAGAGCTTTTTCTTTTCTGTTTCAAATATGAATTGTGTAAGTGTTTCTAAAGGGCTTTTTATTATTCCTAAACGTGAAATCTTAAGAAATTTGTGTTGAAAACTATCGAAAATATCAATTTTTCCGCGAAAATGGCCGATTTTTTACGAAAATTTCGACTTTTTTATAGTTTCTGGATAGTTTTTATGACTGAAATATAGTTAAATATTACTAAAACCATTTTAAAACCACTTTTCATTAAGTTACTGACATTTCTAGACATCAAAAAGGTTCGCCCCCCACCCCACCCCCGATAGTGCAAAAGTCGTGATGACCAGTCGCGTTTCGTTTGCGAAACTGGACTGTTAGCGGGGGGGGGGGTTACCGAGAAAAGCCCCGCTAAGAGTACCGCAAAGCCTACCCCTTCAAAACGATGTTTCCCAGGGTTGACGATGACGCTGATTATGTAGATTTGCATCACGTTTTCGGGAGCCATCGCAGTGACCACCGGCACCTGACATTGTGAGTTTGTGTTAGCGATGAGGGTTCTGGTTCGTTAGCGGGGGGGGACTCCCAATAGACCTCCTAAGACGCCTACTGGGACAGGAAGAAGGAGTGGGCGCGGTTTTCCCCCTCGATAACCCCCCCGCTAACGAATCAGCACCGCGACGAGATGATCGAGTTCGCATCTCAAAATTGTCCTGAAAATACACCAACCTTGTCTAACGTCCACTCAACACATATATCCGTCATATTGTTGTCGCGGACTTTCTGGTTAAGGGCCTCCATCGTGATTTGGGCCATTCGGTCGAGGTCGGGCACGTCTTTGGGTCTGTAAAGACACGGTTAGAGAGAGAGAGAGAGAGTGAAAGTGAGAGTGAGAGAGAGCGAGATAGTTAGAGACCTACATTTTCGGAATCTTATCGTATTGGCACAGGCAGTGTTCGGTGGAGATTGGCACGTTCCGGCATGTACGGTGGCTGAACGGTCCGAGGGGGCGTAGCAGTGACGTGCCATTGTTCGGGTTTGGCTTCAGAATCTCCTTGAACTCGAACCGCAGATGTGCCTTGTTGAAGGAGGTCTGCAAAAAGGTTTCGATAGAACCCAAGATGGCACTGGTCCCCTCCGGCAGTAATGATGATGATCCCCCCGCACCAACCTCCAAAATATCCATCAGCGTCGCGTGGACGTCGTACTGAGTCACAAGGTGCTTCGCGTTTTCTTGCAGATTTTTGATCAGCTAGAACTCGTGTTGTCGGACGCGGAAATTTGAATCGACGGTCGGTTCTTTCGCATTATCGGAGGGGCACATTTTTTATATTGATCTAACGATCTAGATCTAACTCGGGAAACCAATTTTTTCCTGGCGTTCCCGGTTGGCCTAGTAATCAAATATAAAGTGTTTTTACATTAGTTTTAGTGAAGTTTAACTATATTTAAAATAGAAAACTTTCAAAAAAAAATGCGAATCCCCCCGATAATGCGAAAGAACCGGACACTCACTTGCTCGTGTCCACGCAATCGTTCCGGGACCACAGTGACCAGCAGCGGATTGTTCACCTCGTAGTGTCCGATTTTCGTCTGTGTCAGCTGATTGGGAAATCGAATCACAAATTTGAAGATCTGCCTTACCGGTCCAAATCTGGGCCCGTGGTCGCCCATGAAGAAGATGAACGACTCGGACAACAGCTCCCGATTGTCCTGGAACCATCGCTTGAAATCGACATCGGCGTGGAGCAGTTCGTTCGGGTCGTCGTGCGCAAGGTGGCTTGGCCACAAGAAGCCGAGCTTTGGGTCTTCTAAAAATCAACTTACAGGGGTACCTACTGAGGTGAAGGTTGTCCGCTACGCTACGCCCCTGGTCCCAACAACGGCGTCGGCCAGGAAGCCTACAAACCGCTGGCGGCCACTAGGCTTGGGCCTACGCTTCAGCTTCGTTAGGGGCTGCGCGCTTCCTCACCCGGATATGCCTTGAGAAAGTTGGACAGATAGTCGAGCAGCCAATGGTGCGTCTCCCAGCAGCCCGCCCTCATCCTGTCACTCAGCGAGGGCCACGTCCACGCCAGGGATGCCGGTCTAAAAGTCGATGGTGCCGCAGTGGCGTCTTTCCCGAATTTGACGCACTCTGCATGGTGATGCGTCGGCTGGTAGCTGTAGCCTCTGCAATTCGGCGACGCCCAGATATCGCCGTACGAGGTCTCGCACCCGAATAGCGTTTTGTAACCGAAAATTTCGGGTAAGAGTCTAGTTTACCCCCAGCCTGGAAGTTTCAGCCGTACATCCTATTAATGCGTGGAGTATCTCAAAATGTTCACCGTCGTCGAGCTACAATCAAAAAAAGTTGGTTCCGTGCGGCAAAAATTGCTAGAATTTTTTTTACAAGATTTTGAAGGTTGAAAAGATTAAGCCGCTGTGCTTCAATGTACCAGGAGTCTAAAACTCAAATATTTTTATTTTCCGCTATTTTTTCGACTCAGATGCAATGTAGGCTTATTCTACAGAACAAGAGCTACATTTTGGTACCAGGACTAAAGATAGCCGAGATACGAAAACTCACTTTCGAACAGCAAAAATTAACTAAAGAAAACCCACACTACTAATTCTTATAATTATTTTTTATGATAATTCGACCACGGCGAGAACATTTTGAGATACTCCACGGCGTGGAGTTCACGCATTAATAGGACGCATGGCTGAAAAGTTAGGGCTGGGGCGGGGGTAAACTGGGTAAGACTCCAGATAACCCCCCCAGCCAGCAACCAACTTTTGTATCTCGGCTCCCTGTTCATCTACAGGTGTGTAATGTATACCAAAATGTTCGTCTTGCGCTGGAAAGTATTTTGGTATACTTTACACACCTGTAGATAAACAGGGAGCTGAGATACGATAAGTGGGGTCGGCTGGGGGGGGGGTATCTGGAGTTTAGCCGTAAACTGAACTTTACCCCACCCCGTTTCCCATAATCCGTGACGACACCGGTGTCGTTGTCGCGGTATTGGTAGCAGTATTTGTCCCGATTCCATTCCGGAGCCAACTCTTCGCCCGTGTACTTCATCACGGTCCGAATGCGTTTCCCTGGCGTAGCTCTTTGTGAACGGATAAGCACTTTACCGTGCAAAAAAGCGAAGGCGTTCACCATGCTGTTCTCACCGACCCTATTCAAAAATGGCCACCGCACGCCGCCCATTTCGTTCACCAGGAAGTCGAGGGTTTTTGGGAGTGATCTGCAAGATTTTTAGATTTTCAGATTTTAGATGCTCTATCGAATCATGTCTTCAAAATATCAAAAAACTAGCGAAATATCGCAAACTAGCGGCCACCCCTAGTTTCAAAAGGAATTTTTGTGTTTGCTCCAACTTTTTTAGATTACGAAAAATAGTTTAAGCTAAAACGCGTTGCCAAAAATCCGTTCTGCCCCTACCCCCCTGCGTAGCAGAAATATACCGCGAATCCGGAGCAAACTGACGATACCTTTCGGCCTGTGTCATAGCCACCGAATCCAGTACGATTAGAATGACGTCCGGTCGGCGGGACGATGGCGCCGACGTCGATGCCTGGCTTGTCTTTGACTTGTTTCTAAACTTACGAAAAGTAAGGTTCTACGCTGCCGATTCACCTGTAAATCTGATTGTGGAGGAAGGCGTCGCTGAGGTTCGACTTCATGTAGCATTCCGAGTGGATCCAGTCGCAGTTCATCGGCTCGAATTTACCGCGCTTGAGGTTGACCCAGTTCCCGCGACCGAGCTCCCTCGGCCTCACGTAGTACAGGCACCTGTAAGGGCAAAGGTTTTCTGCTAGCTTGCCCGCCCACTAAAAGGTGTCCCAAAATTATCCGGACGAAACGGAAAAGTGACTTTCAATTTTTCCTCCGTTTTCGCCCACCACATTGTCCGGACACCAAATCCGGACCGCCCCCCCCAAGTGCATTAGCACTAACCCCGCTAACCCCTCCCCCACCCCCGCTAACAGACCAGAACCACATACCGCGCCATAAATGTGCATCTCTTCATTTCTTGCTACTGTTAAGTTCAATACCTAGCTTGGCAGCTGTTCACCCTTGAGGCCCAGAATGCCGACTCCCGCAATCCGATTGCACCGTCACGCAGTTCTGTGGCCGGGACCTAAACCAAAAAAATCCAAGTTGGAAGGCGGCCGCCGACATATCCTGGATTTTTGCAGGGCCCCGGATTGCGGGCAAAGCCTTTCAGCTCGGCGGGCAGTGGATTGTAGCGTACAAGGCGGCAGGTGGAGAACGGATCCGATGGGTCGGGGTTTGGCGGGTCTGAAAGGAGTGGATGCGGCTGAACTCCAGATACCCCCCCTCCCCCAGCCGGCGCCCGACTTTTGTATCTCGGCTCCCTGTTCATCTACAGGTGTGTAAAGTATACCAAAAGAGTCGCCAGAGCAAGACGAACAGTTTGTTATCCTTTACACACCTGTAGATGAGCCAGGAGCCGAGGTACAACAGTTGGTGACCGGCTGGATCTGGAGTCTTACCGTGGATGCGGGTGGTATTTACACGACAACGTGGATAGGGAGTAAAATTCTTATTGGGAAAAGTTGAACCTCCCCCACCGGTGTCATAAGAGATGGCAAATTCGGTGTAGAGGCCCGAGGTATTCAAACCGTTGTCATCGCGAAGAACAGGAGCTACGGGGAGCTTTGATGGTGGCTCCCGGACTCCTCTGTTCCAGAGGAGTAGCAGACCAATGATCACCGCGGTGAGCACCAACAGTCGAGCCCGCCTTTTTTGAACTGAAATACGAGGTGGCGAGACTTAAACAAACGCAGCAGTCAAAAACCATCCATTTCTTACCCATGGCAGAGACGCTGGCTTCAAGCAGTCAGACTGGAAGGATGATAGGATGAACACAATAACGGCCCTTTGTTTTTTTTTAAAAATGCGGTACCGAAATTCAAATTACCCGAGATATGTAAATTCACGCAAATTTTATCCGAGGACCCCTAGGGTCGGTGAATTTCCTTCCTACCTTATATAATTTGGTCGCGCATGTGTGTGTGTGTGGATGTCACTTTCGAGGCCCGATCTGAGGACCATCCCGTGCATAAAATGCCCTAATTCTCCGTCACCCGGGGGAATCGACCCTTCTGTTTCCGATGGCTTTCTTAGAATTTCGATAAAATACAAGTTTACAAAGTTAAGGCCGGTTTTATTGATTTTTGGGGGCCCCTGAGGGCTAATTTGCATAATGCGGAAAAATACAAATTACCTCATCCTTGCCAGTTGCACTCGCGTGTGTGGCCGGTGGGGGGAAGGGGTCCGAAGGACCCCAGCTATCGGGAAGTCAAATTTTTCATGCAAAAGGCCGCATTCCAGCGCCCAAGGCCCGCGAAGCGGGTTTTGGGCGCTGGTTACAAAATATTTTACAAAGAATGCATTAGAATAAAACATGGATTTGAAGATCGTTGCAAACTCGCCGTACACTCGAGAGCCACTCGAGAGCCATATCTTCTGTTGGGATTGGTCAGATTTCCTGTCGGTCCAATCGTTGATTCGCAGGTTGCGTTTCAGGTTTAGGGTTAGCTCAGCCTCGTTTCGAAAGAACCGGAGCTGAGGGGGTCCAGGAGTCCGATTCACGATTCGGGCGGCGTTCCCAGCTGCCGCTCATTTCGTGGCCGACCCTGATTTCCGGTAATGCCCTCAAAATGTATTGGCAATTGGGTATATGTCGGCTACGCGGGGGGGGAAAATTTTACGCGGGGGGGACGGACTGTTGGGGTCGACCTAACTATTTTTTTGCGTTTCTTTTTGCTACAAACAAAACTCTTAGTATATTTTTTGACGCTCTGTCGAATGGCATTAAAGAAATTTTGTAAAAATGTCGAAAATGTCGAAAATTTGATTTCCTTCTATATCCTCCATGAAAACAACGTTTAATACTTGTTTTTGTTATAACTCTTTTATATTACATTATTTTGAGCTAAAATTAAAACTCTTAGTATATTTTTGGATGCTCTATCGAATGGCATCTTGAAAATGTCGAAAAAAAAATAGCGCGAATATCGAAAAACAGCGGCTCAAACCGATTTTCAATGCTTATTTTTGTCTTTGCGATAACTTTTTTATATTACGCTAATTTTAGCTAAAACAAAAACTCTTAGTATATTTTTCGATGCTCTATCGAATGCCGTTGCAAAAATTCCGAGAAAATAACGAAAACATCCAAAAAGGCCTGCCTGTCCCGTCCCCCCCGCGTAAAATTCCCCCCCCCCCCGCGTAGCCGACATATACCGGCAATTGATTACACATAAATGGTCACGACACAATTTATTGCACCATGTATAAAACGACCAAACGACAACTGGATACACCCGAACGTATTTATTAAAGCGAGGAGGATCAATCACAGGGGGGGCTGGGGGCATTTTTCACGAGTGTTTTTTACAATAACAATACGTCCTCATATCGGCTCGGAGGGCTGTTTCCGTTTTGAGAACACAATTGGCGGTATGCCCATAGCTGGTCAGTCGCTCGCTCAGTGATAGTAGTCGCATGCCGGAAACCGCGTTCGAGTCGCGGCGGATCGTCTAAATGGTTCTTCTTGCGTCACAAGGCTGCGTGATAGACCCCACCGCTTCGAAACGATGAGCCCCCGGGTCAACGGTGACGATGATTTTGTAGAGTTGCGTCTGGTCCTCCGGCTCCACGGCTGCTACCGTGTCTATCTGTAATCAAGGTCATTTGCAGTTTTCGAACGCGAACTATACTGATCCCAAACGTGATATTACCCGTTTCAAGCGCCAGTCCTCACACAAATGTGACACATTGTAGGTACGAAGCTTCTGGTTCAATCCAGTAACCGCGACTTGGCCCATACGGTCGAGATCCGGCACGTCTTCGGGTCTGTAAAGACACGACTGGAGGAGAGGGAGAGGGACAGAGAGAGAGAGAGACAGAGAGAGAGAGAGAGACAGAGACAGAAAGTCTTACCTCTTCGAAATCTTGTCATATTGGCAGAGACAGAATTCGGTGGAGATCGGCACGTTCCGGCAAGTACGGTGACTGAACGGGCCGAGTGGGCGTAGCAGTGACGTGCCATTGTTTGGATTCGGCCTTAGAATTTCTTTGAAGCGGAATGGGAGAAATGGTGCGTCGAAGTCGGTCTAAACATTGGAATTTTCGGTTCCCTTTTTTCTTCGTCAGCATGAGCTTCTCGTGCCAATGCAAAAACAATTTTCGACCGCCGCGATGTTTTTCGATTGAAAATACCTCCAAAATGTCCATCAGCGTGGCGTAGACGTCGTACTGCGTCACCAAATGCTTCGAGTTTTCCCGTAGGTTTGACATCAGCTAAGATGCAATGTGAGAAAATCCCGGGCTATTGCATTGCAAAGATGCCGCTTTTCGAATTTTAAAAATTAAAAAAATATTTTTGATAACTTTCTAGCAGATATAAAGCACTAAAAACACTACAAAATATGTATTATATCATCAACCAAAAATTCCCTACTCGCTTATTCGCTCGCAACCATTCGGGCACGACAGTGACCAGCATCGGGTTGTTCGCCTCGTATTGTCCGATTTTTGTTGTGGTTAGCTAAAATGAGCCGCATCACTTAAAGCAGTGTAGTTTTTTACGTTGCCATATCTGGGCCCGTGGTCGGCCATGAAGAAGATGAACGAATCGGAGAGCAGCGGCCGGTTATCGTCGAACCACTGCTTGAAGTCGATGTCGGAATGGGGCAGCTCATTCGGGTTGTTGTGTCCGATATAGGCCGGCCAGATGATGCCGAGCTTCGGGTTTTCTAAAGGAAGGTACTTTGGCATTATCGGGGGAGGCAAATTTTTCCTATTAGTGTAAAAACTTAATGACCGAACAGTAGTTTTTGATAAAGATTTTTAGCCAAATGGGCAATATTCCAAAGGGAAAACTACCTAAAGAAACTTCAAAGATCGCGAAATTTTTTCATAAAATTAATATTTGCCATATGCTTCATCAAAAAATTGTTACGCTTATACTTTTAAACATACTTTGAAAACGCTTATAATCAATTCTTTTATTTTTATTCCCACTTACCAGGATACGCCTTATAGAAATTCGACAAATAATCGAGCAGCATATTGTGAGGTTCCCAGCATCCCTTTGCCATCCGGCCCAGCAGCCCCTTGATTTCATAGAAGGAGCCGGCAGCTGGACTAGATTGGTTCAATTTTAATGAAAATAATTATGATTTAAAGTACCCGAAATAGTGATGTGTCGGCTGGTAGCTGTATCCCTTGCAATTCGGCGCCGCCCAGATATCGCCGCCCGAGCTCTCGCACCCGAATAGCGTTTTGTAGCCTTAAGTTCAATTTTAGCTCGAGAGAGAGCGAGAGAACGAGGGATAGAGAGGATGTGAGGGGTAGAGAGAGAGAGAATTTATAATTCTATTTTTTTGCGGTTTTAGGCATTTTGTTGACGCTATTCGATAGAGCATCGAGCAATCTAATAAGAGTTTTATACGGCTCAAAATAATGTAATTAAGATCAGAGAAACTATTGACAAAAATGTCCCCCCGCCCGAACCAATACCCGGGAAGCAGAGCCATTAAAGTCCTACCTAGCTTCTCATAATCCGTGACAACACCGGTGTCGTTGTCGCGGTATTGATTGCAGACCTTGTCCCAATCCCATTCTGGCTCCAGCTCTTCACCGGTGTGTTTTTGCACGCTGTTGATACGCTTTCCTAGGAAATAAATTTTATAAAGAAATTTTGTTACAAATAAAATATAATTTTATATCTTATGGAACTTTAGTATTTTTTGTCATTAACATACCATGCAAAAAAGCGAGGCCATTAACCATACTGTTCGAACCGACGCGATTTAAAAATGGCCACTGCACGCCGCTCATCTCGTTGACCAGAAATTCGAGGGTTTTTGGGAGAGATCTAAAAATTTGAAGTAGAGAGAGAGTGAGAGAGAGTGAGAGAGAGAGGGAGAGAGAACCTGCTAGAGATATCTTCGCCGATACCTTTCCGCTTGTGAGGTCGCTACAGAGTCCAACACTATTAGAATTACATCCGGCATTCCGGAAGTCCTCTTTGCAGGGCGCTCGCCAGTTTCGGATTTGTTTCTAAAAAGAATCCAAAACGTCGAAAAAATTCGGAAAAGCACAATAATAGTTTAAAATGTACCTGTACACTTGATTGTGCAGAAAGGCATCCACAAGTTTCGATTTCAGGTAGCATTCCGCATAAATAAAATCACAGTCCATCGGCTGAGGTTTGCCGGACTCGAGGCGGAACCATGGTCCGGGGCGGAAGCCTACCGTCCCTTTGTAGTAGTGGCATCTGAAAGTGTCGGCTTTCCTGCAGAAAACTATAGCTGTTTCAAGCAACTCTCTCAACTCTTACCAAACACGCTCCTCGAACCCGACGCAGAAATATCGGATCGGGGTGCTTCCAGGTTAACGGGTGGCGGTTATTTTAGCAGGGGGCGGTTGCAAACTTTTCTTTGTTTAGCCTATACTTGCCTAGTCACAAAGTGTAGTTATTTTAATAATGTTTATAGTAGTTTTCTATAAACTAAAAATTAAAAAAACATTTATCCTACGGTCAACAAAACTTTAGGTTTTAGCTGTTTTCAAAATGTTTTCAGATACATTAGACCAAAAAAGCAAACATTTTCTACATGTTTTATGATGTATTTCTTAATTTCTCCTCCCCCGCTAATAGTCCAGAACCATCTGGGGCGGCGTAAAAGTCTATGAAAACGGTAAACTTTTAATTAGTCGACCCGCACGAGATTATGGAAAAAAGTTAGCAACCGCCCCCCGCTGAAACGCGTCCCCCGTTAACCTGGAAGCACCCGGATCGGTTCTTTAGGATTTGCGGGGGTTGGGGGAACCTGAATTTCTTTCGTCGCAAGCCTAATTTTTTTATAAATAGCGGATGCGTGTCTGAATTGCTTTTAACTATTCCTAAGCATAACAACTACACAAATTTTAACTAAAAAATTTAATTTTAGCCCGCAAAATCCTATAGAACCCTTAGGATTAGCGGGGGGGGGGAAGACCCAAAAACCCAAATTTCAAACATCACCCAAACCTTCAAACAAAACCCAAACCCGAATTTTCGACTTTTTCAAACATTTGTGTAACTTTTTTCTTAGTTTTTCTACTTTAAATATAGTTAAAATTTAATAAATACAATGTGAAAACACTTATATTTTTGTACTAGGTCAACCGGGACGGTCAGGAAAAAATTGGTCCCCCCTCGGGAATCCTAAAGAACACACCGCTGGAAAGCCCTTGAAACGACGAGTTTGCAACGATGTTATTTTTTTAATCTTTTTTTTTCTCAGGCTTTGCATGGTGTAACTACCGTTTTGATCCGATACTTCTGCGTCGAGTTAGAGGGGTTTTTTGGAGCACCTTCTAGAATAGGTACCTGGCCTTGCAGCTGCTCACCCGGCGGCCCCAGAACTCCGAATTTCGATAGCCAATTGCACCGTCTCGCACTTCTGTAGCAGGGACCTGAGCTATGGACTGCAAATTGAGAATAGGAGGCTTACGTATTCAGGATTTGTACAATAGGGCGTCTGATCGGCAAAAATCCCGTTCAACTCTGCCGTCAAAGGTTTGTAGCGTACGAGTCGACAGATAGAGTACGGGTCGGCTGGGTCGGGGTTTGGCGGATCTGAACGAAATGAAAGGTAAGAGTTTACTTTACCCCCCCCACAGCCGAAGGGTCTCAAAGTTGTCGGTATTTCCGCTTATTTTATCGGGATTTTCGCAACGCCATTCGATAGAGCGTCGAAAAATATACTAAGAGTTTTAATTTGAGCCTACAATAATGTAAAATAAAAAAGTTATAGCCAAAAACTTCCGGCTGGGGGGGGTAAAGTAAACCGTAGCCAAATGAAATATAAGCCATTCGAAAGCCCTTGACAATCCTCAAACAGGTAAGACTCCAGATAACCCCCCTCCCCCGGCCGGCCCCCAACTTGTGTAGCTCCGCTCCCTCTTCATCTACAGGTGTTTTAAGTATGCCAAAATATTTGTCAGAGCCAGACAAACATTTTGGTGTATTTTACACACCTGTAGATGAACAGGGAGCCGAAATACGTTGGGTGGGGGTCGGCTGGGGGGAAGGGTGGGGAAAGGCGGGGGGGGTAAACTGAACCAAAGCCGTGGTTTGTATGGGGACGCCCTGTACAGTGCTGCTTGGCAAAAGTTCAATCTCCCCCACCGGTGTCATATGAGATCGCAAATTCGGTGTAGAGGCTCGAGGTATTCAAATGGTTGCCGGCGTGAAGAACAGGAGCTACGGGGAGCTTTGATGGTGGCTCCTGGACTCCTCGTTTCCAGAGGAGTAGCAGACCAATGATCACCGCAGTGAGCACCAACAGTCGAGCCCGCCTCTTTTGAACTAAAATACAGGGTGGCGAAACGTAAGCAAACGCAGCAGTGAAAAAATCATCCATTTCTTACTCATGGCAGAGACGTTGGCTTCAAGCAGTCGGAAGACTGGAAGGAAGATAGAATGAACACAACACTGTCGATTTTCGAAAAAAAATGCGTTGCCGAAATTCCAATCACCTAGCGATGGAAATTTACCCAAATTGCCCCAGGACGAGACATCCCCGCCCCCCGGCCGTCCCCTACCTGCCGAATCTTGTCTCCCTGTTCATCTACAGGTGTGTAAAGTATACCAAAATACTCGCCAGAGCCAGGCGATACGATACGAGATGATACCATCGCCAAAACCTCATAAAAACCCTCAAAACCCCAAAAATCCCCTGCTCGCCCCCCGATAAACTTCCTCCCCCCGCTAAGCAACCAGCACCGAGAAGAGTTGGTCCCCCAATGACCCTCCCTCTCTCCTTCCGCCCACAATAACGCAAAAGTACCCAATAGGGAATACAGCAATTATTGGAAAAGTTGAACCTCCCCCACCGGTGTCATAGGAGATGGCAAATTCGGTGTAGAGGCCAGATGTATTCAAATTGTCGCCGTCGAGAAGAGCAGGAGCTACAGGTAGCGTTGCTGGTTCTTCCTTTACTCCGCGTTTCCAGAAGATTAGGAGACCAATGGTGATCGTAGTGAGCACCAACAATCGACTCCGTCTGTTCTGCACTAAAATACGAGGTGACGGGACTTGCGGAAATGCAGAGATTAAAAAATCCGGTTCTAGACTGTTCGATAATAGCGTTAACAAAATACCGAAAAATGGCTTACCAGACCAGTTTTCAGGATTATTTTTGCTTTTGTTACAACTTTTTAAAAATCTAGTGTTTCTATCTAAATAGAACTAAATTTCTTGGTATATTTTTCTAATGCTCTACTGGGCCGCGGTGAGAAAATCATTAAAAAATGAATTATTCAAAATCTAGGACATTTTCCCTCCCGCTAATCAACCAGAACCAAAAGACTTGCCCATAGAATGTAGATGGTCAGCGTCAAAAAATAATAGTATGCTATTAAACCATGGAGTATCAAAAGTTACTCGAGAAGTGATTACGAAAATCACAAGAGCAACCAAATCAATAAAGGTGCAGTTGGGGGAGATTAGGTGGGCGTGTGTATTTCCTTGCAGACTTTCCGATAACGGCCAAGCCCCAAAAATATAGCGGCTTATCTTGGGGCGAAAGGCTCCCCCCCGTGGTCAAGGCGATCGTTCGCGAGGCGGAAACGATAATGTGCTGATGATTCAGCCGAGCCGCCAAAGATGGCTATGTATGGAATATGATGGCTGTATAAATGGACGCCCAAGAATCGGTGAAGCAAAGATAACAAGGGGGGGGGCACTCAAAGCTAAACAACTTTGTAAAGTGATTCCATATAAACTGTTGTTATTCAGGCTGGCGTTTTGGAATGGGACCATGCAGAATCGTGCTCGATCTTTCTCGATTTCTCGCCTTTTCCGAACCATTTTTCCAAATCTGCCGCCGACCTTTATTTAAAAGTTATCCGACTTTAGTGCTAAAAAACAACCACAATCTGGGCTTTTTTGCGTTGTTTTTAAATTATTTTCAAAGTCAACAGCCGAGGGGATCCTTGGTCTTCGGTCGCGGGATGAGGCAGACGTGATTCAAGCACTTTTTTGGCTTCTTTTGGAATACGGTGCATATTAATTAAAAGAGGTATAAATTCTTTTTATCACAAAATCAATGCTTTATCCCTCAGGGGAAATATTCGGGCAGAGCAGCACGGATCGCTTTTTCGAAGTTCGGCTCAATCAACTTCAGTGCGTCATCGGTGTAGTGGTTCCAAGCGTCGTAGTAGACAATGTTCGTCACGGGGTCGTACGTCTGCACCCAATTCTTCTCCTTGTCTAAATTTGATACGTTGCTGTCGCTGGATCTACTGAGTGTCTCAAAAAAAATCGATCCCAACGAGCCACAGAAGTGCCCGATTTTTACGATTTAGGTATATACCCAAAAGGGTACTGCTCTGTTTCGAGCGGCAGGGGGGGGGGGCGGGGGAAGGAGGTTGGGGTGCGGTAAGCTACTTCTTTTTGCCATAGTCATTTTATAATACGTCATGCTGAGTTACAACCAAAACTCCTCGTATCATTTTTAACGCCTTTTCGACTGACGTTTAAGAAATTTGGTAAAAACTAGAAAATTTCGAAAACTAGCTTTCGACTCTACGCTCACCACAACCGCCCATGGGTTCGGTCCCGATGGCTCCCGGGAAAAGGCGTACTGTACGGGTTTTTTGCCTGGGGCGCGAAATAGCAGCATGATTTTAGCTGCGCAGGCTTGCTTTCGCAATGGCGCGACGCGTCTATCGCACGCGTTGCGGTCTTTCTTGGTTTCCAATTCTACCGGACGTTTTATTAGGCGCCGGGCCGCTGTGTCACATCCCTGAGTGTATTTTTTGATGCTCTATCGAATCATGTCTTCAAAATGTCAAAAACTAGCAAAAATATCGAAATCTAGCTTGCCAGCCTAGTTTCAAAAGTGGTTTTTGTTTCTGCTCCAACTTTTTTATGACAATATTTTAAGCTAAGACAAAATCTCTTAGTATGTTTTTGATGCTCTATCGAATCGCGTTGCAAAAATTGCGAGAAGGAGAAAAATATTGAAGTTCTGCTCCAATCCCGCCCCCCAACCGCACATTTTTCCCCCCGCTTGAAATAGAACAGAACCAAAAATCAGCCCGATTCGACCTTCCTCGAACCCGCCAGAGAGGGGGTCGATTTCTTTGGAACACCCTGTCGAAGCCAAACTGAAGACGGAAAAGGCTTACTTATAAACGGCGATTCGATGTCCACAAAATGGCATTTTTTGCATTGCTGCAATAGCAGGTTAATCCGGACTCGCACCGGATCCGCGGCAAATTTCTGTGCCTAGAAAAATACTCGTTTTGATGTGAACGGCGGTTAACGGCCAAGCCGCCAAATCTTCTAGAAACCGACGTTATAGGGAAAATTCAGCTTGGTCAAATCCTGGCCATTCTCCAGCGCCGCGATGACATCATGCACAAGTCTTCTCTGCCCAAAGTATTTCGAGACCTCGAATGGATGATGGCTGGAGATGAATATGTGGTCGGCGAATTTTCTGAAAGCTGAGTTTGGATGGTATTTGGCGGATGAGAATGGCGGTAAGGGGTTTTGCGCACTTTTTTGCCTGGGGCTGAGGTTCAGTTTACCCCCCCTCGCCCAGCTCCTCACAATGTCAGCCATAAGGCCTATTAATGCGCCCGTAACTCAAAATGTTAGAAAACTTTACAAGAATTTAAAAGTTCAAAAGATTAAGTCGCAATACAGAGTACCCGGTGTTTATAACTCAAATATTTTCTTTTTCGATTTTTTTTTCGGCTCAAACGTACTGTAGGCTGATTCTACTGGGCAAGAGCTACATTTTAGTACCATTGACAGCTCTGTAGGACTAGAAATAGCCGAGTTACGAAAACTCACTTTGGACCAGCAAAAATTAACTAAAGGACCTACCCCGCGTAAACTGAACTCTAACCCGCGGGGCTATTCTAGTTTACCCCCCTCAGCTAGTGGTCCAATTAATGCTTGAAGTTCCCCTCGTCGAATACTCCATTTCCATATACTTTTTTTAGGCGAGAAATAAAAAAATAACAATTTTAGAAGCGGCTTATTGTTGCGACGCAACTATAGTGTTGCGAGGACAGGGCAACGGGGCGCCCCTTTTGACGCTTACGACGGCGGAAGGGATGGCAGTCGCCACAATACAGACGTTTTGTTTAAGGCTTTTTTTCTTTCTTTATTTTCGTTAAAAAAGTATATGGAAATGGGGTGTTTGAAGAGGGGGGACTTCGAGATACTTTGTGACACGGCCAGTCAAACAGGCCAAAAACGGCAATGTGCCGGGAGGGGCAAAAGCGTCGATTGGAGCGGAACGTAGCGGGCGCCAAAACGTTTAGTCTCTTATAACTTTTTCAAACCGACTTAATAATGAAAACCCAACATCAATTATTGCAGAGTAGAATTTTACGGTTCGAATGATACCAAAAACAGCAAGTTAGCCCTCCGAAATACCACTTTTCACAAAGTCGTCAACAAAAACCGCCTTCGTTTCGATACTTTTTGAATTCAGTTTTCTTAGTGCTTGGTATCGTTGGAATCGCCTTTTCCCACTCTACAAAGTTGGAAATCGCTTTTTTAAGATTCCATTTAGCTTTAAAGTTATAAGGCTACAAAGTTTTGACCCCATACATTTTCTTGACGAATGGAGCGTCGCGTTGCTTAGGTCCTTATTGCCGCAAATTCTGGGCGTGGTGAATTAATGGGATGACTTGGGGGCAAATACTGGCTGGGCGGGAGGATGTAAACCCTGCGCGCAAATCCGGTAGCTAAAAATCAAACGCCCGTACGAGAGACGATTGACGGCTTGCAACCAATAATTGAGTGTATCGTCGTTGCCAGGGCGGAGAGGGGTAGCGCCGTCCGGCCAAAGATACACTGCGTAGCTAAATTGTCCAAGGTCGCCAACGACATCAAAATCCTACCGCATCAATATAAAAACAATGTTCGGCTTTTTCCGCTGCTCCATCTCCTCCCAGAACAGCTTGGTGAGCTCTGACAAGAAAAAAAATAAATCCTTGCCAAAAGCCCACATACTTTCATGCCGATGGAAAACGATGGAATATGAAGGGGCCGCATACACATCCAGGCTAGCCGTCATATTTGGAGGCAGAAATTTGCGGACGATCTGTAAAGCGCATAGAAACAACAATGGCGGCTACGGTTTACCGTACCCCCGACCCCCGCCCGAGGGTCCCAAAATTTTCGCAATTTGCGCTATTTTTTCGAGATTCTTCGGCGCCATGCTACAGAAAATCGACAAAAACCTACCAGCGCTTTTAATCGCAACTCTAACGTTTTTGAACGCAGCGCAAAATATTTATAATCCTACTATATATAAAAAAATAGTGTCTGTGTGTGTGTGTGTGTGTGTGTGTGTGTGTGTGTGTGCATTTGCATGCAACTTCCGTCACCGTGTTCCAGTAGTATCTCAAGAGGGGAAGTACTTAGGGGTATGTTCGATACATCATTAGATGCGTAATGGGCTGGAGATGACTGCACACATATCAGATTTTACAAAATATGATGTTTTCGACATTAAAATTAAGTTTTTCATGGAAAATCGGACACCCCAATTTGTTAGGATCAAATTGCATGCACCGGAAGTCGCGGTAGCCTATATAAGGGGACGGCAAGAGCATTTTTCATTTTCGTCATTCGAATCCGGGAAAATTATGCAAAGCCAAGAATATCATTGGAGAAGACGGGGCCAGGGTTGAAAAGCCGCGAAGCGGTTTTTCAACCCTGGTATAAAATAATTATATAACTTGGTCGCGTATCTTTGTGTGTGTGTGTCCGGCCGACACTTTCGAGGCCCGATTTGAGGGCCTTCCAGTGTCCAAAATGCCCCAATTTTTCGTCACTCGGTAGAATCGACCCTCCTCTATCCGATGGTGTTTTCAGAATCCCGATAAAATACAAGTTTACAAAGTTAAAGGCGATTTTATTCATTTTTGGGGTCCGGGAGGGCTAATTTGCATAATGTGAAAAAAGAAATTTCCTCATTCTTGCAAGTTGCACTCGCGGGTTTGGTCGGGAAGGGGTCCGAAGGAGCCGAGCTATCAGAACGTCAAACTTTTCATGCAAAGGCCGCATTCCAGCGCCCAAGGCCCGCGAAGCGGGTTTTGGGCGCTGGTATAAAATAATTATGGCAAAAACGAAAATAACCTCCAGAAATGGCCTCAAAAAATTAATTTTGGTAATTTTTGCTATTTTTTGGCATTTGATACGCCATTCCCTGGAGCAACAAAAACCGCTCTACTAAGGGTTTGAATTTCAGCCAAAAATAATGTAATATATAGAATATTTTCATTGTATAAATTTTAATTTTGATTTTTTCGCAATTCCCGGCCAGTGGATAGTAGCGGGGAAATAGGGCAACCGATGTAAACTTTTGCCACATTGGCTGCAACACCTACAACTTGTTGTTGCACCGCATACGAATTGCCGACGACGACGACTCGCAGCTGACCCGTGTTGTTCTGAATTTCCTAGACGTTCCTCCCCGCGATGAATGACTTGCCGGCCAAACATAATGCCCAAACTGATTTTTGAATCCATCCTTGACCAGGGTGGCGGGTGGCCAGTAGGTGTCTAAAAAATAGTCGCCCCGAAGCAATAGAGAGCGGGGATCTATCATATCTTACTAATATATAGCTATTCATCCTACGGTTCTGGACTTTTAAAGGGGGGGTGGGTTTTTAGCGTGGGGGAAAACGACTTTCTGTGTTTTTTCTGCCTACACCTACCTGTTGATTATAAATAATGTACCTTTATAGTGTTTGAATAGTTGTTGATTGCTAGAAAGTTATACAAAAATATTTTTTAATATTGAAAAATCGCACGTTTTCACCTTTTTTACCACTTTTCATACATTTTTGACCAGAAAGTATAAAGTTTCGCGCATCTTCATTATTTTTATTTGGTTTTTCTACCTAAAAACTATGTAAAATTCTATAACAATGGTTTATATTTTGTCATATCGCCGTGGAGAATCACAGGGAAAAATTTGGTTTCTCTCGCCAGAAAATCCCCCACCCACTAACAGTCCAGAACCGTGGTTTTGCGTAAAATCAGGAGGCCGACAGAATTCCCTATTACCTGACCGTAAAACCCACTGAACCATTTTTTGTTTGCTTTAATGGCTGCACTTCGAGCTGGAACACACAAGATTTTTTCGTAATGCTTTCGAACCTACCACGGTCAGATGTTTTGTTTGCTTCGATGGCTTCCGGAATGCTTTCTAATCTACCGCGGTCAGTTTTGAAGATGGGCTTCCACTGGATGGCGACGATCAAGAGGACGATGAAGAGGATCACGACGTGCATGAAAACCGTTTTCTTTTTCGCGTGCAGCATAGGTTTTTCGTAGAAGTAATGACAGGCAGTTGAGAGCAGAATTGTCATCGGCAGCGCGATGGTCCAGACTGAAAAGTTGTCAAGTTCAAGTGAAGTGGCTGATGAAGAAATTACCTGGAATCGACTCAAAATAGCGCGGCTGCAGATGTTGCGCGTATTTGAGCACGGGATAGTGGATGAGGTAGAGGGCATAGGAAATGCTGGCGATGTAATTCAGACGAAAGCGCGACCAATCGATTCGACTAAAAAAACAAAAATTGATATATGATGTCAAACACACTAATACTTTTCACCACGTCAGTTTTTCATAACTTGGAAATAACCCACTCGCTATTGGAAGAAACCATCAGAAAAATGGACACGATCGCGGGAATCGCAAATTGTGCCAAATTGCGCGGTCCGAGATCAACAATCGTGTTCGGCAGAAAGATGGCAAAAACTGGGATGACGAGCCCGATTGTCGCGAAATCGACCAAGCGGCCGGAAGATCTAGGAAAACGGATTTTCAGTGCTTTTCGAAGGGACCAACCCATATTTCGTCTCCTCCTCTGAGAAGTGGCTGGCCAACATGCCGGCCAAGAATTGCCAAATCCTCGCGAATGGGTGGTAGAATGCGGTGATTGGCGTCGAGCTCCATTGGAAATAGAGTGACGACGCGAAAATCAAGCCGGAAAATAGCACACCGACGGGTCGAGCTAAATTGCCGGTTCTGGACCGTTAGCAGGGCGGGGCGTTGTTCAAAAATTTGGCTCGAATAGCTCACATGCAATCTTGCACCGAGTCAGGTAGTATAGACACGGAGCCACCAAATAGAACTGCATCTCGACGCCCAGCGACCACGTATGCAGAAAGGGAAGACTTTCAGTGCTCTGAAGAAAGAAAATGTAAGTTTTGATGTCAGGACAACCTCGGCAAAATAGTCCCCATCACTCGCGTACAGCTTCAGATTCAGATGCATCGAGATGACGCTCCAGAAATGGGGGGAAGAATTGGGCCAGCCAGACGCCGCTGTACACAAAGCCACAGGAAATCACTGGAAATGTGACGGTAAATGTCGTTTAAAGGGCGGCTGTGGTTGAGTTTACGCCCCCCCCCCCCAGCCGTCCCCGTCTACTGTATCACGGTAACCCGTTGTTGTAGGGGCCTGTAAGTATACCAAAATAATCGCCAGGGCAAGACGAACATTTTGGTATACTTTACACACATGCAGATGAACAGGGAGCAGAGATACAAAAGTTGCGTGCCGGCTGGGGGGGGGGGGGGGGGAAACTGCATTCTAACCTATTTATGGGTACTTGGACCGTACGGCAACTGACCCGACTACTCATACTCGAAATCACGCATAAGGGTGCATGTTTAGCTAGCGAACCATATGCCATTTGCCGGCAGTTGTTTCAAACCGGAAAATCATCCCTAAAAACACCGACCAAAGACGAGCAGAATCATATAGTAGAGCGGACAGATGCGCTTGATGCGTTTGTAATAGAAGTCGGCCAGTTTCTCTTTTGGGGGCGACTTGTCAGCAGACAATATTCCCATTATCAGGTAGCCGGAGAGGACGAAAAATCTATCGAAAAGGTGATCGCAAAAGCTCATTCCGCCCACATGTCAACTCCGATGAAGCCCAGTCCAAAGGTATCCGGCCAAAAGTGGTAGCCGAGCACCGAAATGATGGCCAGCGCCCGGATGAAGGCGATGTCTTCGCGGAACTTCCGGGTGGTAGGAGTCAGCGCTAAAAAATTTAGATAAGTTGAATTTTTCTGGTGGCACACCTGTATACTGGATATCCGAACGTGGCGACCCATCGGTGCCCATTATTTTCGAGCCGTCGGAGGGCCTATTAACAAATATACAGCGTGTTTACTTCAAAAAGAAGAAATAAAATAATGCAGGGTGTCCCAAAAAAATCGGCCCGGCTCAAATGCAGTTTCCCCCCCCCGCCAGCCGACCCCAACTACCGTATCTCGGCTCCCTGTTATCCTACAGGATAGTAAAGTATACCAAAATACTCGGGAGAGCACGGCAAACATTTTGGTATACTCTACACAACTGTAGACTAAGAGGGAGCCCAGATACAAGAGTTGGTCCCCGGGCGGGGGGTGGGTGGGGTAACCTGCACTTTAACCCCCTCGAGCGGTCCGGAGAAAGGTCGGATCCGGATAATTTTCACGCCATTCGAAAGCCCTCTAAAAAGGGAAAACACAAGCTTTATTAGCTCTGAAAAATTTTAGCCCGCGCTTGACATCAACCAAATTTTGAAACACGCCTAAAATCAGCGTCCGGCTGTTAGCTTCAACAAGCAACTAACATGCAGATTCTTCAAAAAATCTTCAGTTTTTATGGAGTATTTTTGTCCCAAAATTCCTGAATGAAAATGGCTACATATTGCAAAACGCAAAGTGCTTGTTTTCTCGCCGTTTCCTGCGCTTTCTACAGGTACCTAAAACGACAAAATCCGACATGACTACGGCCCGCTAGAGGCGGGTCGATCTTTTTGGGACACGCTGTATGAATAGTTTACATACGTAATTAACTTATAACTTTAGGGTAAAAAGTTAGGAAGAGCATCACCTTTCTGGACTGCACAGGGAGCCGAATTAATTGAAGTGACGACGCTCCAATCGGCCAATTTATGCGCTGCAGCCCCGTATGGAAATTACGACGATGCAAATCCGAGACCATCGCCTGGGTTTTAGCATGAGACCGTCGCGACAGTGTAGTTCGACGTAACGACTGATCGGAGTAATGATTTTTAAAAAGTACGTCTTTTAGAAATCAATGACCGAGGGCTCCGAGAAAAAATGCAAACGAATGCTTCTTCTTCGTTGTTCACGACACGCGAACAGTAGCGGTACGAGTCAAGTGTGATGCCCGCTCCCTTATCTAGTCCCCTGTGGTCCCCGCTCCCACCGCCCGGTTAGCTCAGTCGGTAGAGCACCAGACTCTTAATCTGGTTGTCGCGGGTTCGAGCCCCGCATTGGGCTTACTTTTTGCTTTTTGGTCCTAGGGCTTGGATCTCACTCTTTTTTGAAGTTACAATTGTGGGCATGCGATATAATTACGATACAATGCCATACGGTTTGTTATCATGTGTAAGACATTTATTACTTTTCACGCGTGCATAAAACAGGCTTCGGGTTACATCGTGGTTAAAATCGTCTTTATGGATTGGTTCGATTGGTTTTTCTGCCCACCCTCACGCTGGTGCTCCTAAAGTTAAAGGTTTTGAAAAGCGCCAATCACTTGCCAATCGTTCTTTGATCGTCTGTTGAATTTTGGCAAATCGTTCACGCGTCTCGCGGGCAGCATAATCAGAAGAGCCGTTTTCAACGTGTTTGCAGATGTCGCCGTAGAGGTACTGTAATTTTTTAATAATAAAGTATTTGCTAGTAAAACGTAGCAGCAACGGATGACACTTAGCAACTACTTTTTAGCATTTTAAACTTGCCAATTGTTTCATCAGTTTCATCAAAGGGCGTGCGATTTGAAGCATCGATTCTGGGTCGGATGCGTAGATGGCTTTCGTTTCTTCCAAAAGACATCCTCTCGTGCCAAACCTGAAGATTCCATTTTTTTTAAATAACGTTACTGACGTCAGTAAGAAAAACGGGGCGTTGGCCGGGCGGTTGTTCAAGGATCGCAACTGTCGTGTGACTGCCGGTCGACTCGCACCAACCACTAGAACAAGTTCATAAGGGTTTGTCTTTTTTCTTTTTTTTGTCGAAGTATGCAACGAATTTTCATGCTACCCTTTTAACAGCCTTTTAACAGACAGCTATAGTTTTTTCAATTTTTATTCCTATATTGATTACGTACCTGTTGATAATCATTAGAGTATGTTTACAACGTTTTTTTGATAGTTTCTGATAGTTAGAACCTTACAAAAAAAATTTAAAATTTTTATAAAAAACGTAAGAAAAATTGAGACTTTTGACCTTGTTTTGGCCATGCATTTTTGAGACAAAAATCAAAACACTTGGAATTTGTTTTAGTTTTTATATAAAGTTTTTATATCTAAACTGTGTAAAATACTATAAAAATGATTTAACTTAATGTTTCATAATGTCCAAATTTAAATAAGCGAATTTTCCCGAAAAAACCAAAAAATATACCTCTCCAAAAAAATATCGACATTCTGAATTTCGACGTTTTGAAATTTCGACAGTATGAATTTCGGCATTATGATAGCAAATCGGTATTTTATGTTCAACTCACGCCCTGTCAGCGTCGCATTATATTCGTCAGCAATGCATCCGAATCGCTTGTTCCAATCGCTTATCGAGCAGACGAGGTACTCTAGAGGATGATTGGCTAGATTTTTGGTTAATTGGGAACCTACCGTCTTTGTTCATTTCGTATTCATCATCTTCATCTGGCGACAACACTGGAGTCCAGTTGGGGTGTGATTCGATACGAGAAAAGGCGTCGAGCATGTTCAGTTTTTTACTGAATGCATCACGAGTCTGGCAAAGCATCAGCTCGCGGACTTCCTGAAGGGATTAATGAAACAAACAAAAATTTTCGCTTTATCATTAAGTTAAAATCACTTACGGAAAGCAACTTATTGGGGTCATACCAGCTGCAGATACCCTCAAGAGATCCCTTCGCACTATCACCCAATAAACCCTCGCGCAAAAAGCTTTTCGACCTTTTATCGATATACTAAATTCGGAATTTTCTATTTGATTGATTTTGGGCTACCTGCAGCAATGCAGTGCGCTTCGGATACGCTACTAAATACTTCTCAATCCCTCCAATCAGGTCGTCATTGAGGAATTCGCGGAACATTTGAACCTTTGTCTTGTCGAAGGAGGAGGGCTGGAAAAGGTTGGATTCAAGCTTCAAAATCCTGTAATCCGCGCGAACACAAAATTTTCCCTACCGTTTTCCCGGATTTTTTGGCTTCGTCGATGCGTTCGGCGAACTTTGCTGAATTCGCAACAAACGCATCGAATTCCGGCAACATTTCCCCAAAATTGGCCAGCGTCCAATTTTTGTGCATGATAGAGTCGAAGACCTTTGCTCCAGGGTCGGTCGTCTCTTCAAAATATTTGTGCAAATTTTAATATGTAAATAAATGTAATAAAACATTAACTCTATCATTTTTCGATAACTCAGAATCTTCCAAATTTACCCTCAGTAATCTCCGCGGTTGCAAGGCTTAGAAATCCGAGTATAACGACAACATGCAATAAAATACTCCATAGATGCATTCCTGAAAAGTACGATTTTTAGAAGCAGAGCTACCGAAACCATAGAAATATTTATATTTTGAGTCAAATAATCAAAGACCGAAAAAACTGCGGCTGTAGAAAATGTTGCGCCAATCGCCCGGTTGACCGTAGATGCCCCAGATCTTTGCAAGGCCAAAGGCGCGTTCGATAAAATCAGAGAAGATCTACCGTAACGGGGTCATGCAGGAAAACATTTAGCTGCATAGTACTAACATCAATCAACGTTGGTCTTACGTTGCCAAATTTTAGCAAACCGTCTATGTTGGAAATATGGACCTGTTTTTAAAAGAGCTCAAAGAAGCACGCAAAAAATTAATTTATTAGGCTTACAGTCGTGATCAAAAAAATGTCTCCTCGGGAAATCCTTTGTTTTTCGAAAAGCGCGTGTCCAAATTTAATGAAACTTCGTGTTTAGGTCAATCCTGCTACGGGGAATCTGATGGCAACATGAAAATTTTGTTAAAATTTGATTCTAGCGGTAAAATGTCGACTTCAAAAAAATCGGCATACTATACTTTGTATCGAAGGATTTTTGGGTTTCAAAAAGGTGTCCATCAAATATTTATTTCTGTATTATTAATCATTAAATTAAACAGATGAATTGGCTGGGATAATCAGTGGGATCTTGAGGCGCTTCCGAAACGTTGCAGACGTCGCAGCTTTCTCTTCTCCAAGTTGTAAGCCTAACAGCGAAATTGTTGGGGAATAGTACTCATTATCAGCCATTTCCGCTGCTGAGTACGAAATTTAACATAGCAAACACTTACAACTTTGGCCTGTGTATGATTCACGATCGTACGAATTGCCTGGCGAGCCGGTATTGCCATATCGACGAATCCATGCGGTTTCACATTTTCCATGCCGCCGTCGAGTGCCACATGACGGCAGATTTCGGTAGCGAGGAACTGAAAAAATCAATCAGCCTATACCATCGGCAGCTTCCCCTACCATCAACTGGACGTCTTTGATGGTTTGGCGGGCGGCTTCCATAAAATATTCGTCATCGAGCATGTGGGCCGGCTTCACCTGGTCCAGCACGCAGAAACGCGAATCGTTTCTTAAAAAGCAAAACCAAAAAATGCCCGCTGCCGGAACTCCAATCCTCCCTGCATTTTTGGTTCTTTCGCATTATCAGGGGGGAAGAAAGGTTTTTCATAGAAACCAATTTTTAAATGTAAATGGTGGACGTGTTTTTACATTGTTTTTTACTCCCCCTAAACCTAGAAACGTTACAAAATTGTAAAACAGAACACAAAAATATCGGTTTTTTAACCAAAAGTGGCTGTTTTTAACCAAAATTTCGATTTTTGGATAATTTTTCGAAGTGTTTGGATAGTTTGTTTTAGAAATGATAAACGTCCTTTTAAGTTACTAGGCATTTCTAGATTAATGGAAAAATTTCTCCCCCCGCCCGATAATGCGAACGAACCGAATTTTTGTGTCTGCGTCTCCTACCTTTAAAAAAGCGTAAACTAGCCCCTAATAATCCGTTTAACACGTAAACTAGCCCTAGAAATCAAAAACAACATTGAAATTGGCGATGGAGCGCCAATGTTTGAGGTGAAGCAAAAAACTAGAAGCAACAAAATTCCATCCTCACCTCTTTTCAAAATGGCGAGTCTTGTAAATGAGCTTCCGAAGCGTAGTTTCCCGGCCCAGACCTTCCCCTAAATTGCAAATAAAATACCTTTAGCTTCCCAGATTACGGCATATAATTCCAACTTACAATTCATCAGCGTAGCAGCCGCCGATTCGACGCCGGCCTTGAACTGGTCATCCGTTTTGTCCCTGCGCTCGGTTGCGCTCAGAATAAAACCTAGGCCTTGTGTTTTCGTAGCTAATGGGCAAATTACGTTGTTTATGTTCTTCATATCCATCATCCTCCTCAGCTGATGGTGCCCCTCCCCAATTCTCGTGGTCTTCAAGCAGCGAAAACAGGTCGAGCAACCTCTCAGTTTGGTTGAGATGAACGGGTTCAAGCGGTGCACAATCGAGCATTTCGTCGATAAGTCCCTTAAAGAAGGGGTTGAATAGGCGGAAGGCAATATTAGAAGAAACAATGTATATACAGGGTGACCAAAAATATCACGCCGCCCCCCAGCCGGCTACAGACGTGCCCGATTTTTACGATATAGGTAGCTAACGAAAGCTCTCAAAAAGGCGATTCCGGAGCGTCACTCCGATTTTCGAAATTTCAAATTTTATTCTGCTCGATTGCGGCATTTTTCATGCATACGGACGCGCTTTTTTGTCAAAAACGCAATTTAAGCGGTTCAAGCTCTATCCCGGCTACGTTTTCGCAAACGGTCTTCAAAAAGCTGTGGTTGGGCTGCCAGGAAAAGCGGAAAAATTCTTATATTGTAATTTTTGTAAAAAAAACTCTGTCAGAAGAGGGTCAGAAAATCTGACCTTTGTATTAGTCAATGTAAAAGTTAAAAATTTGCGAATGGGAGCGACGCGCTGGAATCGCATTTACGAGAGTTTCGATTGATAGCGAAATCTTGAAAATCGGGCAGGGCTGCGATCTGCCAAGGGAGGGGATCTTCTAAGACATCCTGTAGTAAATCAATATTGACAATCACCTACCTTCAAGCTTTCCTCCGGTTGGCGCTCCATGCACTGTTGCTCCAAATATTGACGCTCTTTGCCTTTTTTATCATACAGTCCCGTTAGGAAAAATTTCGGATTTTCGTGGAGGCGCTGAAAAGAAGGTATGCAAGATGAAAATAATTCATTAATTTCCAAGCCCTGAATTGTATAAATTTACACCTTGTTCTTCTCGGACCGCAAGCCGTCGGTGACCAAATATTTGTCGATGGGCAGATCGTGGCTGCCAAGGCTCCAAAAGCCGGCAAAGACCACAATTTCGGGCTCTACATCGGTGAGCTAAACGTGGCAATAACAAGAGTAGAAAACGGTTTCTGTGCTAATTGAAGTGGGAGAAAGACGGTACGCTTTCGGAACTTTAAACTGGTTTCCACATCTGAGGGTAGAGATAAAAGCTATTTTTTGGCCATTTGCAATATTTTTACAAAATTACTTAAACGCCATGCGAAAGAGCATCAAAAAATGTACTCCGATTTTCTAATTACAGCCGTGAATAACGTTTTATAACATAGCTATGGCAAAAAAAGAAGCAGCCAACCGCAACTTTTCCCCCGCACAGTTTTCCCCCGCTCGATTTCCCAAAACCAGATCCCATCCAAAACGTACCGCAGTCCCATTCTTTCTGGTTTCCACGATAAGCTTGGAAAGCTTCTCCGACAATTCGACAAATTTTTCCATGTCTTCTCGGAGTTTGTAGATGTTGGACGAGGTCCATTTATGCAAGGAAACGTTTCCATAAACTTCGCAGGCCAGTGTTTTTTTGCTTGCCGCGTCTTGACATCTCGCTATAAAAATCGGCTAAAACTGTACAATCTAGCCTTATGCCCAAAACTTTCTGAAAAAATGAAAATGCTTTATCAAGTATGCAAAATTCAAATTTACAGAAAAATAAACTAGCTAAAATTAAAACAGCAGCTAAAAACATCCGTTTTGTTTCCCGCGCCACCTAAAAACTCTCTAAAAAATCTTAAATTCTATTTAAAAAACCTTAAGAATGGCAGCACTTTAAGAAATATTTACAGAATGAAATAGATCTATGTTTAAAAGGCCGTTTGCGAGCCACCCGAACTAGGCTTGGCACAGTTTTTTTCGACCCCGTTTTTTTGACGCCATCGGATAGAGCATGGTCGAATTAGTGGGGCTGCATAGTTTTGAAAGTTTAAAAGTTTAATTTGGGGGGTTAAAATGGGCGTTAAAGTTGCAGACCCCCAAAAATTATCTTGGAAGTTACTTAACCAAAATCGCTGAAAATTTGTGCCAATACCTAATTTTGGACAGGGATCATTTCTCTAATACATCGCAAAGTGTGAAAATGACCGGAACATAGGAATCTCGCGTACAGAAAACAGTTTTTGGGGATTTTCGTTGTGAAGGGTTGTTGACTGCGCGCTATAAAGGGCAGAGAAAGATGCGCAAGAACGTTCTGCATCGATTGGTGTATCATTTAGCGCGCAGACAGTAACCCATCATATTCAAAAAAGGGCTTAAAAGGTAGCAAAAAGAAAAAATTCGAATATTTATGAAAAATAAGACATGCCCGCCCATCTAGAGGGTCCAACCGCACGATCGCAAAAAAGAGCAAAAAGAAGTTCGACTTTTGAGAGGGGGCTGGGATTGAACTCGGGTCGTTCGCCTGGGACCTGGCGGCGCCCACTAGCGGCTGTCCCCAGTGCCCCCCAGGCGGACCATCGCGGGTTCGATCCCCGCAAATCGCCAGTTCCGAGTGGCAAGGGAATTTCTTTTTGCTCTTTTTTGCAATCGATACAGTTTTATCTTTAGACCCTATACCCGTTTCCGATTTTTCAAAATATGCAAACCTCGGGAGTATGTACCAGTTTTTCTCCCGTTTAAAAATCGCGTTTTTTGAATATGAAGGGTTACTGTCTGCGCGCTAAATGATACACCATTCGATGCAGAAAGTTTTTGCGCATCTTTCTCTGCCCTTTATAGCGCGCAGTCAACAACCCTTCACAACGAAAATCTCCAAAAACTGTTTTGTGTACTCGAGATTCCTATGTTACGGTCATTTTCACACTTTGCGATGTATTAGAGAAATGATCCCCGTCCAAAATTAGGTATTGGCACAAATTTTCAGCGAATTTGGTTAAGTAACTTCCAAGATAATTTTTGGGGGTCTGCAACTTTAACGCCCATTTTAACCCCCAAATTAAACTTTTTAAACTTTCAAAACTATGCAGCCCCACTAATTCGACCATGCTCTATCCGATGGCGTCAAAAAAACGGGGACGAAAAAACTGTGCCAAGCCATATTGAGGTCTGTTCGGGTGACTCACGGACGGCCTTTTAAAGCTGCCGGGAGTTACGGAATTTTACGATTATCCAAGCTTAAAAGGCAGTGATCAAAAAACTTA